TCGACGAGATTTTCGACTCTTGGAACGCCGACAAGACCCCTTCAGATTTTCACTTAATCTTTACGGACTGGCACGAGCCGGATCTCCGGGCATTCATACGACGTGACCGCAACCATCCGTCCGTAATTGCTTGGAGCATCGGGAACGAGGTCGGGGAACAATATACTGACCAGGCAGGGGCAGCCACTGCGGAAAGTTTGCGCAAGATAGCCCACGAAGAGGATCCCACCCGGCCAGCTACGGCGTCCATGAATTACGCTAAACCTGACATGCCTTTCCCTGGCGCACTGGATATCATAAGCTTGAACTATCAAGGTGAAGGAATCCGGGATGCCCCCGCCTATTCCCATCTGGACGGAATCAAGACACCACCACTTTATAAAGCTTTCCATGAAAAGTTCCCAGGCAAGCTTATCTTTAGTAGCGAGACGTCGGCTTCGTTGAGTACCCGCGGCACATACCTTTTCCCAGTCACAGACGAAATTAGCGCTCCTGTTAGCGATGGTGTTGGTGGCGACCCGAAGGCCCAGCTCGTCAGCGCGTACGAATTGTACACCACACCCTTCGGCTCGTCCCCTGATAAAGTGTTCGCATCTCAAGACCAGAACCCTTACGTTGCCGGGGAATTCGTGTGGTCAGGCTGGGATTATATTGGTGAACCGACGCCGTACTACGGTGCGCGTAGCTCATATTTTGGCATCATCGATTTGGCTGGCTTTAAGAAAGATCGTTACTATCTCTACCAGTCTCGCTGGCGGCCCGATCTCAAATTCGCGCACATCCTTCCGCATTGGACTTGGCCGAACCGAAACGGCCAGGTGACACCTGTGCATGTGTTTTCATCGGCTGACGAGGCAGAGCTATTCGTGAACGGCAAGTCGCAGGGCCTTCTGAAGAAGGAGGAGTATTCATACCGATTCCGGTGGGATGATATCAAGTACGAGTCAGGCGAGGTGCATGTCGTTACGTATAAGAACGGCGAAGAGTGGGCCAATGCAACGGTCGTCACAGCAGGCAAGGCGGCTCAGCTCCAGCTCACAGCTGACAGGGATGAAATCACCGCTGATGGACAAGATTTGTCCTTCATCACCGTCCAAGTGCTCGATGAGGAGGGCAATGCGGTTCCCCAGGCTAGCAACGAGATTACGTTCGCAGTTTCGGGGCCAGGTGAGCTTGTAGCTACGGATAACGGCGACCCGACCGATATGACATCGTTCGCGTCACCAACGAGGAAGCTCTTTAGTGGCCTCGGACTTGCCATTGTGCGAGCCAAGGCCGGATCTGGTGGCGAGGTAACTGTGACTGCAACTGCCAACGGGCTTTTGGAGGACAAGATTATTATTCAGGCGGCTTGATGTTGTCTCTCAGCCACCGAAGGGATAGTCTCAACGCCACCACACGGGCAACATGTGGGCCATTATCATACCTTTCGTCAGAGAATAACCATTGCCTATATGTCTGTACTTAATAAAGTCATCTGGAACTGCACTATTACATGAACGCGAAAATTGGATCTTCGGAAGTTGTAATAAACGAGACAGCTATGCATCTTTGACAGGTAGATCCTTTTTAAAAATGTGCTCTATACCGCAAGTTTGATAAAGTTAGAGCCTATTTATGGGCACATACACCATAGACTTTGAATGTTCATTGACCGCAATAGTCTTCCTACCTCGGACTGCCGTGCAGTGAACCACGGAGGCATGGACCCTGATCAACCCACGGAGTCACAAGGGCATCCTCCCTCCATGACAGACACTAACTCAACCACACCCCATTCACCTTCATGTTTAGGCGAAGTAGTAATAATCGGCACACCTCTCGGAATGGAACGACACTTGAAATTGGGTATAACGGAGACTGGCCTGAGCACTGCGGTTCCTGGCATGGAGGAAGCTTTGCCGAACCGCAAATGTCAGTCGTCGCAATTCTCGTTAAAATAGATGAAAAGCGAGGGGTAATATAAGATCAGGATATATTGGACGATGAATTGCTGCGTTCGCTGGTCGATCCGGCAAAGATCAGCATTCGTCCAGTGAAACGTGTCTCTCCAACGTCTCGCCCATGGTTATCAATTGATTAAAAATCATGGGTAATTCGGGTAATCCGTCACTGGCACGTAATAGATATGTAGGCTTTTTCATGGTCTTTTAGTCGATGGTCTTAAGAAAATCGGATGCCAATGGTTTGGACGATTTTCCAGCCACACACAGAAGACCGACAGATCCTTCCGGTGCGGGACCGATAACGGCGAAGCTGCGTTTCCGAGTTCCTACACTTTTCAGTCAGCACATGAGGATGGCATCTCAAGAACAAACGGAAAATCGTAGCGACAAACCCGACCTGTCGAAGCCGATCGACCTGTCATCGCCATACGATCCCGACGCGGTCTCTGGAAAGACGATCCTTATAACAGGCGGTGCATCCGGGCTCGGAGCGGCATTTGCCAAGTCCTGGGCCCATCATGGTGCGCATGTGATCATCGGAGATGTCGACGATGCCGCCGGGGAAGCCCTTGTGGCCAACTTGCGCGAGGCAACAAAGTCAGAGCATCACCACTACCAACACTGCGATGTCACGGACTGGCAGAGCCAGGTTGAACTATTCAAGACGGCCATCAGAGTTAGTCCGACGGGTGGCATTGATGTAGTCGTCCCTAATGCAGGAATCGGACATGACGGAGCTATGGGTCCCGGGAGCTTCGAAAATCCTGTCGACTTGGACGCCGAGAATCCCAAGCCACCAAGACTCAAAGTGTTAGATGTCAACCTTACCGGGGCGGCGTACACTATCAACCTTGCTCTGTTCTGGCTCCAGAAGAATGCCCCTGGCAGGGACCGCCATATCCTTCTCATTGGATCAATCGCTGGCCTGATGCCTCTCGTAGGCTCCGCGCAATACACGGCCTCGAAGCATGCCATGATGGGGCTCTTCCGGTGTCTTCGTGGAACCGCCTTTCACAAGGGGATACGCATCAACATGCTCTGTCCTTACTTTGTAGATACCAAAATCCTAGCCAATGTCGTCATGCTTTTCCTCGCAGGAGGCGGGCTTGCCGAGCTACAGGATGTCGTCAACGCAGGGACACGATTCGTCGCGGACCAGAGCATTTATGGCCGGGCTGTCGTGATCGGGCCGCGGATGGTAGTTGAAGACGGTGAAAATGGAGAGACGAGACTAGTTCAAATACCCAATGAGGGAGAGACTGGCACACCCATCTGGGATTGTTACGCCCATGACTACGAAACTTCCCAGGCTTTCGTCTACAGGTACACACGTCTACTAATTGGACTTGCCCAGATCCGCGGCTGGTTGGGGTGGTTTGCTGATATCTTATGGATCCTGTTCAAGAGGCGACCAGAAGAAAAGAAGTAGTTTAGAGCTATTGGAGCTATGCAGAATTCTGAAGCAAGTGCACGTGGCTAGCGGTGCGGGAGCGGGCACTAAGTGAAAGGACAATGTACAAGATCTCCTGCAGGTACGAAGATCAATGGATGCGTCTTAATGTACGTAATATCGGGAGAGCAAGAAGATCGGAGAGAAGGGAGCCTATCCGAGGGCCCCTCGAAAGGCGAATGCCAACTCTAACCCCCCCCCCCTTCTCTCCGTCATTGGAGGACAGTATGATGTGATAGGTCGCCTTGCAATGAGCAACGACGTGTCCGCACTCGAGGGGTTGGGAGCTTCCGGTGGATGATGGTTTTCGTGTTACGTGTAAGCCAGCCTGCACCAGAGAAAAGTTCCTCGACGCTCTGCGGCGGGAGCACTTTCCGGCTAGAATACGGCAATATTCCGACAGTTATTACTTTGGGAAATTCCCACTCTTAAATGGCTGCTGGCGTGGCCTTGGGATTGTGTCTCGCTACTTCTTCCCCTTCCAAGTACGCGTAACCTTTTTCAACATCCTGCAAAGTGATAGAGTTTATAGTCAAAGCCTCCGATTGGACCAGGAGTCCAGGACCTTCTTCGGGGCTCCTCGGGCCATTAGCCAGTCGTAATTTTCACCCATCAGACTCCTGCGAGTTTCAGGCTGTCGAGGCGCACTGAATGATGTGCCAAGACTGGAACTGTTAAGGCGTGGGTTAAATTGACCCCAAGTCCCGGAATATATTGGAAAGTCTTGGCGCCGACAAATGCCATTTACCACTTTAGTTCTCTACACTTTGGCCGAAACAGCGAGTTAAAGCCGGCTGTAATAGAGGCCACTTTACACTTGGAGCGAAAGGTTTGCTTACAATCACACGCTAGATTCGAGGTCAACGTGTCTGTCTCATTTCGTCGGTTGAATTCCGAATTCCACACTGATATTGATGGCTGATGCTGATACAGGACCTCGACGATGATTTCACGAACGTGCCGCTGCGTGAGAGGATAAAGAATTAGCATTGCGTGTCACAAATAATGGAACTCCCAAAACGTAGCGAGGTATCGGCCGCTTTTCTCGCCTTCCAGATGCAGTCGTTCATTCAGTCATTCTAATACCGCCTATTCGCTACATGTGTTCCGATGCGAGTCGGGCCTCTTCCATATCCCCGGAACGGGGGTCCACTTGTTCCTCTTTGTGGTTCCTCTACCCCCGGTGTCTCCTCTCTACCATTTATACTTCATAGAGTAGTAGCATGGGCCACTGCTTATCAAGGGAGGTCAGAATAAGAGCAGAAGGAAGAGGAAAGTCAACTCTCCAGTCTTATCTCGCATTCCCACCCCCTTCACCAAGGCGCCAAATCCCGGCCTATCTGCCGCGTCGGCACATACCCCAAAGAGAACCCAATTTATTTTCTTTCTTCTGCTTCTACATTTCAAGCCACATCAGAGCTTCTTAAGCAGTATCTCGTCCTGCTCGCTGATCTCTTCCCTCCTGCCAATTGCCACCATAGCTCACCTTCCTAGTACCTACCGGTGCTATATGTTGTTAAGATTCAATATATAGAGCTGGTGAGGGTTCGCTTTCTGCGCCGGGTCCTACTTCGAGCCTTTCCAACCTGCTCCCCGTTGCCGCCATGTCGCCGCTAGCACTGGAAGCCGAGGACTCGAACCCGGCGAACTCCAACCCCACCTCACCACCCCCGGTAGTCCCTGCGCCCACTGCTATCGCGGCTGATCTCGACAACGGACCTGCTCCTGCTGTACAGTATCCTGCCGGAATCTTTCCCAATGGTGGCAGAGCCCCTGTGGTCGACGGCGTTCTGGCCGGAGGCAACGCCAACGGCACTGCCGCTGCCAATGGCACGTCGAGCACTAACGGCACCAATGGTGCCCACATAGCAAATGGCGCCGGCTCCGGAAGTTCATCGCTTCCAGGCCAGTCTTCAGGAACTCCCAAATATGAACCCGTCGCCATTGTCGGTATGGCCTGCCGTCTCCCCGGAAATGTCTCCGATCCCGAAGAGTTCTACGAGCTCTGCTGCCGCGCCCGCAGCGGTTGGTGCGAGATACCCCCGGAGCGGTGGAGCAAACCCGGTTACTACCACCCAAACCCCGACAAGCTCGGTGCCTTCAATCCAGTCGGCGGATGCTTCTTGACGGAGGATGTCGCCTTGTTTGACGCTCCCTTTTTCAACATCACCGAGAGAGAGGCCATCTCGATGGACCCGCAGCATCGATTAATCCTCGAATGTACATTTGAGGCCCTCGAAAACGCTGGTATCCCCAAGCACAAACTCATCGGCAAGAATGTTGGTGTTTATGCTGGTGGCTCCTTCACGGACTACGAGCTAAATAACCTCCGAGATCTCGACACTGCTCCCATGTATCAATCGACCGGAAATGCCCCGTCGCTCATGTCCAACAGGATCTCCTATTTCTTCGACTTCCGGGGCCCCAGCCACACCATTGAAACTGCCTGCTCATCCAGCTTGACTGCGCTGCACATTGCGATGCAGAGCCTTCAAAACGGCGACTCGTCAGTGGTTGTGCTAGCCTCCAGCCATTTGAACCTCTTGCCCGATCATTTCGTCTCCATGTCTTCCCAGAGTCTCCTTTCCGGAGATGGTAGGTCCTATGCGTTTGATTCCCGTGCCAATGGTTTTGGCCGAGGAGAAGGCGCGGGCGTCATCATCCTCAAGCCTCTTGCGGACGCGCTCAAGGACAACGACAACATCCGCGCTGTCGTCGTCGCGACTGGTGTTAACCAGGATGGCCGAACTAACGGTATTACTATGCCGAATGGTGATGCCCAATTGGATTTGATGCGCAGAGTGTATGCCGAGGCCGGGCTAGATCCAACTCTGTGTGGATATGTCGAGGCACACGGAACCGGCACCAAAGTCGGAGATCCTATCGAGATGAAGGCTCTGCACCGGATGTTCCACGAAGGCCGGACTAAGCAACGTCCGCTCTATGTCGGCTCGGTGAAAACAAACGTCGGCCATCTAGAGGGTGCTAGCGGTATTGCGTCCCTCATAAAATCCACAATGATGCTGGAAAGAGGGTATATCCTACCTAACTACGACTTCCAAAAGGGGAACCCCGAAATCCCTTTCGATGAGTGGGGAATAAAGGTCCCTTCTAGACTCATTCCGTGGCCCAAGCAGAAGAAATACATCAGCATCAACAGTTTCGGCTTCGGCGGAGGCAACGCACATGCCGTTCTCGCAGCAGCTCCCAAGCGGCCAAATGTCCAAGTTCCTTGGAAGGGAAGTGATGTTGAACCCCGCCGGCTCTACGTTCTCTCAGCCAACAGCAAGGAGTCTCTGGCTCAGCAGATGGAAAACCTGACAATCTATCTGGAGCGGCGCCCGTCCGCCTTCCAACGAGATCTCCTTGCCAACCTTGCCTACACATTGGGTCAGAGGAGATCCTATTTGCCGTACAAAGTTGCCGTTTCCGCCGTGGATGCAAAGACTTTAAGTGTCGCAATCGCTACAGCAAGCCCCAACCCAAGTCGATCGACTCGAGAACCCACCATCGGATATGTGTTCACCGGCCAGGGCGCGCAATGGCACGCCATGGGTCGCGAGCTCATTTCCGAATATCCTGTCTTTAAGGAATCCCTCGAGCGGTTCGATGCGTGCTTGACGGCGCTCGGAGCCAAGTTCAGCCTCATGGAAGAACTTAGTCGTGATCCCAAGACGTCGCGTCTCTCGGATGCGGACCTGAGTCAGCCTGGCTGCACTGCCATTCAGGTTGCGCTCACCGATCTCCTCGTTTCGTGGGGCGTCCGTCCTAATGCTGTTGTCGGCCACTCGAGCGGTGAGATTGGCGCTGCCTATGCCGCTGGTGTGTTGTCTCTCAATGACTGTGCAGTTATTGCCTACAGCCGTGGCCAGGCAGTCCTCCAGCTGAAGGCTGACAATCCCGCTCTCGAGGGTGGTATGCTTGCTGTCGGCGCATCTCCGGATGATGTTTGGCCCATGATTAAGACATTGAAATCGGGCCAGGCCACCATTGCATGTTTCAACAGTCCCGGAAGCATCACTGCTTCAGGCGATTCGGAAGCCATTACGGAGCTGCAGCAGAAGATCGAGGAGAAGCAGCTCTTCAACAGGAGAGTTAGGGTCGATACTGCCTACCACTCCCATCATATGGAACTAGTGTCAGGCTGGTACGGAAAGGCTGTTGGCCAACTCACTCCCGCCGCAACGTCCGACGTCGCCTTTTACTCTTCCCTCCGTGGACACCTCGTCGACTGTTCCGAGCTTGACACGTCATACTGGGTTAACAATCTTACGCAACCTGTCAAGTTCTCCCAGGCCCTCACAGACATGTGCACTCCCACAGCTGGCCGTGACGAGGTCGACATTCTTGTTGAGATTGGACCTCACTCTGCTCTTGAGGGCCCAGTTAAGCAGATTCTCAAGGCCATCACCTGTACAACCAAGAAGCCCATCTATTTCCCCTCTCTTGTTAGGAACAAGGATGCTGTTGAAACAACACTCAACCTGGCGGGGTCCCTGTTTACACGCGGTGCCATCATCGACTTTGGTGGTGTGAACTTCCCCGTCCCAACCGCAAAGCCGCTCAGGCCACTGAAGGACATGCCGCGATATGCTTGGAACCATACGACCAGATACTGGTGGGAATCGCGCATCAGCAAGGCCCATCTGCACAGGCCTTTCCCCCGAAACGACGTTGTCGGTACTCTAGCAGACTATTCAAACGCCCTGGAACCCACGTGGCGGACTATTATCCGAACTGATGAGGTTCCCTGGGTCCGAGGCCATGTAATGCAGGATATGATTATCTATCCCATGGCGGGCTATCTCTCCATGGCAGTTGAAGCGGTTGCCCAGCGCGCAAAACTATCGAACCAGACATTCGACCGTTTTCTGTTTAGGGACGTTACGATCAGCCGTCCTCTCGTCATCCAAGAGGGTTCTGATTCGGAAATCAACATTACCCTCCGACCATTCGCCGAGGGCACGAAACAATCATCCAAAATTTGGGATGAATTCAGGGTATTTTCTTGGAACCGGGACAGGAACTGGATTGAGCACTGCCGCGGTCTCATCCGAGTCGAGCACGGCACCGATACCAACCCTGTCCGGGACTCGACCCAGGAAGATCATGCCTCCCTTGCTGAGCGAACTGCTCGAATTGCCGCCGGTTGCCAAGAGCAAGTTGATCAGAAGGCGTTATACGACGAACTCGAGGGAGTGTCGGCCAAGTACAACGCGCAGTTTAAGTCCATGGAGAACTGCACCGGCAGCGACACGAACTGCGTGGCAGACATTGTCGTTCCCGATACAGCGCGGGTAATGCCAAAGGGATTCGAGCCCCAGCTCTATATTCACCCGGCATTCCTTGACCAGTTCACCCATGCCGCTTGGGTCATCCTGGGAGCTGGTCGCGGCCGTCTTCCAGCGCTCTATATGCCTCGCTTCTTCAAGAGCCTCACCATTTCTGCCGACGTATGCAGAGAACCTGGGGAGAAACTCCGAGTATATGGAGAGGGAAATCCAAACTTTGAAAACCCTGGGTCCACCAAGATTACCATGTTTGCTACTACCATGGACGGGGCTTCTGAGAGGATTCATATGGAGGGCCTTGTCATTGACCCCATCTTCGAGGCAAGCGGTGTCTCCGACAAAGCCTCTGCAAGAGAGCTCTGCTATCGCGTGACCTGGGAGCCTCTCGCCGCACCCGAAGTGCCAGAATCCAATGGCGATGAGGTCGCCGCAAGCCCAGCTACTCTCAAGCTCACGGACAAGGTTTCCATTATTTGCAGCGCCAATCAGGACAAGTCATTGCCATTAAGCCTGCAGCAACTCCTGGCATCATCCAGCCAAGCAGAGGCCGACATTACGACGTTCGAGGAAGCGAAGACCGATGGGAGGATTTACGTCGTCCTCATGGAGCTAGACTCCCCGCTCCTCTCCACCCTCAACGCAGAACGTTTCTCCCGCCTGCAGAAGCTTATTACCTCTGCCAAGGGCCTTCTCTGGGTTGTCCGAGGTGCGTACTCCGATTGCACTGATCCTCAAAGCGGCATGATTCTCGGTCTCGCCCGAACCATTCGCTCGGAGTCGGCTCTCAAGTTTGCCACTCTTGACCTTGACGGGATCAACAAGCTGTCGACGGCCGAGGCGGCAAAACAGATCCACGAGGTTGCCCAACACGTGTTTAGGAAGGGAGGTGCACCGTCTCCAGATATGGAGTTCCAGGAGCGTGGGGGGTCGCTGAGCGTTTGCCGTGTTGTGGACGACTTTGACATGGACACCTTTGTCGAGCAGAATACCAACCCCTCGACCACTCCTTTCCTCCAGCCGTTCAGCCAGCCGGGACGCCCGCTTAAGATCCATGTCGGAACGAAGGGTGCGCTCGACACGCTTCACTTCATTGACGACATCCAGGCTTCGACTCCACTTGCACCGGATGAAGTTTCTATCGAAGTCAAGGTTACTAGTATGAACTTCAAGGACATTATGGTCTCCATGGGTGAAGTGCCCAGCCCGTACCTCGGCGTTGAATGCGCGGGTATTATCAATGCCGTCGGCAGCAAGGTCACCGACTTGAAGGTGGGCGATCGAGTTTGCGCCAGCTCCGAGGGTGCCTACTCGACCTATACGCGGTGCAAAGCCACCAGCGCCGCAAAGGTGCCGGACGACATGAGCCTCGAGGCCGCCTCCACAATCCCCGTTGTTTTCTGCACGGCATATTACGGTCTCTTCGACATTGGTCGCCTCCAGCGCGGCGAGTCCGTCCTCATCCACGCCGCGGCAGGCGGTGTCGGCCAAGCCGCCATCATGCTCTGCCAGATGATGGGAGCCGAGATCTACGCCACTGTCAGCAGCATCGCCAAGAAGACGTTCCTTATGGAGACGTACGGAATTTCTGAAGACCGCATATTTTTCAGTCGCGACACGTCTTTCGCGAAGGGGATCCAGCGCGCCACCAACGGTCGTGGCGTAGACGTCGTTCTTAACTCGCTGGCCGGAGACTCTCTCCGCGCCACGTGGGAGTGTATGGCGCACTTTGGTCGTTTCATCGAGATCGGAAAGAGGGATATCCTTGCCAACTCCGGCTTGCAGATGGCTGTCTTTGAGCACAATGCCACGTTTGCTTCGGTTGATCTTACTGTCGTAGCTGCCGAGAGGCCTCTTGTCATGAAGCGCCTTCTTGATGATGTCTTCCGTCTCTTGAGCTATGGAAGCATCCGGCCTATTTCCCCCATCACAACGTTCCCTATTTCTAGCCTTGAGACGGCATTCCGAACACTCCAAGCCGGAAAGACACACGGCAAGATTCTAGTCACTGCTAACGCCGATGATATGGTCAAGGTGAGATTTGATCCCTGTTTACTCGTGATTTTCGTATCAGCTGCTGATGGTAATAATTACATAGGTCACGTATTCCGAGAAGACTTTCAATAACCTTCTCCGCGGCGACGCTACCTATATCATTATCGGTGGGTCGGGAGGTATCGGTCGCAGCATGATCAAGTGGATGGTTCGAAAGGGAGCCAAGAACGTAGTGATCGTATCCCGTTCGGATAGAATCTCCCCTCAAGTCGCTGAGGTTATTGAGGACGCCAAGACACTCGGATCTAAGGTTGTTCTGCACCGATGCGACGTCTCCAATGCCGACGATGTTCAGCGCATGGTTGGCGAGGTCAAATCCAGCCTCCCTCCCGTCCGTGGCGTCGTCCATAGCGCCATGGTTCTCGATGTAAGTGCCCAGGATTCCCCAGGGAGAAATGGCAGACTAGGAATTAACGCTAACCAAACTATTTAGGACGTCCTTTTCGAGAACATGAAATTTGGTCAGTGGGAAGAGGTCGTCAAGTCCAAGGTTGCGGGATGTTGGAATATCCACACCGCACTGGCGGACGTCACTCTCGATTTCTTCATTGCCCTCAGTTCCGTCGCCGCTATTATCGGCAACCGTGGCCAAGCGGCCTATTCGGCGGCGAACGCCTACTTGGACTCGTTTGTCCAATACCGACGACGACTTGGGCTTGCCGCTACCGTTCTCAACCTCGCTGCCGTTAGCGACACCGGATACCTAGCAGAGAATGCTGAGCGCCAGAAGGAAGTCATGGAGCAGATCGGCGGCGAAGCAATCAGCGAAAAGGAAATTCTCGCTCTCGTCGCCGCTGCAATCACCGGAAAGGCAGAAGAGACCTGCACTTCCCAAGTCGTTACGGGACTTAAGCTACCATCGTCCTTCTCCAGCGTCTTCTGGGCGTCTGACGCCAAGTTCACTGCTCTTTGCGAGCGCACTCTGTTAGAGAATGCTAGCGGCGATGGAGGTGCAGTTGCGATTTCTCCCGGTGCAGCGCTGAAGCGGGCCAAGTCGTACGAGGAGGCCCACAGCATCGTCATCTCGGCGCTGTTGGACAAGACCGCGGAAGTTCTCATGCTTCCCCGAGAAGAGCTCGATGGCACAAAGGACACGGTGTTCTACGGCCTTGACTCGCTGGTGGCTATTGAAATTCGAAATTGGATCACCCGCGAGTTTGGTGCGGCGCTTCAGATCCTGGATATGCTCAGCACTCCATCATTTATTGTGCTGGCCGATACTGTTTTGCGAAAGTCGGAGATGGTCTCGTTTGAGAAGCCAACTTGAGCCGCTATCGCTTGATTTCAATTCAACAGCCTTTTGGCCTTGTCTTTCTTCTCTTTCTTCTCTTCTCTTCTTTTTCTTCTTTCCTTCACCTCTTTCTTCTTTTCAGCTGCGTAAGATATGCCGTGTCATCCATCCTCTTTATCTCTTCATCAGCCTAGTCATTTATTGTGTGCTTATCTTTCTATCGAGATGCTTTGGTTGTCCGATTTGGTTCTTCGCTTGTGTTTGACTTACCACTCTTTCAACTTGGAGGCATCGAGTTTGTTTTCTTTTCTTTTCTTTTTTTTTTGTGCCACATGTATCATGGACCTTCGTCGTTTTCTATTCCTTCAATATATAAACAATATATATTCTCAAACGACTCAGATGTTTTGTGTGAAGCAGGCCATACTTCTTCGATCTCTCACTCCCTTTCTCTAGCGAACGGTCTCCTCAAGCCTAGAAAAGGGGGCAGCAAATAACTCACTGAGATCATGGGTCAAAATCGCATAGTAAATAACTATTGGGATTGACTCGACTATACGAAGGCAAAATCGATTCGTATAACCTCGCGCTTGGTCGGCCAAAGTGATTGTCACGATCCGCGATGGAATCGGCGTTCGGAGTTTCGCGTCTTCTGCCATGTGCCGCCCTCTCCTTTGTCCGTTTCAAGATGACTAAGCAGAACACCGTTAACTCACCGTTGGAGTTGCCCTGCCCGCCGTCTTGGGCTTCGATTTCTACTGTCATCCTCCGTCAAATTCTACGTGCGTGGATCAAATGTTCTTCCGTATTACTCGTTCCAGGCTCCCTTTTTGCATGAGGGTAGGATTTCTAGCAGTGTCCATTCATGTTTAACCTTATTCCTCTCAAGTTAATCTACCTGTGAAAAAGCGCGAAACGATGGATTCTGGCGGCCTGACTCACGAAATCATTGTCGGAAGTTCGTGCTTTCCTCGCGCTCCATCGCCATCCCGATACATCGCTCGGCAGTGTCGGAGCACTCATCCCTTGACGAATCAAAGCATTTAATGTATCTATTTTGTATCTCCTCTCCTAGCATGGGCTAGTTTGGGCCTTCTCACGCAGGATGGACATATGTGCACCGGAACGCGAGAATGTAGTGTCTTCATTCACGTTCACTCACGTACTCCGTGTCCGTCCTTGTCCGCGGAAATGCAGCATCCCGCCCATGTCCTGAGTCCCAATCCAACCACTGGGAAGGAAGCCGCCCATGTAGCGCAATAAGAATTGAGTTTCTGTCCCTTCCACATTATTAATTCCAAATTACCATATGATGTTGCATCGTTTTTTTTTTTTTTTTTTTTTTTTTTTTTTTTTCCTGCGTTGGATAAGCCTCCTCTCGGCGCTACGTCATGACACTGTCTATCCCTTCGTCGGTTGCTATGCCTTCATGTCGCGAGGAATATCGACGAAGAGTTAGATGGAGATAACATAAATAGTCATCTCGCTCCCTCTCTTTCGCGTCGATGGAGTGACCACAAAAACCTGGCTAGATCTTCAGATCAATCAATTTTCACACCACCACTGACCCAACTTCCAAGACTTTTTTTACCTCAACCATGGCCCTCCCTTCCACCATCCGCGCTGTACATCAGACAGATCCCAAATCCAGCAAACTCACTCTTGTCGAAACCCCAATCCCCGTCCCTACAAAGCCTGACGATGTGCTCATCAAAGTAGCCGCAACGGCCCCTTGCCTCGGCGAACTCTGGTGGGTGCGTGACTTCCCATCACTATATGAAGAGCCCCGCGAGCCCGTTCCCGGGCAGGACATGGCAGGGACCGTCGTCAAGAGCCACGAAGGAAGCAAGTTTAAGCCTGGAGATGAAGTTTTCTGCCGAATAGAAGCTGTCCGTCCAGGTGCCGCCCGCGAATACACCCTGGCCAAGGAAATCGAGCTCGCGCTCAAGCCTAAGAGCCTTGATTGGGCTCAGGCCGCCGCAACCCCGCTGAGCGCTCTCACGGCATGGCAAGCCCTCTTCTCTCAGGGCACCCTAGAGTCGACGGCGATTTTTGGCGACGAGGAAGCGAGGAAACGGAATGCCCAGAAGCGTGTTCTCATTACCGCCGCTGGTGGCAGCGTCGGCGGATGGGCGGCACAGTTCGCTGCTGCCGCGGGTGCGGGTGGTGTCGTTGCCACCTGCCAGGGCGCCAAGGCAGACGCCGTCCGCGCCCTTGGCGCTACGGACACTATCGATTACAAGACTCAAGGTGTCCATGAGTGGGTAGCTAAAGACCCAGCCAAGCGAGAAGTCGACCTCATCGTCGATTGCATCGGTGGCCCTTCCATGGAGCAGCTTTGGGCCGCGGTCAAGAATGGGGGCACCTTTTTGAGCATCTCGCGCCCTCCCGACACTGCCAAACCTTCCGACAACACCAAAACTCTGGCGAAGAGCGCATTCTTTATCGTACAGTCCCTTGGAAGCGAGCTGGGTGAGATCGCCAAGTTGATCGACGCGGGTGATTTCAAGCCCCTCGTTGACAGCATCCTGGAGTTTGACCAATTCCAGGAGGCCTTTGACAAGGTTGAATCCAGGAGGACGAACGGCAAAGTCATTCTCAAAGTGTCGATTTGAGAAGAGGAACTGAGAAATTAATAGAGGAGAAGATAATAAGGAAGGGTGGGAGGAGATAAAAACAGCTCAGTAGGATTATAATAAACACAAAGTCCTGGTCTAAACTTTCACTAGAATTCTCTACCTTTCGTTGTCGGCGTTAGTGGAGATGGGATGTTTATATTGAGTTTATATTGGATACGCCGCTACGACTATTATCTCTCTCCCTTTGACCAAGATTGCCGAAATTAACCAAGGAACCCGCCAGTCTTTCGCTTCTGGAGGAGGTAGTAGTACTGCTGCATATCAATGGGATTGTTGGGAGCCCTGTCACCCTCAAAGTTACCCTTTCCACGACCAGAATAGTGAAGCTTCCACGCTGTTTGATGGTCAGTACACTTGCCACGGCTATTGCAGCAATCCCGCACATCGGGCGAGGGAACTTGTTAACTTACTGCTTGCATAATACGTGAGGTAAGACCAGCTATCGTTCAGATAAACCTTCTCAGTTCCAACTTGGATCGTCTTTACTAGGCCCATCTGACCCTGCGCAGGACGCAAATTCTTGAGATCGGCGACGAGCTTGATAAGTCCCGTGATGAAAGCAAGGGCGATGTCCTTTCCGAAGCACCTATGTTGGCCGTATCCAAAGGCCGTGATAGGCTCCGCCTTGCGGTGGGGATCGAACTTGGCGGCATTGGCGATCTCGGTCGGGTTGCGTCCGGCCTCGCCCTTTGAAAAGGTCAGGGTTAGAATGATGAACGATGAGGACGTAATCAAACGAAACTTACAAGTAGCATCACGACGGAATCGCCGGGCTTAATTGACTTGCCCTCAAGTTCGGCCGGCTGCGTCGCAACACGCATGATGCGTTGGGAGCTTGACAACCGTTGAGCTTCGAGGACGTATGCCTGGATTGCAGGCATGTCGCCCTTCTGCGCGAGAGTCTGCACTTGGGCCCAAATAGCAGCGTTTTCCTCTTTGAGGAAGTATGCTAGGATTTCGTAAAACTGATATGGGAGTCACAGTCAGCATCATTCAATATTGCGCATCCATGGGGGTATTCGAGGAAGTATTCCTACTGTTGTCACTGCCACACCGACAGCTCCAAACGCATTGAGCCACATAGTGTCGGTAATCCTGTCCGCCGACTCGCCCTGCGCCAACAAGGTTTCGACAAGCTTCAAGCCACACGAACGCAGAGAGTTCTTCTTGAGATAGGACTTGGGACCGACGACATTGGACAGTGCAGATACGACACCGAGACCGAGACCGCGGCTGGCAGATACCTCATTCACGAGCTTGCGTGTCGTGTCGGTGAGGATCTTGGCTCCCTCTTGAGCTCGTCGGCGACGGCCCCAGGCCTCGGCGGGATCGGTGTTATTAGCACCCCAGATTCGGACGTTTAGTAGGTGTTTGTACAGCTCGGCCGTGCTCAGCTTGCCATCAGGGTTCTCATCGGTACGCAAATCAAGGTAGAACAAGTCCGCAAGCAATTGTGTGTTAAGAGGAATAGCCACGTCTCGAATGATGTCGACCTGGCTAAGGCCCTCGGCGAGTTTGAAGCCCTCTTTGTCAATAAGTTGCGAGCCCACGCGTTCAATGAATTCCTGTACAGTAGTTTGAAGGTTCGGGATCTTCTGGAGCGCCTTCACCAAAGTGGTGCGGTGGGCGTAGTTCTCCGGCTTGTCCCCGGCGAGCATGTACCAGCTGTAGTCCTTCTTCCCAGGGAAGAGGAAATTGAATGGCTGAAGCCACGGCACCACAAATGCCTTGTTATCTGCCAACGCCTTCTTGATAGCGGCGCTGGAGGCGATGACGACAGGCTTCGCAGGGGGCTTGGGGTCATCAAGGGTGAACTGGTCAAAGGTACCAAGCTTCTTGGCAATTTCTGCGTTGGCCTTCTTCGTGTACATGGGCTGCATAACTGCCGCGGAGTTGAACGGGAACCAGCCTGGAACACCGCGCTGGATGAGCTTGTAGAGCATCGATCCACCGAGGGTCTTCTTGTCCTGCTTGACTTCGTTGAAACCCCAGGCGGTCAGATTGGCGACGTTGAAGTCAATCGTGTTAAACCGATCGGAGCGCACCAGTGTGATGGCATCAGAGAGCACTGCGCGGCCAAGAGAGTAGGTAGGACATATTCCACTGCCAGCGGCGCGCACGGGCTTGAAGTCCTCAATCATGAGACCGGGATAAAGCTCGACCATATCCGGATCGGTGTACAACTTTTCCAGGAGGTCAGCAATCTCGGGGTTGGAGTTGACATCGGTAAATTTCTCATGTCGCTTGAGTCCAAAGAACTCGCGGAATTCATTCAGAGACGCAACTTGCCACCTGCGTGCTTGGTTGATGGCCAGGACCTCTACGATCTTGAGTGCCTTGGGGATTGTGCGGGAACCGAACACGCCTGCGGGATCGTCCATGGCTTCCTTCAGAATGCGTACGAGGTCCTCGTCTCTGAACTTGCCGTCCGCCTGGCGCTTCAGGCCGTCGAACGTTCGCTCACTGGGATCCTTGGGAATGCTCCTCTCGAATTCTTGCAGGGCGATGCCCAGCTCAGCCATACCGACTTGGGCGAGATCTTCCGCTTTGCGGTCAGGAAATAGCTTGAGGAAGAAGTTGTTGATCCAACGCTCATCCTTTTTAGAGATGCACGAATGGAATCGGTATAGGAGATTGAACTCAACGCTGACTTGGTTACCAATGCCGCGTGGAGTGCCCTGACCGTCGAACTGCTTGCCAATCTCGACACGAGGGTCCAGAGTCCAATCACTGTTGGTGGAATGTGTGTTTGTGATGGCTCTGAGGTAGTCGTGTAGACAAATGTTGATATACAGACCACCGACAATGAGACGAGCGGTGTTAAATAGGTCATGGTCCTGTTTGGCGATGGCACGAGCCCTGTCCTCTTCACTAGCATCAGGACCACATGCCAGGGTGAAGCGACCGCCCTCGTTAATCTTGAGCAAGATGTCACAGACGTAGTTGTGGAATCTGCTGTAAAGGACCAGCATGACGTTCACACCCGCAGGCTGCCCGAGGAGGCGCTTCTCGTGGAATGTGTCGGGCTTCAATCGGCCCTCTTTCATCGCCCTAATCTCCAGCTGGTCCTTGAGGGATGATCCATACAGAGGAGCCAAGTCGAGATAGGATGAAGTGTCGGATTTGCTCATGTCTGTACGGTTCGTCCGGAAAATGTCGTGAATGATAATGGATGCGTGGTAAAAGAGCATGGCTGAAATACCAGCGGGGTTCTCCTTGAAGTTCTTGTCGTCCCGAGCCATGAGAAGGTCAAAGAGGAGGCTCGCATCTGGCTTGACGCCATGGAGAGCCTTGGAGCTCGAAACCGACTTGGCATAGGGCGTGCCGGCCCTTCCCAAGTTGGGTTCGAGGATGTTGTTGAAGCTCCCATCAGGCATGCGGTATTGGTGCATGCCGTCGGGTGCCTGAGGGACCCTCTCCCGCAATGTCACATTGGTGCCGGGGACCTTGAATTCAATTGTATTGTAGTCCTTGGCCTTGGCTCCACTATAGGAGCCGTCCGAGTTGAGCACGTCATATTGGACATTGCCACCGACGTAGCTCAGAGGCGGGTGTTGCAGGACATCCCAGAGCGTGTCAATGAACTTGTTGGTGAGCTGCGTCCTGACCTTTGACTCAGATGGGAGACAGGTAAGAATATCAATTAGGAGCTCGGCGGTTCTGGTACGACGTGTTAATAGTGCATATATTGCAAGATGTCCGAACGTATCACGGTACTTACCCGTTCTTGTCATCAAGGGGCTTACCCTTGTCGAAGAGCATAGTCTTGATCACACTGACAAGCTCAGTCACAGATATCCGGCTGCGAACTCCAGAATAATCCTTCAGAATGGCCGTGGCGAGCTTGACAGGGTCACCGAGGTCGGGAGAAGAGCCCTTTGAATCCCCATACGCCTCGCCGGCTTGAAACTTTTCATCGAAAGACATGGTTGCAGGCTGCAGAAAAATTGTCGTATTTCCCTATCTTTGCTTTGAAATCATAATAATAGGGAGATTTCTAGAAAAAGAGTTCTGTGTACGAGTTTCGACCCAGCCATTATATAAAGGGGACTTGGAGACTTGGACCCATCTCGTCCCTCTTTCTCCTCATTACTTGGCCCACAAGATAATGTTCCCTCCAGCCATCCTTTCACAGTTTGAAGCGGAAAGGCGGAAAACGGGCTTCACACATTTGCACAAGGAGAAGCTGAAGCTGAAACTGATCACGTACTACATAATCCTGCCATGCATGCACGCCACGCCATCTAGGTGAGGGGGGGAATGTGGGTAGCGGCAGTAGCCAAGAATAAAGGACCATTGGCTGCCATACGGAGGGACAAAGGGTTAAAAAAAAACCTTCCTAGCTCACCTGCTAGCAATGCGGCTCGGCCCGCGTATTATGACCTATCTGGAAAGGATAAGATTAGGCCGTGAATTATTGGTTGCATCATCCCAAGGAAATGCGGATCGTCATGCTCACTACCGGTCTGTGAGGGAATGGGGCTGCCTGCTCTACGGAACCGTGTCAGTCCGATTACATCTCAGTGGATGTGATTTGCCAGCACCTGTTTGGGTTACTGCAAAGCCAAGAAGAAGAGGTACCTATCACCAGCTAATGGATGCCATTCGGTAGAGCTTTGTTGACCACTGTCTGTCCCTTCATTGGAAGCCTCTCAAGCATTTCCTGCAACATAAGACCCGTAGAGCACACCAATAAGGTCTATTTAAGCAGAATGTGCTGAGGTAGATTCGCGGAGATGTCAATGCTTGGCGCGAAGAGCGCAGAAAACAATTAGGTCACGGGGAAACACGATGAAGAAAAGGGATAATCATGGCTAGCTGAAGCTTTGCTGCATGCCGCCCGCTGAGCTTTTAACAAATGCATCACGGCTTCGGCGAGCAGCGTAAATCCCGACATTAGCCATATCTATACAAAGTAACAAGTCTCACATGGACCAGATTCGGCCGGATCGGCGGACACAAATTCAGGAAAGTGGGGTTGATTCACCCCGGTGGCTAGCTGAGCCCTCTCAAGGGAGGAAAAGCAACGGGTACGAAGTAGGCGATCGGCACGACGCGTTGCATGCTTTTGAAAAGCGAAGCCGGTGTAAGTTACCACCTAGTCATCTCGAGACCAACGGATATCTCTAGAGGGTCTATCAAGCTGTTTGTGAGTAAAAAAAGGTCTCGGACATTCATTTGAAGGCAAAGCCGGTCTGACCAAGTTGAGCAACGCCGGCATCTGGGTGCTACTCAAGCAGGCACAAAGATGCCCACTCGCATTAGGGGATATGCACGGCGTGGTTGATAAATGGAGCTAAATGGAGCCGCCCTCCAGACCGATGCTCAGTTTCCTCCCTGCTACCTCCACAGACCCTCTTTCTTAGGTCGTCTCCTTTTCCTCCAGACGAGTTGTCCACTTTGTGCCTTCACTGCAACAAAACATGCCTTCTGTTGTCAACGACTCTAGTGGCTCCACGGCCCCTCCTGCAGCTGAGGTCCAGGCTCCGGAGCCCAAGAAGCTTGTCCTCTGCTTCGACGGTACTGGCAACGAGTTCAGCGGTTCTAATGCCGACACAAACGTGGTCAAGCTTCTGCACAAGCTAGATCGAAATGACCCCAATCAATACCACTACTATCAGAGTGAGTGCTACGTCTGTCTCTAACCTGACTATTCCGCGCTCACGTCTTTCTACCAGCCGGAATCGGGACGTACGATGTCAACGAAAAGTCCGTCAACAAGTCTTGGTTCGGGGAGATGCAAAGCTCCGTCTCCAAAACAGTCGACCAAATGGTCGGCACAACGTTCGACGCCCATGTTATGGCCGGCTACCGATTCCTGATGCGTTACTACGATCCTGTAAGGACATTAGATGACTAGACACCAGAAATGCGGACACTGAGCTTTACTGACCATCCTTGATTTGGAAACAATAGGGCGACAAGATTTACATGTTCGGATTTAGTCGCGGCGCCTTCACAGCCAAGTTTCTCGCTCGCATGATCCATACCGTAGGCCTTCTCTGCAAAGGTAACGAGGAAATGGTTCCATTTGCATTCCGCCTCTATCAGCGATATCTAGCTGGAGAGATTGAAGATTTTATGGGCGAGCGCGACAAGAAAGATGACGGGGCGGGTGACGAACCACAGGGCGAGAACGACCAGGCCTCGACAACAGCTCTAGCACTGGAGTCGCTGGAGCTTGACGCTGAGGGTAATCCAAAGGAGCCGAAACTGAAGCGGCGCGGTCGCAAGTTTAGAAAGGCGCGTGACGAGATTACTGCCTTCAGCAATACCTTCTGCCGTAAGGAAAAGACGATGCACTGCGGCAAGGCGGTCGAGGCCAATATCAAAGTCTACTTCCTTGGTATGTGGGATTGTGTCAATTCCGTAGCCGTCTTTGAAAAGAAGACGCCCGTTCCCGTACCTGTCAAAGGGACCGCCCATTTTGTCCGGCACGCCGTCGCCGTGGACGAACGACGTGTCAAGTTCAAGCCCGCGCTTCTCGCTCAGGACATTCGGAGCAAGAGCCACGATCATGAAGATATCAAGGAGGTCTGGTTCCCTGGATGCCACGGCGACGTTGGCGGCGGCTGGCCTGCCGTCGAGAATAACTCTCTCGACAGCAACAAGACAGAGAACATGACCATCTGGGAACGCATCAAGAACTTCTGGGTCACCCGCAAACCCAAGGAGGCTAGCCACGACGTCGCCAAGGATCCGTTCCAGATGAGCGATCTAGCGCTAGCGTGGATGATTCGCGAGCTCGAGCTTGTGGGCAAGCAGGATCCTTCTGCTGCTGTTAAATGGTGCAACCGGGTGAACGGCTTCAAGAGGAGGTTCCAGAAAAGGAAGAAGCAGGCTCTGAATGGCCTCATCCATGACTCGCTCCAGTTTAGCTCCGGCACTGGCTTCTTTACGGTTTTGCTTTGGAAATTTATGGGTAAGCGTAACTTTCTTCTTCTACTCCTACCATGACTTGTCCGCATCCCCATGCCATTCGGTCCCCTACTTTTTATCTGAGACTGTCGATACTGACCCGAAAAGAATGGTACCCTTTCATCACACGATGGGAGCTTGAGAAAAACGAATGGGTCAATGTCCGCTTTCCTCTTAACGGAGGCGCATGCCGAGATATCCCAAGAGACGCAGTTCTACACGAATCGGTGCTCTGGAGGCTGCAAAATGATCCCAATTACCACCCGAAAAACAATCACGGCGGAAAGCTAGATCCTTGCTTGAAGCACAACAACTGCGTCGCCAAAGTCTATCCCGTTGCCGAAGACCATGGAGAGCCCGATCCTGACCATCAGACGTACATCCTGGCTTCCACCGACTAGGGAGGACACGGAAGATGCGTTAATAGGGCTTGGCTAGCACTAGAGATTGGAAATGGATGGAGCGACAACGCGAACTCGTTGCTTTGGGTCATTACAAGATGGTTAGACTAGACTAGTGTACTTCAAATTGTAAGAACGAACAGATAAAATTTAATAGTATTTAGCTTCGGCCTTCAATTAGTTTGGAAGCATGTGATGCTAAACTTGATTTGCATCCTGATTTGGAGTCTAGACAACTCAGCCCATAAAGCTACGAACTAGGTCTCGAGCACGAAGTACCAGGAGCCCACGAGGATCGGGCCGTCCTTCCATATACTCGTGCCAGTACCCGGGAACAAAGGGATCTACTTGGGACGTATACGGCCGAGACATTAGGGGCGATCAAACAGCTGAGGCGACAGATTCGTCTTCCTTCCACCCAGAGATTAGAAGCTGACGTGGTCACAACCGACTTTGGCATGATTCATCTCACTTGATTAATATCTTATCAAATCTAGACTAAAACCGTCGGGGACCTAGCCCAGCCCTCAAAACTTATTTTCTTCCCGCTGAAATGTCAGCGCAAGTATCCAGGGATGCTAAGGTCTTGGTTCCGTGCAGAACGGCTTACCCGCCTTAATCATGCAATATTGAAAGGAAATATCTCTCATTTTTACGCTCTCTCCCTAAATAGATTGATATATATATTTATTTCCATAAAGCATGCCCTTGACGAATACATACGAAGTACGAAGCGCGCCCTCTTGTACAAGTCGCATAAATCGATACTGCCTGATACCTGAATTCCGTAAGTAGGATGGAAGCACCAGCGCCAATGTGGTCCAACATTCGCGAGAACCGACACCCTACCACCACCCTCGTGAATTATGCCAGCCTATCTAGCTCTTTTTGAACGGTGGTCCAGACGGAGAGGGGAAGATAGCCCGTCATCCAGACACTTCCCGACCTATCTCTTCCCAGAATGTTAAAGATGTTGCTAGACGTCGGCATCTTCTGGAGCGTCTGGCAGTGGTAATACACTGGCTTCCCGCTCGACCCATCGGCGCTCTTCTCCTTGGTTGGGGAGATGACCGCAGGGCTAAAGTCCACAATGTTAAAGAAGTCGCCCTTTAGCCAATTGCTAAAGACTACGATGAAGTTGTTCGCCTTTCCGAATCCGGGGCCGTGCCTTTTCTTCTCGTAGCACTCGCGGATGAGACGGGCTTGTGCCCGTATCTGAGCCTCCGAGGTTTGCTCAGTGATTGTTTGCCGAATGCGGAGGGCGACGTACCCGAGGCTGTTTCCCAGAAGCTCTTTGGCCGGCAGGATTGCGGTTGCGGACAAAACTAGATTCTGGACGTAGGCGCCGCCGCTCTGGAAAAGCGACTTCAGTCGGCTGCGAAGTTCGAAGACGGTCCCTATCATCACAGGCCGCGCAGAGTCCATCGGCAATTCTGAGGCTGCCAGACGGGTTGCCCAGGCCGTGAGAACGTCGCCTGTGCTGACGAACGCAGGGCCGCTCTCGACGTGGATTTTCGAGACGTCATCCCGCGCTTCCTGGACCAGAGTGGCTACTGCTGGTTGCGGGAGCACTATAGTTCGAAGGACTCGAGACGTCCAGAGGACATCGATAAAGAAATACAAGACGAACATTAGCATCTGCCATGGACCTAACATTTGGTCGGCCAATGCATACGGCTCCTCTTCGACATCTGGCCCCGCGTCTTCGTACAAAGGATCAAGAACATTCTCTCGGGCGCCAAGAAGGGGGACGACTTCCGACTCCTTTCCCGCTAAAACTTGGCTCCACGCCTGGACTAGAGCATATCGACCCATGGCGTCGGTCAAGGTGTGGGGCCACGAGAGGGAAACAATCGTCGCATCTTGGAATGAGACGATGTGGAGAGCTAGTTGCGGCTCATCGTTTCTCAGGTAGTCGTAGATGGAGTTTGCAGACGCAGGGTCTTTTGCTAGAGAAGTGAAGTGTTCCGGCCCAGGATTTAGAGACGGTGTGTCTGTTGCTCGTGGAAACTGCGAGGCCAGCGGATGTTCTCCTATGTTGATCTCGAACTTGGCATGGGAGTATCGAACAGCAGGACGCTCCTCAGTAAACTTTTCCGGAACGTGAATTTCAAGCTTCCTTCGGCTCTATATAAGGTGGAACATTGTTAGTTCATTCCGTCTCGCATCGTATCACATTTTTCGTCTAATACATAGCGACGGGTTCAGGTTTTACTTTACATTCAGCTTCAGCCGTCCACCCAGCTTTCGCCAGTCTCCAATTTCCAGAACCCGGGCTAAGGCCGTGTGGAGGGCCGCCGGATCGAGGACTTCGTCGAACTTCATCGTCCAGCACATGATCATGCTCCGGTTGATGAGCGTATCATCAAAGTAGTGGACAGGATAGACTTCATCGTCGGGTTCGAGTGAAGGAGAAGGCTCTGGCGTTTCCAGCAGAGTCTCCTGCCGTGCATGTTCTAGCTCTTCTTCAGACCCACGTCCAAACAGAGTTGTCCACGGCCGCAAGGCTGCCGCGAGGATTGACATGATGAATTGCACACACGGAAGATAGGCTTAGATCTGCGGATTGCTGAAGATGACAGCGAACATGCCAAGAGCACACGAACAGCCAGCCATTTTTATGCTGGCCGAACGGCCCCTGAAATGATCTCTGATCATGGTTCGAAACCCCAAAACTTTGGGTGAAATGGGACGCGTCACGGATTGCGACTCGAACCACCGGATATATACGAAATCATCGTCTCGGGGATTTTAGGACGGGACGACGGTCGTCGACATTCTCATCGAGAATGATGCCATCGTTTTACAAGGTGACTAATCCGCAATAGAATCTTTAACCTTATCCTGGGTATATTATCTCGCCGAGTTCGAGCGTCGGAGGCCGCGTATTTATCCGTGATATCCCTATCTCTGCCGGATACGGAAGAAGTGGAGGGGGGAGTCCCGGGAACTTGGGCCGTTGGTTGTCTTTTCCGGTGGAGTGGATTGGAAACCGTGGCTTAGGTTGATCTTACAGTCTTCCGCTTATCCATATCTGCTGCTCCTTGAGAGGCAAGCCAGGTGGTCCATGGATCAACATGGGCGTTGGTCATGGGGTTCACAAATTCGGGAGCCAGACAATTGATGTCACCAGAGGTGGTTCTCAGGCACCAGTCCTTCATTAGACTAGTAGTCCAACGATCCATCAAAAACTGACCAGGATCCAAGGCATCCACCAAAAAAATTCTCCAAAGCTGCCTGTCACTTCCTCGACCTGATTGGCTAGACCCCATGGCAAGCTCCAAAGGTGAAGCTTGGGGATTTCCAAGCTCTCCCAAGCCTGGGTATAATAAGTCACAGAAGTTACGCGGACTAAACGGTTACTTTGACATCGATCAACAAGAACTTGAAAAAGAAAAGCCGAAAAAATTATAAAGTAAAACGCATGCCTGTGAGCTTTGAAGACCGATCTGAGACCAAGAGCACCAAATATGTCAACGCTTTTAACGGAAAAGGGAACTCAAACAAGATGCTCCGACGACGATGTCGAGAATCAACATCAACCTACCAAGGATACACAATCCAGTTCAAAAGAGCCTCTTCTGAAAGCTCTTGGATGGCTGGATCGACTCCTAGCTCTTTGGATATTTCTCGCTATGGCCATAGGAATCATCCTCGGCAACTTTGTCCCATCGACTGGGCCTGCTCTTCAAAAGGGAAAGTTTTGCCCATGTCTCGGTTCCCATAGGTAAGTGTGCTGATTTGCATTTTCCTTCTCTCCATCTTTGTTTTCCATTCCTCTCTCTACAACAGGGGCTCAAACTTACGTCAATGTTCTAGCCGTCGGACTGTTGGTCATGATGTATCTGATCCTGTGCAAGGTGCGATATGAATCGCTTCACAAACTTCTCGCTCGAACGAGCCATGTGGAGGCAAATCCTCTTCAGCATTATTCTCAACTGAATAGTCGCACCCTTCTTTATGGTACGGTTAGTCTTGCTAAGCTGGAACGCATACGCTTGTTCTAACTTTCTCCTTAGCCTGGACTTGCATGGGCCTTCCTCCCAGACAGAAGTGAACTGCGAGTTGGGCTCATTCTTGTGGGCCTTGGAAGATGTATCGCCATGGTATGTTAATTCTCATCCACGTTTAACCCCCACATATGTGCTAGATCATACGCTTATTCAGTGATATTTAGGTCCTCATCTGGAACGGCCTGGCGGCTGGAGACAGGGAGTATTGTGCCATCCTCGTAGCCATCAACTCCATTCTGCAGATGGTGCTCTTCGCACCGCTCGCTGTTTTCTCCATTGGAGTAATCAGCGGTGAAGAGGGACATCTGGAAGTGTCATACGAGACCGTTGCTACGAGTGTCGGCGTCTTTTTAGGCATCCCGCTTGGTGCCGCCATCCTCACCAGATTCTCCTTGCGGGCCCTGGCCGAATCGGCATGGTACGACAGAGTGTTTCTCCGATTCGCGGCGCCGTGGTCTCTCATCGGTCTGCTATACACAATCATTGTCCTCTTCACGTCCCAAGGCAGGCAAGTCGTCCATCAAATCGTCTCCGTCGTCCGTGTCGCGGCGCCGCTTGTCGTTTACTTCGTTGCTATTTTCTTTTTTACGCTTTGCATAGCCAAGAAATTCGGTTTCAGTTACCCTCTATGCGTAACTCAGAGCTTCACGGCAGCGAGCAATAATTTTGAGCTTGCCATTGCGGTGGCCGTGGCTACGTACGGTCCGGAGAGTGATCAAGCACTAGCCTCGACTGTAGGCCCGCTGATTGAAGTTCCGGTACTTCTGGGCTTGGTGTACATTGTCCGGCTTGCTCGCGGGCGGTGGGCTTGGAAGGAGTAATTGGGCCGCATCGTCTGGGTAACTCTTCAATCTGGCACCTAATTCAGCCCATCGCGAGTAATCATCCTGTTGGGCGAAGGTCGTCGTCAGAGGTTGGAGGCTACTGAAAACGACCCTCTACGGTGAAAGATTGAGCGCGGTGAAGCGATATCCAACCTTGACATCTATCACTCCTATCGTGCTCTTAGAGTTAGTATACAGCTTGGCATTGCTGGTTATTGAAATATTAACGCGTTCCCATTGGGGAAACAAATTCACTAATGTACAAAAAGTATAAAGTTTCGGCCCCTTTGTCAACCAGGCATTCGTGAATAAAGACGCATGGCACAACATGCGGACACTTTCACTTGCGTAACATGCCTCCCAGTGATGAGATCTCCATTTAGTTGTCGAGCCACTTGAGGAGCTTCTTGTGGAATAACTTAGGGTTCGAGATCTGAGGAGCATGACCAAGCTCAGGGAAGCGGATCAAGGTACCATCCTGCAACTGCCTAACAACCTGGCGACCGAGCTTGTCAAAGTGGCCCAGCTGGGCAGCGACCTCGGGAGGAGCCCACTGGGATCCAATGGCGGTGATATCCTTCTCGCCGATCATGAGAAGAGTGCGGGGCTTGAGGTTCTTGAATTCGTGGGCGACGGACTGGGTGAGAACGAGGTCGACAATCCTGGCCTGAATCTTGACGTAGGCGTCGCGCTCGCTGCCGTAGTAAATGTTGACGAGCATGTTGACCCAAGTATCGTACTCGGGGCGCCACTCGTTGACGTAGTAGGCTACCTGCTCATAGCCACGGATGGATCCGTACGACGATGCGGCCTCGGTGGCGGTGGTGGTGTCAATTGATACGTAGGGAACACCCTTGGCAGTATAATCCTCGAGGCCGACGGCGTTGACGATGACGAGCTCGTTAACGCGCTCGGGGTAAAGCAGACCGAAGCGGGTCGTGAGCATGCCACCGAGGGAATGTCCGATGACAGTCACCTTGTCGACGCCGAGGGTGTCGAGGAGCCCGACGGTGTTGTAGGCGAATTGGTGAAGGCTGTACTGGTACCAGTCGGGCTTGGACGACTTGCAGAAGCCAATCTGGTCGGGTGCGATGACGCGATAGCCGGCCTTGCTCAGCGCGTTGATGGTGCCCTCCCACGTGGCGCCGCAAAAGTTCTTTCCGTGCAACAGAAGGGCGGTCTTGCCGTTGGGAACCTTGCACGACGGCGCGACGTCCATGAAGGCCATCTCCAGCTCTCGGGCCTGAGAGGTGAAGCGGAACAACTTCACGGGGTAGGGGTAGGTGAAGTTGGAGCCATTGAGGTCGGCGGGGAAGGGGCCTTCCACGACGGTGCCGTTGGATTGCGCAGCCGCGACGGAGGCGCCGATGGCGACCAGGGCGGCAGAAATGAACGAAAGGAGCCTCATCGTGAGCGACAGAAGACTGTTCTTATGGGTGCGGGGATAATAACGAATGGACGGCGGGAAGGCTCCAGGAAATCGGAGAGCGCTTGCCCGACAGGTGTGGCTTGCAGACACGGAAAGGTACGGAAGGAATGGAACGAGAGGCGGAGGATGGGAATGGAAGAAAAAGGGTCCCGTCCGAAATTCACAAGACGAAAAGAATGTAAAGGGTGGATGGCACGGGATGGGACGACAGATCAATTGATGGGTAATACAGAACACTTCGGGGTTTGCTGTTAGCATTCAGGAACGGTAGTGCGGCACTGGTGAACCTAAGAAGGACCACGCTAACCTTGTCTCCCCTGGCTTCACGACCTGCCTTCTTGGGATCTCTGTACTGCCAATAATTATAATAATCCAGCACACTTCCGATTCTCCTTCGTGATTGATCAATTGATCCCTCTCATTCCTTGGCCCGCTGGGGCCAGCAGTGCGCCAGTGTCTAAATTGGCTCTCGACTCCAGCGGGGTATAACACGCTCGCTACAGAAAAATCATGGTAATTTCCTCACTTGTGCGGGTGGACGTGTGTGGAGAAGCCTAAAATGTCGCGGGCCGGAGGCACTCAATGTCCAGCATATCGGTGCCTACGAGATCCCAGACAGATCAAAAAATGCCCCAGTTTCTCCCCGGCCAAATCGGAGTCTCGTGCACGAAGTTAAGACAAAGAGGACTCGGAGTATAAAGAAGAGAACCGATAGTTAAATCAGATGTTGTCCAGCCCATCGCGAGTCGGAACCGGAGAAAAGACCGTCGAGTAGACATTGTGGGTATTCCACTCTCAACGCGTAATTATTGATTGATGTCTTAGAGATTAATAGTGCCCAGCTAGCCTGGCCTGGCCATGCAATGGCACACTTTGTGTTGGTAGCAGGGGGTGGCGTGCCCTGCCCTGACTTGCAGATACGAGAGATTTAAAGGGTTGTAAGGGTTGTTTCCGCGCTCCCCGTGGGCGGATTGGGACCCTCGAAGAGTGAAGGGGGGAGAATGCCACCCGACACAATATTATACTACGACGCTGACCTTCCATAAATGCCATGGCTTGCATCAGCAGGGCATCTAACATGCTGTCCTGAGCGCCCTGGGCTAAATACCCTGGGCCTCTGTCTTGAAGAGGGAGGGAATGTAGGAATGGAGGGACAGTGCAGATTAATAATAAAAAAAAAAAAATATATATATAAAAAAAATAAAAAAATAAAAAAAAAAAAAAAATATAAAAAAAAAGCAAAGATGCACCACTAATATCGCAAAGGGACCTGCAGGATTTAGTCCTGTCTGATGGGAAATGGAAGGTCCTCCTGGAGGAGGTGTGGCAGCCAGCGCGGTTTAAGTACTTGGTAGAGAAGATAGACCGACAAAAGCAAAATGCAAAGTTAGGAGCTTAGGTTTTGCACAGACTCTTGATTGGGATGAGTCGCGCTCGCAATCTCCGGCCCGCGCGGAGCTGCCCATCAATCAATCTTATTGGAGCGAATGTGGGAGAAGTACCCCGAGGGATTGGCCCTTTTCCTAATCTAGTCTGGAACATTGGGTGTGCATGACCCGATGTACCAGAGGGTTATCTCTTCTTTTCTTTTTTTTTTTTTTTTTTTTTTTTTTTTTCTTCTTCTTCCCTTGCCTTTTCGTCATTGAAGCATGTTCTCTTTCCCATTCTTTGCCTTCATGTCTTGGCTCCTCCTGGATCCATATCTCTTAATTGGAATCTTATGGTCGACACCTCAACGAATACCAAAACACGATATCTTGTGAACTTTCGCCATTGGCACCTGCCGCCTGCTCAAGGTATCATTTGCAAGAGGATGATGTAGTGGCTGTTATCAATCTAACCTCGCGACCACGTCGATCGGCGACATGACCGCCGACATTCAGACAAGATGAGGAGAGATCAGCAATCGATCTACAAGCCCGTCTAGTTTACTTCACAGCATTTCCAGAAGCCTTCTTGTACACTCCTCTCTCTCCGTAAAGACGGCTACATAATCCAGGCGGCATCCTGGCATGTCGCCTCGTCAAGCGTACTTCGTAGTTCCTCCAGAGAGCGCGCATCACTTCTCTTGCGCAACCCATACCTTTAGCTTTCTAAATAATATGCCATTTTCTACAGACCTGAGCATCCCGTACTGTTGTAGGAGGGAAGGACGATATCATCTCAGAAATTAGTACAATATGACTGTGGCTGACCGGAGATGCAGGATGCGAAGGGACAAGGGTTACGGACAAGACCGGATGCCGCCATTTGGAAGACATGCGACAGAAAACTGCGAGGTATTATTCGTCGCACGTAGATGCAGATGCGGTGTCGGTGGTATCCCAAAATTGACCAATTGATGCAAGTACATGCACCATTCCTTCAAATTTTTCAAGTTCAAGTTATCGTCGACAAAGTTGGCATCATTGGCATCGTTGGCATCGTTGGCATCGTTGGCATCGTTGGCATTTACTTCGTGCTTCGTCGGTGACGAATTTGCTCGCCTGGACCGGCTTCAGATCGTTATCAAAAGGTAGGAAGCATGATAAAGAGTTCGCGCATTTGTTCTCCATCGCGACACTAGGCGATCGCATGCACTCTTGTCCTTTAATAGCAATGATGAGCAACGCCTCGAGGTGGGGGATCGGCTCGATCAGCCGGAATGGGGATTTGCGAAGACACTATTTTGTGTCCTCATCTCCCAAAGGTCCAAGTTTGAATTCTCAAGCGATTGATTCCTCCCTCATGTGTACCGAGGTACAATTCTGTGTATGGCCTTAACAGAGCAGTGGTTGAAGAAGGGCTACTGAACTAATTACTTCGTACCTCCAAAGTAACTTTTCCATGCAATGCAACGTTGATGAGAGAATTCCAGGAAACATTTTCTCAGAAACCCCAAACACGAATCCCAAAACCAAAAAGTCTCGGGAATGGATCCCCTTAGAAGGCCCCTAAAACCTCCCGGGGCCCTGCACCAGGGATTGTAATTGGTGGCACTAAAGTGGAAGCGGAACTTTGCGAGCGGCGGCACAAAAGAAGCCAGCTGAACACCCACATCCAGTGGAGAATTAATCGAGATTTTCTTCTCTCTCCTCTCTAACTAGTGTACACCACCGCCTGGGCATATCCGGCTCCATGATCCGGAGTAGACGAAGCACCCTGCTAGACCCGCTAGAGATTGGAATCGTACGAAGATTCAAAGAATGCCGGACTTAGCGCCGATACCGCTGCCGGCATCATTAAATCCTTCGTTATTAACAGATTACTCACGTATTCTCACCCGCGAAGGATTGACGAAATTGAGCACATTATTAGCAGTTCGTTCGACGTTAAGGTGGGTGTCCCAACAAGACGACTCGGCATGCTCGGAAAGCCATTCAGCCAGCCCCAGGACCTGGCGACCCAAGTTGGGGTGGATGGGAATAGAGAATGTGGGCGCACACTTACTGGCGGCTGGGCTGCCAAGCAATCTTATTTCCTGGCCTGTCTGGAAACTCGCCCTTGATCGTACACCGAGGGAGCGAGAGCATTCCCGCCTGCCTGACTGAGCGAGTGCATGGCGCAAGGGAGCAACCAAGAGTACTACGTTGTAGGTGTAGGTCTTCACGTTGCCTCCTCCTTCCGTACTTCGTAGTTTATCATTTTGTTCGTCACATGCAGGAATCACAGAATTCCAAAGATCCCCTCAGCTTTTCCAGAAGAGACTCATCGTTTTTTTTCCTCTTTGGAAACCGAGAACTGAGACACACCTAACCATCCGTGGGGTTCCGTGTCCCACATTTTTTAAGTGGACTTTTGCGCTCTGCAGGGCTCTCTGAAAAGTAAACTTTCCTTCCCTGCTGGGAACCGTGGGCCGAGATGGAGCCCCTGATGTGAAACTACATTCCTTGGGTGGGTGATCTCTCTACTCAGCCCTGCTGAGATTCCCCCTTCAAGCCCACTTTGTTATGCAAAGCTCCCACACAATTCCTGGGATTTCCGCCCCACCCCTCTCTGTGCCGTGTATGTAGATACAAGACCCTCTCCGAATATGGCCAGTCATGAGTCGTGCCCGGCATGTCACTGGATGCTTTTTTCACCTTTTTTCACTTCTGATCCTGCCGATCGTCGAGGTCGCGTCATGTCAGTCCTAACGGTGGAGGCCGCAGTCTTCACAATGCAACTTTAAATCCTCGGAACCCCAGCCGAATCCTTCTCCTCGTCGCTTCTGTGACTGTGACTTATCCGATCCATAAAAATCTGTGTCTCCCCCTCCAGGATCCCCGGCACGGAGTGGCCCCTCCTTCGATGCCTGTGCCTGACTGTTTCTCAATATCACCCAGTCGACACACCAATTCTTAGGACATATCGAATCTCGCCCTCGGCTTGTCGTCACTTGTTCTGCTTTATGGTTTAAGACTGGGTGGACTAGAACCTTTTCCTCGACTGTCTTCCGGCCCAGTCGGCCGTTGACAATCATGGCAGTTTCCGGAAACCTTCCCGGCGAGAGCAATGCCTTCATGGTCCAAATCCCATGCATCGTCTTCTTCGCGCTCACGCCCATTTTCGTCGGAATCCGAGTATGGTCAAGAATAAAACTGCGATCCGGCCTGTCCTGGGATGACTGGACGATCTTGGTCTCGTTTGTACGGCACTCCTTACCTCTTCGCAATGCTCCACGGCTAATATGGACGCTGACATCTCGTGTTTTCATCTCTAGGTCTGCACTATGGTTGTTGCGATTCTGATGATGATATCCTGTGAATATGGCTTTGGAAAGCACATGAAAGACTTGTCTGTCCCCAACAAACTCATGGCACTCAAGGTAATAAGGACCGATGTTACTTTCTTTCTTTTCTGTACCCTGTCTCGTATCATTCAAGGCCCAGGATCGTGGATACGATCAACCGGAACCAACCTACACCCCCTCGATATTCGACGAATGCTAATCAACCAGACAGCTCTTCTATATCGCCCAAATCTTTTACAAGTTGACAATCAATCTCACCAAGGCCTCCATCGTCCTTCTGTTCCTCCGAATCTTCGTCCAGAGATGGTTCTGCATCACGTGCTACACTCTCCTCTCGATCATCATCGCCTACATGGTTGCCACGACTGCGTCGTCCATCTTCCAGTGCACTCCAATTCCTCGAGCCTGGGACAGGAGTATTGCCGGGACTTGCATCTCCCTTACGATAAATTGGAATGCCAACGCCGGGTATTCCATCGCCACTGATATCATCATTATACTTTTGCCGCAATATCCTATTTGGAAGTCGAAACTGCCAGTTAATCAGAAGAGGGCTCTGATGGCCGTCTTTGCACTTGGTGGATTGTATGTGAATGTCCTGGGTTTCACGGAAGGGTTGGGGCAACTTGAGATCGCTAACTCTGTGAACCAGCGTCACGGTAACGAGTATCCTACGGTCAACGACTCTTAATTTCTCAACCACAAGTCCTGACACGACGTGTAAGTTAGGTTCCCGATCAATATCCACAACTCCACGCCCTGATTACGCAACATCCTCCGATATTCCTCCACAGTCACTACTAGCGCAGGAACGGCGTATCTTTACCAACGTTCCAGCCACTAACATTGTCTCTTTTCAACAGATGACATCACCTCCACTTTATGGACTATGATCGAGATGCACGTCGCCATCATCTGCGCTTGTCTCCCCATGTGCAAACTCCCCCTTACCTATATATTCCCGAAATTGTTCCCCACCATCGGCGGCTCCTCGGCCCACGGCTCCAGCGGCGCCTCTCACCACCAGTACAGCAACACGACTCGGGATGGCGGACGGAACGACTGGTCGGGCTACCCTTCCAGGAGGGAGCAGCTCCACAAGGCGGGAATCAGCCTTGCTACCGTATCGGCGAGGACGAATAGCGGAGACGACACGAGCGAAGAGTACATGCTTGACACGGTGGCTGGCAAGTCGGGCCACACACACGACCATGAGGCGGGAGGCATATTTACGGGAGAGGAACCGACGCATAGGAATCAAATTCGAATGACCAAAGGCTACCATGTGAGCTATGAAAAAGGTAGGCAATGATGAGGAAGGGGGATCGTGGAGGAATGGAGCACGAAGAGAAGGATTAAAATGAACAAGGCCCAACGGCTGGAGGTACCGAATCAACGGAACTAGGCGCGCCGACGGAAACCGCGAAGCGAAAATTAAGAAGAGATGAAAAAGGTGGTGGAATGCGTAATGAGCCAATGTAAGATACCATGTCGAATTGTAATGTACGGATTCGGATCATCTTCTGGCCCACGATAGGTGCGGCGCTGAATGCATAATCGAGAAATGATACCCGGAGATCAGACGAGCATTCAACAGATTCGGTGACAGTAGAGTTACTTTTTGCTACCAGCCATCTGGGAGATGCCGGGAAAGTCTGGGCTGCTTGGAGAAGTGATGTGTCGGGTTGTGGGCGAAACGGAACGGAGGGAGACATAATACTTGGTTGGAGACACTTCGGTATCAGTTTGTCGTCGAGCGTAGGTCCTTGCTAAGATTCGTTTGACTGACATACTAGCCGCGAGACAAGCCCATGGCCTAGAATTGTATCCTTCAGGCTTCCCAATGTAATATTAGCACTTTGGTGGAACCAGCGCCATGGATGGTTGGACACAAGAGTCGAGAATCGAGACACCTAGTCCTTTGAAAGGAGAGATGTTGGAACTTTACCCCCGTTCGCTTCTCCCGAGAGTCATAGAGCCGGGCCTGGCTGCTGAGGCTGCAGTCGAATGCCGAGCATGCGCATATCCTACGCTTTCGACAACCCATTCACCCGTTAACAGCAAAGTGGATTGGCATCATCCGAAATTGAGTATTGAAAAAGAGGAAAGATGCGTCGGAAGTGCGTCTTTCCCCTGGCCTAGTTCTGGTTAGGTTCTGACGCCGAACAGGCGATTAGAATATTGACGAGGCTAGGAGGGTGGATGTCGTCGTTCATGAGCTTGTCGAAGAGTTCCTCATCAACCTGATTGACGCCGTTGATTACGTCCACACCACTTGGGTGGCCATCGCATAAAATGACCATGAGGCCTGGGTCTCCAGAAGGAAGTTGTTAAAGGAATCGGAACTACGACTGCCTTCGAACACCCTACCATTGCGGCTGATGGGAGTCGATCTGCGTTCCAGAGTAAGCTTTCTAAGAACATCCGGGAACTGGCTCTCTAAGGTCACCCAAGAGGATCATTGCCTGTTCCTATCACAGAACGATGGCGGACTCAACGACTGAATTAAAGGAGACCTCGCGCTCAAGTGCTATCCTGTTCCAAAAAGGAAATCGAATGTAAATGTTTGGCCCTAATCTACGTTGGTGGTATATGGCAACTCGACTGTTGAGTCCGACAAATGTACACGCGAAATGTATCCTGATCTATGTCTCCCTACTCCCGATTTGTCACGATAGCAACGCGGATGGGTAAATTGTAGGCTCAAATATGGACCTGGGAACACCGGAGGGTATTTCTGGTTCCCGGACGGTCATATCAACAAGCGCCACAGACCAGCTCCGAGCTCAAGCATGGCCATAATCGATAGCGTCGATCCACGCTACGTTGATGTTCAAAGGTGTTTGTGGGGCAGGCGGATAAGCTAGTGCCGTACCCCGCAAAAATAGGCGTCCTGGTTATCAATGGTAATCTGTGGATGCTATCTGTGCACGGGCTATCTCCCATTACCACCCAAACGCCCAGCGGAGGAGATCCGGCCGCCACCCCTAGCTCAGAGATCGCGGGACATCACCAAGTGCCCAGATGGGACGACGATAACGCGCCTGGGACCGATGTGCGTCGCGTATTTAAGAAGGATTCAATGACACACCTTGCTCCTGGATCGGCGCAAGCACCATCCATCCCATCCCGACACACAACCCCAAGCAAAATGACTGACAAAGCATCTCAAGTCGCCGACGACAACAAGCTTTCCGACACCAAGATAGCACACAAGCCCTTGGCAGATGGCGTCCATGACAATATAGTCGATGTGGCCGCGGAGTACTCTGACCAGTACTACCGGAAGCTCCTGTGGAAGATTGACCTCTTTCTTCTACCGCTGATGTGGATATGCTATGGCACGCAACAGACCGACAAGACCTCCCTCAGCGTCCAGGCCGTGTTCGGCATCCGAGAAGATACTGGCCTTGTGGGTGAACAGTTCAACTGGCTGAGCACCATCTTCTATCTCTCTTACATGGTCTGCGAAGCTCCCGGCAATTGGCTTATGCAGAAATGTCACACGGGCAAATTCCTATCCATCGTCATGGTCCTCTGGGGCGTTATTGTGCTCTGCATCGCCTTTGCCAAAAACTTTGCCCATCTCATGATTCTTCGCGCGTTTCAAGGCGCTTTAGAATGCACCATTTCTCCGACCTATATGCTAATTACCGGTGCATGGTATACTTCCCAAGAACACACTCTTCGCTCGCTCATTTGGGGAACATCCAATGCTGGCATGAACATCCTAGCCGGTCTGAGCATGTACGGCATTGGTCTTCATGCCGAGAAGCACCCAGGTGGCCTTGCTGCGGTAAGATATCTTCCTATACCAACCAAGCATAACTTCAAAAATCTAACTTATGCCTCCAGTGGAAAGGTATCTCTTTCTTACTTGGGGCCCTGACCATCACCTGTGGGATCCTTGTCTGGTTTATCCTGGGAACTCCGCGTGAGGTTCGTTGGTTAAGCGAAGACGAGAAGCGCGCTGCAATCGCTCGCATTGTTACAAACCAGACAGGATCTGATCGCGAAAAGAGATCTGAGTTCAAGTGGGATCAGGTTTGGACCACATTTAAAGGTATGATGATGCATGAGCCTTTAATGGAGTTGACGACAAAAACTGATTTAAGCTCTGTGGCTGGCAGACCCTCAAACTTACTTCTTCTTCTTCGTTACTATCGTTAACGCACTACCAAACGGTGCCAATACCACGTTTTCAAAACTGATTTGGAAGTCCTTTGGATTTACGCCTTTGGAAACACTGATCAAGGGGTCAACGCCCTATTATTGTGTGAGCATTTGCTGGTTCTTGATTGTTGGATTCGTCACGCTTAAGAAGCCAAATCTCCGATGTAAGTTCCTGTCAGAAGTGCCGTCCTGCTATCTCCGGGCTGACTCGAAACTCAGTCCTCATGATGATGTTCTCTCTTGTGCCTGCATTTTCTGGTATGATGGCGCTCGCATTTCTGCCTCAAAATACTATGAAGTGGACAAGATGGGGCATGTATATCCTTCAAGTGTTTGGGTCACTCCCCGGACTCAGTAAGTTTTCAGTCAGTCTTCTGCATTACGGCCTTTCCTCTGCTAATCATCACCAGTGATCTGGACTTTCTTGCCATCCAACGTTGCGGGCCGAACAAAAAAGACAGTCACAGCCACAATCCTCTTCATCGCTTACTGTGTCGGTAACGCTGTGGGAGCTCAGATGTTTGTTGCATCTGACGCACCAAGATATATCCGAGGTATTACGGCCTGTGCTGTCCTATACCTTGTAGAGTTCTGCAGCATGGCGACATGGCGGTTCTACTGTAAGCATTTGAAGCTCCATTTCTACTTAACTCGGCTAATTGATATACTCAGACATCTGGGAGAACCGCCGACGGGCAAAGCTCATTCGGGAACAAGGTATTTCTGAGGAGGAGAGCGAACGAATTGGCACAGCGAATGCGGAAGCCGACATGACTGACCGTGAGAACATTCACTTCAAGTACAAGTATTAATTCTTGCTAGCCAAACCGGAGGAGAGGTGTGAGGATATGGGCCATGAAGAGGTCGAGGACGGCTTTATCCGTCAGATAACACGATGCATGCCGTCATGTTGCATCTAGTTTTGAGCGTAACAACTAGAGATAGCAGTAGGAATTCTAGCACATGGGGTTTTTCTAAGTCACCTTGCTCATAGTCCTTTCTGCGGAGTTCAAGCTCCCCTGTGCCGCTGCCGTAACCTCTACTTTGCAATTCTGGGTAGTAGTAGTCTAGGCTTGGGTGGGCAAAGTGCGCTCGTTTCTCCGATGGTCTTGTTCATTTGTCAATTGGCTGGCCAAATTATACATGGAAGACATTATCATCTCCACTCCCGTGGGGGAATATGACATGGGCTTCCATAACAGGTCTTAATGAGGTGTGTCTAGATATGCCTAGTTATTCAAAGGCGATCTTTGCGTAGGGCACCCATTTTTCTTCTTCTTCTTTTTTTTTTTTTTTTTTTTTTTTTCTTTTTTTCATAATATTTTCTATGATTAGAGCCTATTGCTTATCGCCACTAAGTATTTCGCCAATCTTAGTGAGCTCGTCCCAACGCTCATCCAGCTGTATCTCGATCCTGCCTTGTGGGGTGGCCACCTTTATCTCTTGCACGGTATTGGTACCGTAGTCGTACGACTCATCATTGTTGACGAAGGCAACTAGAATCTGAATCCAGTCTTTCATCAATGTTTTCTCTTCAGGCGTCGGCCCAAGTTGGATCGAGAAACTTTATCGCACTTGTTAATAACCCAAAGTCCGAGGCCAAGAAGCAGGGGCTGAACGGCTTACTTCCAAAACGGTTTGTCCATTGCGTGCGCAACCCCAAACGACATTGGTGCTACAGCTTCGTCAATAAATGACAATCGGTAGGCGATTTGATAGCGCCATATATCACGGATATTAGCACCATTCGCTTCCAGATGCTTCACCAGTGCCCTGGACGGCGCCCGGACCTGGCCGTCGGAGATAATGTTGCCTAAGGAATCGAAATAACGTTGTCAGATTGGTGTCTTACCAGATACTCCCTTCAGTTCGTCTGATGGGATCCTACCGAAAAGATTTTTCCAAAGAGCCAAGTCTTTAGAAGCTGGCAGCGGGTAGCAATCGATTGCCCTCTCCGTGACTTCTGGGGCGTAGTAGTTCATGACCTGAATCTTCAATGCTTCGAGGGTGGGTTCCGTCGGACTGTTGTAAGTAGAGTATAAAGTCTCTTCATTGGCAACCTCGCCAATGAGAATTTTGTACCCCCTGGCCTTGAATTCATCTGCGAAAATTTTGGTTTGAAGATATTCCATCATTCCCGGGTAGATAAAAAGGTCATCGGTGACCGGACGGAAAGTGTGATGCTCCAGCCGGGGAATGGCTTCCATAAGATCTTCAACACTGAGCTTCCGCAGAAATTCAAATTTCTTCTCCGCAGACCAACTGGGTTCAATCTTGAAATGCTTGCATAGTTCGTCAAACTGAACCTGAGCATCTCGCAAGGATTTCGGCTGTGCAGGTATCGCATTCGAATCCATAAACACGCGTCGGAACAAGGAAGTTTTAGGGCCCGGCTTGCGGAAGTCGTAACACATTTGAGCTTCAACGCTGTATGCTCCAGCGCTCCGACCAGCAAGGGTGATATTATTCGGGTCGCCCCCAAACCAGGAGATATTTTCCTTGACCCATTCGGCAGCCATCCGCTGGTCCCAAAGCCCAAAATTTCCTCCCGAATCTCCTCTACTTTCCTCAACTAAATCCTGCCCGGCAAGAAAGCCAAAGACGTTCAATCGATAACCTATAGCCACGACGACGGCATTTAGGCCACCGGTCGAGATCAGTTCGGTCGGATCCATGTCGGATTCTTGCGATGGATTGCCCATTTGAAACCACCCCCCATGTAACCACAGCATGACAGGCCATGGCTTCCCGTTTTCGTTGCCCACCGGGGTCCAAACGTTGACGAAGAGGCAGTCCTCGCTGTATACTCCGGATGGGTCTTCATTTTCTCCGACATGGAATGCGTTCTGGGGGCAGACTGCTTTGAAGACGGTGGCATCGAACGGGTTACTCCCTCCATCTCCGTAGGTGTAATTTGGCGGAAGTCGCCTCGGCTTGCGCCAGCGATACTCGCCAGTTGGTGGAAGCGCATATGGGATGCCGGCATATCGACGAGACTTTTCGTCAAATTGGAGTCCTCGAATTGTTCCCTTATCGCCGAGACTCAAATCAAAGGGCTTCTGGTCGTATGAGATGGTATTCCCCATTTTGGTTTAGAACGAATGACTGGCTTCAACGTGAGTCCCAGGTAGATTCAAGCAAGGGTGTCCTCGGATGAAAGGTTAACAATTGTGTCCAGGGGCCCTCTTTACATTGATTTTGCTATGTTCCGAGATCCGACCCGCCCACAATCGGCTTTTCATCCCGCTATAGGGGCTGTCCCATTGTCGGCCGGATCTAAATCCTGTTCGCCACTTCAAGTCCCCGGCTAACCCAATACGGGTCGTCTTTAAAAATGACAGACAGGGCCTCCAATTCCCTTATCAACAACACGCAAGCAAGGTACAAGGGTAAACCATAACGCAGAATTTCATATCGGATGAACGCATTAACGCATTACTACCGCATTTGAGCAGCAGCGGCAGGCAGAAACAATTATGGGAAGCCTCAATCTCAAACTGGAACCGGTAGACCTCTCTCATCACATCAACGTGAAGAGCAAGTCTCGCCATCCGTCGCCCCTCAAAGATATCATTAAATTCATGGCCTACGATGGCATGATCAGCTTAGCTGGAGGTCAGTTTACAAAGCGATCGCGGCATTACCTTAACAACACTGATGATAGTACAAGGCCTTCCCCACCCCTCGTTGTTCCCGCTTGAGAGGGCTAAGTTCGACTGTCATCGCCCTTCGTCTCCGTCCAGAGGGGCAACGGACAGCCAGATAGTGAGCCTTGATCTTGGTCGAGGATTGCCCTCGGGAGATTTGGATCTCACTCAATTCCTACAGTATGGTATGGAACCAACGTTGAACCGATCCCATTTGTCCTTCCTTGGCAGCTGACCGTTCAACCCCAGGATCCGGTGCCGGTAACCGACAGCTTATACAGCTCGCAAAAGAATTAACGGAGCAAGTGCACGCACCACTGTGTGAGTATGAATGCCTTCTGCATCCGGGAAATACAAACGCCTGGTCAAAGGTGGTTGGCTTGCTTTGCGAGGACGATGATTTTGTCATTGTTGAAGAGTTCACCTATCCATCTGCCCAAGCGCTGTGGATTCCGCTAGGAATCAAGGCAGCCCCGGTCTCAGCCGACGCAGAAGGTATACTAGCAACGAGTTTGCGAGAACTGCTCGAGAACTGGGATGAGAACGCTACAGGAGGGAGACGGCCGAGGGTGTGAGCATCTCCCATCCTCTAATCTTGATTATGGCTCAGCGGTGCTGATAGGGCCATTTATAGGCTTTACCTCGTTCCCGTAGGCTCCAATCCAACGGGGATCTCGATTTCGGCGCATCGACGCAAAGAAATTTACGCAGTCGCCACTGAGTTTGGTATGTAATTAGAAATTCCATTTTTGGCTGCATCGTGTTCGCTAACCCTTACTAGACTTGGTCATTGTTGAAGATGATCCGTACTATTTTCTGCAATACCCAGGATACTCGCCCCAAGGAGTAGATCAACCTTTCAAGCTTAAGTCTACAGAGGAGTTCTTGAACTCTTTAACCCCGTCATTCCTTTCTATAGATACCCAAGGCCGCGTTATCCGCCTTGAGTCCTTTTCTAAGACGCTGTTTCCCGGCTTGCGGCTAGGATATTTTGTCGCCAATCCTCTTTTCACTGAACGACTGCTCCGAGCGACTGAGGTGGAGACGCAGGATCCTGCAGGTCTCAGCCAAGCATTTACTCTGGCTCTTTTCCAACAATGGGGTGATGACGGATACTTGACGTGGCTTCAGAAGTTGCAATTCCAGTACAAAACTAGACGAGACTGGTTAATTTCCGCCTTCTATGACCAGTTTACAGTTGTCCCAGCTGCCGAGTCACCAGTGCCGACTGCACAAGGCTATGTGGCCTGTTTGGAGGACAAGAGGAGTGCAAAGCTGCTAGCCATCTTCAGTTTCACGGATCCTGAAGCCGGAATGTTTGTATGGTCAAAATTTTACTTCGACGATGTTCCCCGTTTCATTGAACTGGAGGGTCAAGCTCTGGAGGACCCGGAGCAAGCTTTTGCTCAAGAGCTATGGGAAGCCATGATCTCGGAGCGCGTCCTACTGACTCCGGGATCCTACTATCACGCCTGGCAAGGACCTGATAAAATGTCTACAAAAGCTCGTGGAGCAGACCCAAGATCCGCCTATTTCCGGTTTTCTTTTGCAACTCCGACGGTAAGAAATATTACAGTTACTCGTCATATTCCGAGACTAACAGTCTTGCAATGCAGAGAGAACAGATTTATGAGGGTGTAAAGCGCGTAAGCAAAGTCACGAGCCGGTTTTGGAAGGAGACGATATAAGGTATACAAACCCGTTCGGTACTCACTTATAGACGGCGACATGGTCTAAATCTACATTCTACATTTGATTCCGAAAGTTTGTCTTTAAAAGATATAGAATAGATAAGAACTTTTCCTGTATTAATCTGGTACTTGGCCCACTTATCCCTATGTGCAACCTGGAAAGCCCGCAGGTTGGAGAACCCCCAGTCCGTGATTCATTCGGGCCGCTCGAAGTTGCATACAAGCATTCGAATTCCACACACCAACGTACCACCAAGCCGCTATTTCGCTGTCTATGTTTACTCACTTGATCTTTTCCAAGTTGATACTCCGTGTCCCCATCGCCGATGGCTCCAATCCTCAGGTGACCCACATAGAAAAGGCGGGTGCTAACCAGGGAGTGAAGATTTCCGACCTGTCCATACAGTCCTCTTCTACTTGACATCATCGAAGCTGAATCAAACGACTCTCCACGCTCGAAGATGTTTTGCTTGGCTAGTAACCCAACGTAAAAGAGTCATATTACAGAGTCAGGCCCCCTTAATACGGATCATACTCTTCTGAAGGGGACTTTTGTATCTGGCGCGGGGATAGAGCGCAAGCACCCAGATACATACTGCTTAGCTCGCATGGATACTTCAATTTAACTGGTTCGCTACTGAGGTACAGGGATCTTGTCGTCCTAGTTAATGGATTCATCTAACTGGCGACACAACCGCGAACCTCGTTAGGGTACCGAAGGGCAGGGGCCATCAGCTCGAGACTCATGGTGGGCGTCATTCTAGATATACTCTAGGGGTCTAAATAGTGTAAACAACAAGAACTTCGCTAGACTGAACAGCAAGTCTTTGAGCCGGGAAGATCTTGCCCTTCCTCTAGTATTCTGAACTCGTCCGCAAAAAAAGATCTATACTTCCTAGTCCTGGACACTCGGCTTATTTCCTCCAACTCTTCTCTCTGCAGATGAAATGCCGTCACTTCCTTTACGTATCCTTGTAGTCTGTTCTTATTTCCGCTGGTCGTGACTACCGAAGCGCCTTGGTCGATGACCCATCTCAGGAGAATGGCTGACTGACTGACACCATATTTCTCGCTCAAGTGCTTGCAGACGTCGTCTACCGGCCCTGGCGATGCCTTCGTCAGCGGTGTCAGTGAGGCAAAGCCTTGAGCTCTAATGTCGTTGCGGCTAAGGTAGGCCAGCAGGTCTGGCTGTTGTAGGTACGGGTGCATTTCGATCTGGTTGAGGGCTGGTCTAATAGTGGCAATCTCTAGGATCGGTTCTAGATGTTGGATGGCAAAGTTTGCAAGCCCAATGTGACGTGCGAGGCCGCGCTGGACGCACCTCTCCATTCCCAGCCATGCGTTTTGAAGCGCGCTCGTCGACGAGTTGGCCGAGAAGGGGGAATGGATGAGGTAGCTATCAGATTGAAGTTTGTGTCAGAAAGGACTACTCTATTAATTTCACCAAATCTAGAAGACGGAAACTGTACACACTTGTCAACATAATCAGTCCTTAGCCTGACGAGGCTATCCTCCAGACGTGCCTCCACATCGTCGAGATGTACTACTTTGGTTGTCAGGGTAATTTCAGATCGGGGCACCCCTGACCGCTCGATCGCCAGTCCAACTTCGGCTTCTGTGTTATACACTGTGGTAGTGAAATCTCCCATCAGTTCAACCCGACGACGCTGCAAGGAATCTTGGGTGATGTTGTTGCAACTTACTCTGAGCCCCGTCGAAATGGCGAAAACCTGCGCCAATTGCTGCCTGAATAGCCTCGACTGTACGATCGTCGATATCTCCTTCGGAGTCTTTGAACCATAGCGTCCCAACGCCATAGGCCATCTGCAAACAACAAGTGTCAATTTTGGTGCCAGCAGAACCGTGGGAGGTAACAAGAATCAGAAAGGGATTGACAGTCAGGGGACACGCACCAAGTGCAAGCTCGGTCCGGACTCCATGCTGAAGATTTTGCTGGCCTGCTAGTGAGACTGTGCTCTCATTGTCCGAAAGTTGTAGAATCACATCTCATGGACCCGAAGATCAAAGTGTGTGGATGATTTGTGTGGCATGCTTCCATTTCTAGTGGTGGTCATCGGGGTGCCTTCCCGCCAGTAGCTGAGATCCGGCCGAGATTTGTAACATGGGCTTTGGATTGACGATGATGAACTATTTTGGAAGCTCGAATGTGGAGTTCTACCTTGCTTAGCGTGAGCAGCCAAGGATAACTAGTCGACCCAACAAACCTGGTTTCTTATCATGGCAGTAAATCTCACTAGCTTGGTGCAGCGGAAGAGATCCGAAGTGGGCAGAGGTACAGCTTCCAATACTGATTAGCTTCGACGGATCAGATCCGACAGGCTCCACACTCAAGTATACTTGATAAAGGATTTATTCGAGATACTTTGTGTTCAAGTTTTCCCCCATCAGTCTTCCGCTCGTCGGCTCCTGCCTCGGATATCGTTTTTCATTACCACCCTCCGACCACTCCCACCCTCCTTGATCATGGCCAACCAAACCCTATCGCCGGTGGTGGACCGGACTGGTAGAACACGGCTACGCGATTCGCTCGAGAAGGCAAAGAGAGGCGAGGGACCGAGTATAGGGCAATGGCTTGAATTTCCTGGGTACTCACTGGCCAAAACGGTAGCGCGGTTGGGGGCAGACGTAGGTGTTTCCAGGTCCCGTTGAATTCTGATTTGCTGACTCTCGTAATGATATTGCAAATTCAGTGGGTCCTCATTGATACGGAACATGGCAACATAACCGACAACGAGATGGCACTTCAGATCGGGGCTGTTTCATCATCTGGGGTGTCGCCTGTTGTGCGTGTAGTTGCGTCAGAGCCCTGGATGATAAAGCGAGCACTGGATTTCGGAGCCCATGCTATCATGGTGCCAATGTGTGAGACCAAGGTACATTAGATGCTCTCAGATAACGCCAATCATCGACTGAAACTGTGGTCCTAGGAACAAGCCGAAGGGATTGTACGGTGTTGCAAGTACCTATCCGCCAGCTGGCCGCAGGGCCTCCGCCCCGTCGGCGCCATGTTCGCCCCTCCTGCGTTCAACCAGACAGACCGAGAGTACTTACTGAGCGCCAACGATAATGTCATGGTTTGCGTGCAAATTGAGAGTCGGAAGGCCGTGGAGAACATCGAGCAGATAGCTAGTGTGGAGGGCATCGACATGCTTTTTATCGGACCCAATGACCTTGCAGCGTCCATGGGATACGTAGCTGCCGATCACGCGTCGATTCCCGAGGTGCAAGAGGCCATCGCACACGTGCTCAAGACCGGTCTCGCAGCCGGAAAGTACGTCGGACATTTTGCGCTCAGCGCCGAAGAGGCGGCCGAGCGGGTCAGGCAGGGGTTCCACTTTGTCAACTGCGGCGCCGACATCGTAGCTCTTACAGCATGGATGACGAGTGAGATGGGAAAGCTGAAGCACCTGGTTGCTGGGGATATGAAACGATTTAAAAAGGAAAGCCTCAACGGCGCAGACACTTAGAATTATTTTTAGATTTTATAGAGAACGATAAGATATAATCCGCTTATAAGTTGGGATCCGTAGAAATCACTCAATTTACGTAGGCATTGCGTAGGAGGACTTGAAGTGTCTCGCTGCGCTGCAGGACCCCTGGATACACTCCGTCCAGCTGGACTAACCGTGTTATACATAACTGAACTTCCTCTGCAGCTCTTGCGTTACGTGATACCTGGAAAGCTTTGAGGCTTCATGTTTTCGTAGTTAGCAATATTCAACTCCATGAAGAGGCAACTTACAGAACAAAACCTGATAGGTAGAGAACATGTACGCAGAACGCAAGATAGTGGGATGGGGGTATATTTGAGCTGATAAGCTCGGAGCCCCTGACGATGCCTCTAGCGGCTGTGATGACTTTACACACACTGCCGCCGGCACCAACGTCTTCGGTTTCAAACATGGTGGCATCGATATCCCATACTTCTATGAGTGGACTGGTCTTTCGTTAATTGCCCAAGAGTAGTAAGAGTAACGGAGATTCGTATGCGATGCTACTCACAGATTCAAGTTGATAACAGCGATGGCGTGGAGCATGAAGGTGAGCGTACACATCGCTAGGTCTACGCCACCATGCTTTTCTGGCTCGTTGGCTGCGAATTTTACCCATGCCGGGATCTTTTCCCGAACCCATTCGGAGAGCTGTGTTTCCAGCATGGCAGCTTGGTTGTCTCCTATCCAGTAGTGTTCAAGGTCGTGGCCCTGAGCATCTCGTAGTCGGTCCTTGGTGGAATAGCTGATTGTATCTAGGATGCGGCAACCTTGGGCTAGGGCGACGAAACCAGCTATCGGCGGCGACTCGCTTCTCGCGAGGCCTTCCCCTAAAGGACTCCTAGTACTAGGGGTCGTGGGGGTATCTTCGGCGATCTCGGGAAGTCGGCAATCGTATTCGGAATCGAGTATACCTGTCGGCCGGCCGAGACAGGTCGACAAGCAGCTATTCAACGTGTACACGCACCACCACACACGTGACCGTGACTGGTCCTGCTCGCTACCTGCGAAATTTATGTGGAGGCCCAGATCCTGGGTCGCCCGGACGGCTTGGCCGGCAAGCCTCCATCCTTCGGTGAGGCGGTTCCAACTAGCAGCGCATGTGGCGAGGATGGCCAGGCACTGGATTTCTTCCAGCCCGCCGCGGCCTAAATTCCGATAATGGTCAAGGAGAGAAACTTCAAAATAGTCTCTCCCATTGGTGTCCTCCTGGTTCTGGCGAGGAACGGCCAGCATGTTGGAAGCACAGGCGTAGACTGCAAAGAGAACGGACCTAAAAGGACTCGGCTCCTGGTTTGTAAGGCTACGGCCCAGATACTCCTCGTACTGGCGGGTAAAAGAACCTTCGTGAAGGATCGGAAACATGGTATTTATTCCCGTTAAAAAGAGATTGACAAGAATATCGCTCATGTAGCGTGGGGGGTGTTTACAATCCCGTAAACCTACACTGCGAAGCGGCGTGGCTTCGTTCGCCCCAAACAATGAGGAGGCCAACAAGTCAGGAAACGTCGGGGTGGTAACACTCGCTGTCTGACATGCTCTGTAATTTTGAAAGATATTCACAGCGAGCGTGTTGCTTGCGCCGCCAATGTACCTGCAGAGTGGTCAATTTGGCTACAACGACGTGCATGAAGCTCGACATTCCGTACCTATAAGTGTTGCTCGCATCTGGTATGAGGTTGCTTATTTCTGCGAGACTTATATCGGGCACGTTATCCTCAGATTCCATTGGATTAATGGTCGTATGGTCTCCATCCGAGTCTCCATCCGCAATGCTGCCTTCCCGGTCGGACAAGCTTGAAGTTCGAACTCTGCTCGCTGGGCGTCGTGGTGAGGCCTGATCGGTTGCCTTGGGCATCTCTTCGAGTCCTTCAACGGCGGTGGAGAGCCGTGTTATCATCTGCTCCATCCGACCGCACAGGCCGTCGAGCCTGTCGTACTGGATGCCCAGGTTAATTGCATCACTGAGATCGTAAGTTAGCCGCCCAGAATATCCATGTAGTGGGGCAATTCCGATCATACCGTCGACTCCTGGCAGCGTTGTCGCTTGCGTCCGAATATATGCATGGAAGCCTACGGTCGCTGCAGAAGCTGCAAGGTGTGGTACCGTTACACTTTTTCTGCACATCTCTTCAATAAAAGCATGGGCATGGGTAGGAGGCTTCACGGACAAACCTTCTTCTTGCGGCAGTTTTCGCATGCTCTCCAGGTTCGAGGCGTACTCCTCGGAGGTGAATGGCCAGGAGAAGACATATTAATGAGCTTCTCTCTAGGATTGTTGCGACGTCTGAATAGCGGGGAAGGTCTCGACATTGAGAGTAGGTCCGCCCCGAACTCAAACGACCATCAGACTCGGACCAAAATCGGACCGGATCTCGGGAAAGTGCATTTGCCGACGTATACGTACACGCCCCTCGGATCTGATCCGCTAGATCCCGGAGATCAAGTGATAAATTGTTTCTAGAACCCTTGGGTATCGAGAGAATCCGGGTGTTTGGCTGTGATTAGTTTATGTTCGCAGATAACACCGGAGTTGACGCTGAGCGACGGGTCTATGACGGTGACTATTGGAACAAGCTGTTCTGTCTTGAATGCGCGAGTTGGTGGCCGAGTAGCGGATACCCTAGTGGCGGTAGAAACGATGACTGATGGCTGTGACAATATCGGGCTGGCAGAAGGTGAGGAGGCCAGGAATTGATGACAAAGCTGCTTCCTGAACTGCCGCCCTCGCCTCATGGCTGATTTTCAGCCACCACCAGCCACTACTCTGCTAATCTCCCCTCTCCTTTACTGATTTCCCCGCAAAAGTCCAAGTCCAGCAGCACCTGTATGGAGACGTAATGCAGCTGCTTGGCCAGAGACGGGCCGTTGTCACCAGAAAGACACATTCCACAGGTAATCAGAGAAAGAAACGGTTCGAGGAAGAGGCTCGGTGCGTAATTATTCAGTTGAGTTTTACCCGTATCGTAGCTTATCTGATGAATTCGGCAGACTTGCCCATGGAGACACAAACGCACTTGGGAGCATTGCGAAGTCGAGGACATCATCAACCTAGAACCTCTCCACAGTCTGAACATATGAATCTTGACGACTACGACTTCGCCGAAAATGTTGCTATGCCAGCAGCTACTCCCGTCGCGCCGGACGCGACAATTAGGCAACAATTGATTTCTCAATTTGGGTCTTCTCCGCACCAAAGAACTCGGGACAAACTCACCCATGTTGCTAGACGTCTACAAGAAACCGGTGTTGACAAGCGACGCGTGAGTGTGAAGTTCATTTATAATCGTTATCAGCTCATGCTCTTTTTTTTCTTCCGCTTCTATATTGGCGCAGGTGGCAGGCAGCTAACGATATTGATCTAATCAGACAGGAAACTTCGAGCGTCCCACTGATTTCTCCAGTCCGATTCCTACTACAGCGGACGGAAATTCCGTGTCCAGCGAGCTCGGTATTGACCCTGATCTCTATGAGTACTGGCTAGATCATTCCGACTCAATCAGTTTCACTCAGATACCTCATCAGCTAGAGCTACCTTGCTTCCTGGACGCCTTCGACATGGAAAACGACCCTATCATTGCTTGCGGCGGCCCTTGTCAGCAAACCTTCTCCCTCTCTCCTTCAAGCTCCCCGGGGACCCCTGACGGACCATTTCCAAAGTTACATGAGCAACATGATGTTCCTCACGCTGGGGAATCCTCCTCCTCGCCAAGATCTGTTTATCGGCAAGCCCTTTCGAGGCCGCATCCAATACCTGATAATGAACGGGGAATTTTCTGGGAATTAACGGATACACGCAACCGGAGACCTCAAGATGTACACCCAGGTTCAGGTCTCTTGGGCGATTCCCCAGATCAGCAATTCATAAACCATCTGAATGGCAATTCGATATTCCCTCCTATTGTAGCAGGATTATACCGTTCGGCGAGCTTCGGCACCACCGGTGACTCTGGGCACGTTAATCCTAGCCAAACTTTCCAGCGAGACTATCCAGTTCTCTCTCCAGGGGCTAACCTGTTGTGGGAAAATATATTTGGTTCCGACGCTCACTCGGAAAATGAAGATGAGGATGGACCACCGTTTTCTAACCATGGTCTGAAATCACCCCGAGATTTTTCGTCCGATATGGACGATTCAGGCATGTACGCCGGCAATGCTGGCCTACAGAGGAATGGATCTCTACCTGTGCAATTCAGCGCACCGGAAGACGCGAGAGGTGACATTTCTGGCGCCTCTTCAGCTGCACCCGAGCGATCTTCTGCCTCCCCTGGCTCCCAAAGTTCCACAGACAACCTGCAAGAAGTTGCCGGGAATCAAGGACATGGGAACACTTGTATCAATTGCTTCACGCAAACCACACCGCTATGGCGTCGGAATCCTGAGGGACGACCTCTTTGCAACGCATGTGGTCTCTTTATGAAAATTTATAGCGATGTCAGGCCTTTAGGCTTGAAACCTAATGGCACCGGGAAATCCAATCGTTGCTCCAGCCGTTGCCGTAAGGCGTGCTCCAAGGCCCGCCCCAAGCGCGGCTCCAGGCGCGGCTCCAACTATGGCTCCAACTGTAGATCCAACCGTAGCTCAGGTGCCGGTTGGCCAGCTGGTGGAGCAAACACCATACCTAAAAGAAGAACGGCGAGGATCCATTGGCCAACGCTTCCGATCCCTTCCCGCGGCAAGAATCCGACATAGCCACGGCTGCATCTGATACCGGAGCCACATCACTGCACACCCATCGGAAAACTGTGCTGGTGGTGATGAAAGCTCCAGTCCACTAATCGGCAGTGCTGCTTCATTAAACATAAGACAAATTTTAATATAATTTATTATATTTATTTCAATTTATAGAATTTCGTGTAAAGTAGGTAAAGCTTCACTTCTTTGATCAGGAGAGCAACCTTTGCTGACGGAAATAAAGATGCCCTTTGTCGCCGGGGAACGGAGGCGAACATGGCTGAGATGCAACAATCTAAGGGACACTCTCCCGGAAACGTGCAAGAGGCAGAGACGGATTTTTTTCGGAGTACGAGCCCCATTCTCCCGCTACAGCCCAAGGGTGCAGCGAACTGCTTCTGAGCAAGTATCTGTTCATCGATCCACCTCCGAGCTCCGTTCATCTGCGGCGGACCCTGGACCAGTTCTACCGCACGGTCGAAGCGATGGAGCCCGGGTTAGGGACCAGGTTGTATCTCGCTGCTTCAAGCGGCGGATTCCTACCGCAACAGTTCCCGCCCTGAATCCACAACTCGGATATTGGAGACAAGCGATGTTTTGCGTCGCCTCTTGGATCGCTTATCACAGCGCGGCGGACCACGAATAAACTTAGTCAACGACCTCGTGTACATCCGGTAGTATTCAGTGATTAACCTGCGTTAGAGCCGTCCATTGGCCCGGTTACACAGTCCCAGGCAGAACCGCTAAGGTAGCCTAAGAAATACTTCCATCAACTTCTCAAACTGAGGACTGCCCAGCCCCGTAACAGCATCCCACCCGCACGTTGCCTCAAACGCCCTGTCTACGCCGCACCCGAAATTATACCCAGTATCCACATCGCGCATAATCTCCTGCTTGAATGCGTATAGGACCGGATTGACAAACCCCACTGTAGTCTTGTTCGCCAACAGCCGTGCGTTGTTCACTCTGGCTAGCATTGATGCGAATACGGGCGCCGAGGCCGAGGTGCCCGTGATACGACGGAGACCGCCGTTGGTCTGCACCAAGAACTCGTGCGCTCTAAGGGAGACATCTGGGTAGCCACGGCCGTTGGGATTGTAGTAGCCTGATGCTGCGAGGTCGCCAAGGTGGGTGTCATTTGTGAGATAGTCGGCGATGTGAGGGGCTTGGAAAGACAGTGCGTCGAATATGGTGCTGAATCCTCCTCCCGAGCTGGCGATGGCCCCAGAGACATTAGCGAAGAGCGCGGCCTCAGGTGGGAACGACGGCTCTGAGGCACTCCACGTCTCGTCAGTCTCCGAGAGCTGTGTACCACCGACGCAGGTAACGTATGGGCAGGAGCAAGGGAAAAGCACACTGAAATGCCCGTGGCCCTGTTGTAGCCCGCCCGTCGCCGGGTTGCGACATTGACCGAGCTGGTCTGTGGTTCCAGTATCGCCCGACGCGGCAACAACGGTGATACCCTGCAGGGAAAGAGTCATGTACTCCTGACACTGCCTCTCAAGGTACTCCTGTGGGAAAGAGGCTTCGTTCCAGCCGTAGGAGATACTGATGACCTTTGGAGGCGTATAGACTCCGCAATCGGATGCATTGTATCCTCCTGGAAGCGGATCGGGATAGACAGGGTCGTATTGTGGATTCAGGCCTGTCTCACAGTACTCGCGTGAGAAGGCCGCAAGCATCGTGTTGAGGTTGCCACCGATTAACCTGTCCCCGACCTTGGCAAATGGCAAATGTTAGCACCACGGTCTTCTCTCCAGCGGGTCCCATGGGCAATTCCATGTTACTAATTTCGTCTACACACGCAGTAAACAAAGTATGGCAAGTCTTACCTGAATGTTAGTCACGGGATGCGGATATGTCAGGGCCATCGTGTACTCGTGGTCCAGATTGGCTTCCAGGTTGAACAACCAACTTAGATTCGTTGTTAGACGATATCCTCCATTTATCTCGAGCACCTCTGGCCGCCGTCCCACGATCTCCGGCTGAAATCTGGAGAAAAACGCGTCCAGGTCAGCGGGAATCCAGGTTGCCATGGACGGAAGGAACACTCCAAATGATGAGTTTGGATGGATAGGCTCTGCAGGGTTGAGTTTTGGGAAGCCATACAGGTGGCGGAGGCAATCCGGGGTGGCCCAATCGTGGCAGTTAACTGGGAGGGCGGATGAGTTGGATTGCCCGTTTGACAGGAACGCTGTAGCCTGTGACTTGGGTCTTACCATAGACCCTGTGACGTACCCAGCAGCGGACCGCTGACCAGAAACTGACCTACGATAAGACGAAGGTTCCGCAGGTGTGACGAAGTCAACCATGTCAGATATCGATCGAGGTAGATAATAGGTGTCAGCCATCACCCAGGAAGTCTCGTCATTCCCGAATTCAAGTAAATCGGTCTTCAAAAGTGAATTCGCTTGGCTAACGTTGGCTTCGAAGATAATATGACCAAAACCTCGAGATATGCCTGCCATAGAGATACCTGAATCGATGAGCCATTGAACAACCGAGTGTACCGCTTCTTCCGGAGGTGACAGCAACTCGTCTACTTCACGAGCTGTTAGCCATTGACCATATGTGTTCGATTCAGGATCTGAGAGGCTTCTCAGTATGCGTTCTGCATGGGACACCTGCTCGGATGGAGTTTTTAAGGTAATATCTATGTGAAGAATTCGGTCCACGTGTGGCTTATGGGGTGGTCCATGGGGATATGAAGTAAGTATGGAGTTAACTGTATGAGTAACCAAGGATTCTGATGATCCAGCGGTAGAGTACGATGTTAAGGCAAGCCATGGCAGTGAGAGTAAAGGGATGACGATGGTGAACTTCATGGTATCTTGCTCTATGATACCGTGAACTTTGTAGGGAGATGGGAATAGAGAGAAGGATGGAAATGGTTGAGCGGGCAAGCGATTGGTTGGCAGGCCGATTGGTGGATGCATGTTTCGAATGGAGTCGGACCAGAGCGCAGGCCAGGAGCTTTATTGCCCGGATTCTCGCAACACGGAGAGCTTGATCAAAATATAATCACCATAATACACCACAGAAGCCAGCTCACACCATGTGATGCATGACACAAGCTAGCGAGCTCACATTATATGATTATATGATACGCCACACAAGCCAGATGACATTGTGTAATGCACCACAATACACTACACAAGCCAGCTCACACAATGCGATGCATGATACAAGCCGGCTAGCTCACATTATATGATTATATGATACACCATGCAAGCTAACCTATATTGTGTAATGCACCATAATACACTACACAAGCCAGCTCACACCATGTGATGTATGATATAACCTAGCCAGCTCATATATCTCACCGTCAAAGGGCTGGTGCTATACGACGCGCACGACGGCAGTCACCTCTTTTCTAATCATATGGCTGAATCGTGTCCTATGGGTTACGTTACACTCCCGCCCCTACGCCTCGATTTGTTTCGCAAATGCTACCCCACGATGGGTGCCAGGGAATCTATCATCAAGCTCTTGTACTATCCGACGTGGGCTACAACAGTCATCAGTGACAATACAGTCAATTCTCTATCTCTGAAGTCCTACAAAAAGCACACCGGTTCAAAAAGAGGCACTATTAACGCTTACTCAAACGGGGAATATGCAGTATTACTGTCTCTGTGCGTGCCGAACGAGAAACATTGCTGTTATGTAGTGTAGATAGATAATAGACCATGAGAAATACTACGATTATCCGTCTAGGAGTTGGACCAAAACGCGGGATCCAATCTATTCGGCCAATCTATGTCAAATGATGTTGTTCGTGGATTGTCAAATGATCAAGCCTTCGAAAACGAACTCGGAGAACAGATGCTTGGACTTCCTGGGCGGTTCTATAGGATAGAAATGTTTGGTCTAACGAGCTGAACGGAATATAAAAATCATCAATGCCTATCTCGTCATCCAAATCATTCGGCTCTATCCTGACAATCTCTCTTCCAGCACCCGAACTAGCTCATCTCGGAAAAAAAAATTGTCTTTACTCTTCCATCCTTATCCAATACTTCCAACATGCACGTATCCGCGATTATTGCCGTGGCTTTCTTGGGCACTGCCCTTGGAATTCCCGTTCAGGAATCGCCAGCTACAGATAGCAAGGAGAAAAGAGTGAGTTCACAGCCGTTTCGCAACTGACCCTTTACCATAGCGTTTGAAGCTCAAATACTTGGAAACCGCGTGGCTAATGTTATCCTAGGGCTTCACCCCTGTGAGTTGCGGCTGTCTTAGGTTCCGATAGACAGCTTGTTACTAATGGACCCGTCTAGGAGGCCTGTACTGGATTGTGCGCAGGACCTTGTGCCGCGAATGCCCTTTTTTGTTTTACCTGCACTACTATCTGTAACGGTTTGACCGAAGATGGCGGCGAAGTTGACCCTGAGACCATTGTCGATGCTTTGAACCTTGGGACCTCTGGTGTCGAGGTTTGAAGGGATCGTTGCAGGTTTAGCTGAAAAGTGCGAGATGGGGTATATCTGAGGATATTTGAGGAGTGGCGAATGATATTTTGAGCCAGAGGAACGACGCATAGCAATATTGGACGTAATTCTCCCGTCCAGATCGATGTCTGTACGCCCGCCGTGGCTTCAATACTAGTTGGTCTATATTTTCTGCAGAAGGTGTTTTCTGTGTAAATGCCCTAAAGGATGCATGCACCCAACCAGGGCTCGCTTGAGTGGCGGAGTCTTAAAAAAGGAACGCTCGAAGCAAATCGCTATTAGACACCGTCAGCGTTGAGGTTGTGCCTCATACCCAGTCTCTTTCCTGTTGTTGACTTTGACTAAGAAGGGGCCCCGAGAAGCCTCTCGGTTGATGGCGAATACTGAGGGAGGAAGAGGATTCTCAAGAGGAGACTGGTTGGGTTCAAGTATATTTAAGGAAGGGAGGACTGGAAGATGATTTGGGTCTCCAGTGTTACCTAGATGATGAAGATAGGGTTATTAGTACTAAGAGGAACTTACGGACTTCCTGGAATGGAAGGTCGCCGGAAGAACAGATTCGCTAGAGAATAGGAAGAGAGGAATGTAGTGGTTCTTTTCTCAGAAGAATGTAGTAGTGTCTCTCTCTTATTTCCTGCAACCATTAGAAAATGAATGCGGGAGACAGACAAGTCCGTCAATATACTCGTATCCACCCCAGAATCTGCTTGTTTGACACGTGATCATTCGAATTACCCGATGCCATGGGACTAACTTGGGGGCTGATACGAGTATATTGACAGACTTGTGTGTCTATCGAGCTTGTGTCGGGTGCGAGGACTACCATATATGTAATCAGGGATTCAATAGTATCTTCGGGACTTCCGCAGAGCAGGGCATGAACCCTGGCGTTGGGAGCCTGCTTGGCAGACGTCCCAACCCTGGTTTGAGCTCCCAGGACACGTCTGGTGCTGTAAAATACGACTGCAGCAGCGCTCGTTGCTCTGAACCGCCGCAGAACCCCTACACTCTCGTGAATCAGGATTTCTCCAGCAGCCACGGACCCTCATCGCATCAAAACCACAGGGTCGCGCGCCCGAGATCTGCAGATCTCTCATACCCTATCGCACCGCTGGTGGCTGCATGCCATTAGAGTGGGGGAACCGGCGTCTTCACATCCGTCCGCTAATCCCCGCCGGCAGGGGAACGGCCTCGAGCTCAAATTACGGGAGGTTGCATCGGAAAATTGTCCATTAGTTCGCCACGCGGGTGCGCATGAGGGTGTTCATGACTCCTCTCCGCCCAAAACGGCAGGACCTAGTCAAGCAGCCGGCGCAGGCCGAGCACTCGGGTAAGTCTTCCGCAGCAATTAAGGAACCCACCTGTCTAACAAATCTCCAGATCGCTCGGATACTCCTAAAGCTGGGTGCTGACGTCGGCGCTTTCGCGGCTCCAGTCCCAAATGCACCGCACTCGAAGCGGCCACTAAGCATGAGCGTCCTGATCGTCCTGATCTCATTCACCTACTGCTTTATATGGTGGTAATATGCCAAGTGTTGAGCATCGATGCGAAAGAGCGAAAGAGTAGCCAGGTTAGCGTCTCGAGCCCGGCACGCCACCCTGATAGAGATGCTCCGGAAGTGGGAAAACCCAAGTGAAGAAATTACGCGCTATCGCTGAATACGCATCGTATAAGGGCTAGACGCAACAACGATTAAAGTTACCACAGCTAGGCTACCATCGTTTCGTTACATTTTGGATAGAGATCGATGATTTACCTAAGCGGGGTGGAGTTATACAGAGAAATGAGTAAGGAATCAACGGCCAAAGGAATTCTGTTTGTGGCGTTGATCTCATATCACGGGCGGCATGTCAGCTCGGGTCCATCCGAGAAGAATTGTGCAAGGGCCGGGCGTCTGAGAGCCAGGTCCAATATGATACGTCGTAGCGCTCACTAGTCGTCGTAGGCTATCTTCAGCGGACCTCTTATGTCTCCCGGTACTTCGAGAAATTAAGGCGTAACCGTTATACCCTCTTGAAGTGCTTCATCTCAAGTTGAGCCTCACGTACTTGTCCACTTCCCTTCGGGACCCGGGAGAGCGTGCTCTGGTAGCGATCCCCTGCCAAACTCTCCATTCTGAACCCCGGTTAGTAATGCGCTGGAGTCCCTTACACAAGCTCGCCAGGGTCGCCCTCGCCGCCCCCAGCTTATTGGTCAAAGGGGAGGTAATCTTCACCACCTGTCTGCATCGAACATGAGATGTATCGCTGTCGGAATCTCCTGTTCTCACCTATCATTAATACTTGTGTCGAAGCACACAAAGTGGAGTGCTGAACAGCGGAGAACTCACCCAGCGAGCGTAACCGTCGCTCAAGTTCAAGGCGCAGCCGGAGTTTGCAAAGTAGGCTAAGACTATGCCCATGTAAACAGCGCCGGTAAAGAAACAAGTCGCGAGACCCCTCACAGAGGCAGGGGCGATCTCTGTCAAATAGACCGGGGCAGCAACTGTGGTCTGGCCCACACCAAGGCCAGCGATGAACCTCCCTGCGTTGACTGCAACCAGGCTGCCATTATTACCCATGAAGATGGCGATGCCGAGAATCCACAGGAGACACAGCTGCCTGGTGGCCCACAGACGACCGATGCGGTCGCAGACCAGAAATGCGCTGCGAGAGGTAGATAGGTCAGCCAGTGTCGAAAGACCAGAGAGTGTGTGCGACGGCGGACGGGGAATTGGGATACATACAGGAAAGCACCGCCAACACTGCCTATGTTGACCATTGCGACGACATTTCCCTTGATGCTTGCAAGCTCTTCGGGTGTCTCGTGGTCAATACCGACCAGATTTTGAAAGGTTTGAAGTAATTCAGGACCGGATTAGATTTCGCCATTGGGCAGCACGTCTATGGCAGAGGGTAGGAAACTGAACCATGAAGCCGTAACCTCGTCTTATATGGTATGTCGACGGGAGCTGGACCACTTCTGCGCGAAGTATCATTTGTATACATCTGCCGAATAACCCCAGCTTTTTTGGGGGGGCCTCGATTGGAGAAGCCGGGGCCCCGAGGTGCGTGCGTGTGCAACAACTATCGTTCACAGCAGCGCAATCAGACTGATGTTGAATGATTAGTGGTGGGAAGGAGTGAAGTGTGCGCCAGTCGGCTGAAGTGGATCTCTTCGCTACATTGCCGATGAGAGAGTCATAGCGGGAGGAATATGTAGAACCGTAGCTCCATTGGAACTTGAAATATGAGGCAGGAACCCTGGGGAAAACGTCGGCAAATGGGGAAATGAGCCAATGTTTAATGATATGACAAAAAAAAAAGGCGGAAACGGTGTAATTCCTGTTTTGCCCATGATGAGGACGCCGGCGGCTCGAAGCGCGGCGACACAGGTGGCATCTGGGCCAAATGCCGGTTCATCTCGGTATATTGGTGAAGCGTAACGTGTTAGCATATCTGCTGAAGAAATAAGTTTTGACTGACGGTCTTGGGCAAGGAAAGCAGGGAGTACAGCGTTTACCTTTGGTGAGCAAGACGTCTTTGATGCCAACGGGGATGCCATGGAGTGGACCTCGGTCTGCTGGAAGAATCTTGTCAAGATTTCTGGCTTGGGAAAGCACTAAACAGGGATCAAGGTATGCCCAGGCGCGCACAACGGGATCCTGTTCTTTGATGTGTTGGAGCAGTGCATTTGCGAACTCGACGGAGATGCGGCCTTGTCGGATCAAAGCGGAAGTTTTCGGGCCGATAGACGGTGCAGCGGCGGTTTAACTAGGCGCGCTGTTCCGTGGCTATTGAGGCCTCCGGATTCTACGAGGACCGTCATTATCAATACGTCCCAGCTGGTGGAGCAGGAGGAGAAAAGAGGGAGAGGAGCGCGATCACGCCCAAGATAAAAGCGACATGCACGACGACCACGGAAGATTGGCTTTACTAGTTTCTTTCGCTTTTTTAAGCCTGGCACTTCTGTTAAGACAAGACCCTTGAGAGGTCTTGCTTAAGTAGACTTACAGCCGGGATATGAGATCGTCATTTGGTGGCCTACCATACATGTTGTGTTGCAGGAGAGATCTTGTTGGTCCAAAGACTTATACCCAGTGCAGAGCAAGAGGGAGATAGCGCAAGAAGCCCTCGGAAGTAAAGCTTATCGAGTCTACATCTTAGGCTTCAGATGCCATCTCGAACTTTTCATCTTGACGAGATCACATTGCACAGAGACATTACAGCGGCTTCCCCACAGGCCAAGCAAGAGGGGGCTAACCCAAAAAAAAGGGGCTAGCCCCCAAAAAAGAGGGCTAATCCGCCAGGTTGAAACCTGGGGAAGCTTCCCCGCATCGTGAGGGCTGGCCATGTGGACCTCTCTGGGACAGCTTTGCTCCCAAGTATTTCAGCTTATTCCTGATGCTTGGCATCTTCACCATCACTGCGAGCACATTTGCTTGGATCGCCACTTCTATTCCTCGGCCTCCCGCGAAGAGAGCTGCCGCCTACGTTATTATCATCAGCGTGGCTAACAGTTCAGCGCCTGGACCTCGTTCATCTACTTCGGTCCCAGGTACACGCTAGTAATAGGCGTAAATATTGGCTTGACGGTCGGTGCTGCCCTCTGCGGCATTGCGCTTCGTTTCATCCTCATCAGGCGTAACAAGCAACTAGCACGCCTGGACGATCCGAATAGCGTCCTGACCGAGAATGAAATTCAGAAGTTGCAGCGCACGGCCGCCAATCAAGGCACTGATGCCATTGATGCCGCCGCGGAAAGGAGGCTGCAGCAGGGGTTCCGGTACGCGTTATAATTCACCTCTAAAACTCTCGGCGAAGGGACTTTTCGTGACAGTAGAAGGAGTTATGCCCCTCGCAAAAATTCGTCTTCGAAGCGTGGAGGCAGGGAGCTGCCGAAGGGCTTGGGAGATTGGCTCAGGCGGGGGCCTAGTTGAGGATGTCCTCATTTCGGTAGGAACCAAACGCCGGTTTTTATCTCTGGTTGCAGTAGTGGAATATCTTTGATGAGGCCTTCTTACCTCTTAATAGAAAATGTTTCCAAACGTGAGCCGTTATACAAGAGCTAAGGAACTATCCATCGTACGATTCCCTAAGGTTCTGGCATCGTTGTCTGAGGGGTAAATTAGGATGTGGACCAAACCTCCAGGTCACAAGGCATACGTTGCAGGATTTGATTTAACATAGGCACACATTTCCGCGCTCATTACTACTTAGATGCGGGTTTGTGCGTTTTGCTGTCGTCCTTCACCCAGTACGCTCTACTTGCGTCTAACGATCCTAGGAAGCAACTACATAACGCGTCCCCTGGTCCATGATTCTCACCATCCATCTCTCTCCGCGCAGAAACCAGGATGTTCGCAATCACAGGCGATCTCGGCCTTTGTCTTAGGTTTATTTTGACAACGCCTGCTAACTCACGCGGTACCAGGACATGAAGAACAAACTGCTTGTGAGAGAGACTTGGTCCCATTGGCTTTCGATCCCGTTCTGCGGTGCCAATCTCCGAACGCGGGTCTAATTCCCCGGACGAGCCCCAACCAGACATACCCCGGATTTGGTAGCGCCCCAAAGTACTTGTTACTTTACCCCTACGCCGGGCACAAAATTCTCCGAGCCCCACAACTCGACGGCGGCAATTTCGGAAGCTGGTTTACACGGCTGGAGCCCACAAATCGATTAAATATCGGCAGACTACTCGACGATGCTACCGATTTTTACACTCTTCTTGCGCTGGAATTTCGTTTAGATCTGAATGGCACGACCAAGGAAGCGCACATTACTTCGTATGGTGCGTTTTGTAGCGATAGACAAGCAGGGGTCCGATCCAGAGGTTGGTTATCCTGAACAGCAACTTCCTGATTGAGCCAACCATGCAGCAGGAGACCAGGGGAAAGGGTAAAGGGTGGATAACCACGCTGCGAGGAAAAAGATCTCCATCTCGGAAAAGTGGCACGCTCCGAAAGTTTCCTACATAGGATCCGGAATGCGAAGTATGGAGCTTGCGTCAGCTAATAATGCCCATAGTTAGCCCATCCTATATTGTTACTTCCATTCTGTTGGAAGGTGGTGGTTCTTGTAGTTTCTCGTTCCTTTCTTTCTTTGCCTCCGCCCGGACCCATCAAATTGAGGGAACTGCTAGGCCCGCCAACATATTATATAGGCCCAGACATTAAATCCCTCCCCGCCATTTACCCCCGATGATGCTGGTCCTTGTACGTCAGGCGGACTCGGATCGCAGCATGGGATTAGCATCCTAGACAGACTCCGGAGGTTGCCACCCTTGGCGGAATGCCGAGTCTGAGCCTTCGGTGTATTTTGATGACAATGCCAGCGCTTAAACGCTGTTCTCCCCACACTATTACCCCAGAAATCGTCGGTTTCCCCGCAATCTAGCCATTTAGCTTAATGCAACACTAAAGTCGCATCTCAATCCTGTGTCTATTTATATGTGAAGTTACCTCTCTTTAATCCTTCCTCCGTTCCCTTCAAGTTGGGTATAGAAGCCTAGTCTTTCTTTACGCGAGCTATTGATCGAGGAAACGTCTAATCAACAATGGCTACCAACAGCGATAAGTTGGTCCCCCATACACAACATGAAGATGACCCCGAATCTCTTGAGCTCAAAGCGAGTAAAGTCCAGGCACGCGCACCAGTAATTCAATGCCCACCTCATACGACAGAACGCAAATTGGTGGCCAAGATTGATCTTCATGTCATTCCGTTCCTCAGCATCATGTATCTCCTGGCTTTCCTCGGTGAGTAACACATTGTACCCCAACAGAATAACAATGCTAACAATTGATGGTGATAGATCGAGTCAATATATCCAACGCTAATGTGTTTGGTTTGTCGGGAGAATTACACCTCGACGGCACCCGTTACAACAATGCTCTCGTCATCTTCTTTGTTCCATACATCTTATTCGAGATCCCATCAAACATTCTTCTCAAGTGATTTAAGCCGAGCGTCTGGCTTAGTGGCAATATGATCCTCTTCGGCCTAGTTACCTTGGTACAAGGGTTCGTTCAAAATTATAGTGGATTAATGGCAACTCGCTTTTTTCTGGGTCTGTTTGAGGCGGGTATGGTTCCCGGAGGTATGTCGCAAAATATTCAAAAGCGTTGCGTTTTACTCCGAAGACGCTGGTTAATGACTGTTTTTGTGACATTCTACCTGCTTGGCATGTGGTATCGTCGTCACGAAGCCCAAAAACGATTCTCATTCTTTTTCTCTAGCACCAGTCTTGCGGGAGCTTTTGGAGGTCTACTGGCAGCTGCCATCGGCAAAATGCAAGGCGTACGAGGTTACAGCGGTTGGCGTTGGATCTTCATTATCGAGGGAGCTCTCACGGTGGTCTTTGGGTTCGGGTTTTACTTCTTTCTGCCTGACTTCCCCGAAGACACCAAGTGGCTCACTGAAGAGGAGAGAATCTACGCCTCTGCACGGCTTCATATCGAGCAAGGCCGCTCTAACGCAGAGCGACCTGTCATATTTAAGGATATCACCAAGACGCTGCGAGATCACAGGGTCTTTCTCGGAGGCCTCATGTATTTTGCCTTGGTTGTTCCTATCTACGGATATGCCTACTTCGCACCAGCTATCATTCAAACGTATGGGTACGGTTCTATTCAGACCCAGCTGCATAGCGTCCCGCCTTGGGCAGTCTCCTTCGGCGTCTCTATGATTGTTGCATTTCTATCCGACAAAACACAACATCGAGCTGGATTTGCGATTGGTTCTATCTGCATTTGCGTCACCGGTTTCACTATCTTACTCGCTGGCAGCAACAGAGACCTCAAGTATGGCGCACTTTTTCTAGCTGTCAGCGGTGCATACACCACTGCACCCATCTTAGCCTGTTGGTTCAACATGAACCTTGGAGGCCACCAGAGGCGATCTGTCGGCAGCGCATGGCAAGTAGCCTTTGGGAATATTGGCAGCATTATAGCCGTATATACCTTTAGAAAAGAGGATGCTCCGAGGTATGTTTCTGGCAACGCTATGTGCATTGCTTTCGCCGCATTTGCCGCTATTTGTTGTAGCCTATACGGTATGGCCTGCCTGCTCGAGAATAAGAAGAGGGATAGAAGCTCGCAGGGAGAGACCCTAACGGAGGAAGAAAAGGCAGAATTAGGAGACATGTCACCAGAGTATAGATATCTACTTTAAAGTTATAAGTAGGATATCTCACAATCACAGCGGTCAAAGGAGGCCCGCAATCTAGGCTTTCTTTAAACTATTTTGTGATATTATCGGGGATTCCGTCAAAATGTGCAGACTCTTAGCCTACTACATGTAAATCTCACCGATGGGTCGTGGAGGCCTACCTTCAGGACGCTAAGTCGGGCAAGATATCACTCTTATCTTCATCTATAGAGCCACCGATTGCTACGTGTTGAATGACTTGTTTAACTCTACTTCTCTAGTGATAGGACATCCTACTACGTGTGGCATCTTTCAGCAGTGTCGCGGAACAATGACTGGACCCTTCTCCTTGTATTTATCGAAGTCTTCTTTGGAGTTGAAGGCTCTCTTGCGGTCTGTGCAGCTTAATTAATTGTAGTACTCAGTCTCTCTTATAGACTGGACTATACGGCACGTAATTGTGCGCCCAAGGAAATATTTGGGTATATCTTCCAATGGTATACAACAGCCTCTCAATTCGAGAAGTTTTCGGTATCCTCAGGTGGCCATAGCCTTGCCGCGTTGGAGCGTGGGTGCTTTGATTGAGGACGGCGCTGCCGCCCCCGCCGGGCTGCCGAGACTGCTCATAGCACTCTCTGCAGAATCGTGTTTCGGATTGCGTAACATCTATGACCACATATTCCTTCTCCTTTCAAAACTCATAATCTTTGTGCAAGGATATAAACGAAGGATTTCCAACGCCATATGCCATGAAATAACATCCCGCACCATTTCCGTTTAACAATGACCCAAGTTAACTAGGAATTCACCACACCTCTAGTCATCAACTTCCATCCTTTCTAAGTAGGGTCTGCTTAGATAGTTCCCATTTATCCACTTTGCCATCACCCAAACAAAAGAGGTGCACCTGACAACGCGGAACAAAACACCGTGAAGAAGTCATGTCTCTCTCGCCGGCTCGAGAGGACACGGCCGAGCCGCTCAACGCGGTAGAGGGGTCGATAAAGCGTGAGGAGCGAGCTGGTGTGGCCCGGGATTTATGGGCGATAGCCCGCGCTCGCTCTGACAAGAAATACCCCACGTTCAGGCGAGGAACTCTAACTTCGCGTACTAAGAACGGGGCCATTGGTATTATTGCAGAAATGGCAGGGTATAGCAGGGAACCAGGTGCAGATCTTGGAATCTTGTAGACTCAGCACTAACCTTGTCTATCCATCTAAACATCAAGTGGAGATAGTTGAACATGTCCCTGGAGAAACAGTTAGGACTGACTCTTCATTTTAGTGGAAAATTGGGGTTTAGTGACGTGGGATTTCCAATCCGAACAGCGAGTTGGTTTAAATCAAATTCAACCGCAGTCCAAGGGTTGACGATATTTCAAAGGGCGCAGAAATGACACGGCGTTGCAGTTGCTAAAAATGCCTTAAAAAAGAAAACTCCATTAATAATGCTGGAAGGTTCTCGTGGGGTGTCAAAGAGCCTGTTCTGTTGATTCCCACGGGTAAGCTTTCTGGACTAGTGTGGACAATCCCTGCGCCTTTGGCCAGGGGATGAGCGTATTTCGTCAGTCCTCAAGGCATTGATTGGAACCACTGAAAGAAGTCAAGTTTCACTGCGGCTTAGAAATGCGCTTCCACAAAATCTGGTCCGAGTCACGCCAAAAGGTCGTTCTGCAGGCCAACGCCCTTGTCATTCCATATTTTAGAACGGACTAGGCTTTGCTTCCCTTGTGCTGATGGAGATTGAGGTGGCGGTGGGGTTCATCTTATCGATCGATTGCGGTTTGTGACTCCAATGCAGAAACGAATCAAGCCGAACACGAGGCGCAAAGCATAGCCGCAAGCATAGCGTGTGAGGACATCGAGATATCAAATGCCAAGAGATCTTGGCCTGTTGCACCCAGACACGACGATGGCCGTGTGACTCAGGCAAGCGCTATGCCGCCAGAGAAGAATGAGTCAAAGACACAGCACAGCATAGGACAATGTTTGGGGTGTCCATCTTACCTTCGTTCGGCGATGGGAGCTAACCAAGTTCGGATGTGGATGCCTGGAAAGTGGAATCTAGAATCAGGCGTCATTCATGTTTTTGCTCGCGAGGTACCTACCTTGTTGGTGGTCTGGACACCTTTGCCGCGTGTATCTTATGTGCATCTTCAGAGGATTTTTTTCTGGTGGGCCTAGCTAACAACGGCAACGGCGAGATGTGAAGCCCCACCACCCCTGCCCACTTTGCGCCCTCTCCAAGACGAAGACGAATACGCCAGCCCAGTGATGTTGTGGCTGACGCAGGCGGTTGAACCCAACATTCTGCCCGGCCTCTTACGATTTTAGGAACTGGCATTAGAAATCGAAGCGGGCAAGTCGCAATGTATCGCTTCCACCATGTGTATATAAAGAGTATGTGAATCCTCTTCCCGCCTCAGGTTTACGGAAGCCTCTCTCAGCCAGCTCAACAACAAGTGTAACACACTCAATATATCAACACTAACATCTCCTCAAACTCTTCTCTATACCGTATTCTATTTCCTCTCATCCTATATAAACCCTTCCAATCAACAAGACTTCCCTTCACAAGCCTTGAAAATGTTCAAATTCTCCAAGTCCTCCAAGTCCTCCACCCCCAAGGTCTCTGGCAGATCCGTCAAGGCTAGCACAGCATCCAACTATGATTCCGAAAGCATCATGACCGTCGACTCTGTTGCCGTTGCCAAGGAGCAGGCCAAGGAACAGACCAAGGCGAAGGCCCAATGTTAGTGTGACCCGTCAAGATCCCAACCCGTCCGTAGTTCTGTACCCTGACTTATGTCTACAGATGTGCACAAGGAAAACATGTACTCCCGATATCTTGCGAATTCCCCGAGGCAATGGGGTTAAACTGCCTGGATTGCGAGCCTAATATGGAACGTCATACCAGGGATACACGGACGGCGTTCACGGTTTGGGTGGATATTATTATTGTAGAGGGTTTTCCTGGTTGGGATTACGGCTGAATGAACGGATAATTTACCAAAGATCGATACCATTACCATGAATAAATCTTATTGTTTTTCGTTTCGCTGAGAGCCCATCATCACTGCCTATGTCCTTCCATTCGAAGACTATTAATATTGTCCCGGTAAATCGGTGGCCGGGCACTCGGCTTTTCAGGCGGAACTGAACCCGACAGCGTCCATACGGATCGACACCTTATCTCTGCTCCGATGTCGCGTAAAGATGGAAGTTGATTATTCTCCGTGACGTGTCGGGATGTGGCATAAGGCAAGCTGGTGGAATGATGCCCGGGATTCGATGCGTTGAACACCGAGGGACGAGACAAGGCCTTGGATCCTCGATGCTAGACTATCTAGAAAGCACAGAGCCGTAAAAGTATCGTCATAAGCTACCCGTTCGAGTGTGGGTCCCGGGGTTGGGGGGGGGGGGGGGGGGGGGGTTGCTATGAGATATAGTTGAGATAAATGATGCACCAAAAGGGGTAATGAAAACCCTAGCGAATCGAGGCAAGATGTCCTTCGAGGCAACTCGGCCAATACCAAAGAGATCCGAGATATCCCAGCATGCTAACATGAGACCCAAAAAAGTCCCCCGTCCCTGCGTGCACTCCATCAATGCTGGGATACCATTCTCGACATGCCCTAACGGGAATCGCAGGAATCACCTACTCGTCGGCGCGGCTTCGTTATTGTTACATTCCTAATCCCCGCCTGAACCTCAATCTTCCTCCTTTTGACAAGCCTCTCAGCTTGCAATCCCTTAACTACATGAACAAGACCATAACCCCGGCAAACAGTCCGGCGACTGTCAAGTATGAAATATTTTTAGATCAATCAATCAGAAAATTGAAAGCGCCCATATCAAACGGCGACAGGGCCTAGGAGGAAGGCGCCACTCCTCAGGGAACACCTCTTCTCCAAGGGCTTCTTTCTTGCTCGTACAGGACAACTCCAGTCTATAGCCATCGTTGCCATTTGTAAATCCGCAACCGACTTGGGATGAATTATTAACACTTGATTCCAGGCGAGGAGAGTTAGAATGCTTGCGAGGCGTCGTAGCTTCAAGGTCTCGGGAGATCTTGGGTATTATGTTGAGCCATAGCTGACATTAACGTTGAGAAGCTCATATTTAGTACAAAAGATAGCGCAAACCGAATTATAAAATTTCCAGGCCGTGTATCCTTTGTATATTAACCAGACCCTACAAATAAATTTAGGTATTGATACTTCTCTAGATCGCATAGGTAGCCTATCTCGGCCCTGGCAGTTATTATTGAATGCTAAGCCTTCCTCCGAATCCAATATCGCTTTTGAACATTTGTTTTATTGCTACGCCAGTAATATATCTCCACTGGGCTTGAGAACCACCCGGCTAGAATGACTAGGAATTCAGCGCTCTGTGTTTTAGGGGAATCTTACTCGATGCGAAGAACAAGCTCTCCGCCCTGGTTGACGATGTATTGGTGGAGGGACCTGTTGCTCTTCCGCTGGCAGCTCGCCCTCAAAGTTGACGCGGGCACAAGAAGCCCCCCCCCCCCCAAAAAAAAAAAAATCAAGATGTTTTAGCATCTCCCATACCAGGAATCGAACCAGGGTCTATGCTGCGCTCATTAGATGAGAGAGCATTATGCTAACCACTACACCATATGGGGTGGGGGGTTTTTTTCGCTTTTTTTTTTTTTGGGGGGGGGGGGTCGACCAATATCACGGACCCAGCGCAGCCGCATGATCGATCCAGCACTATTGGAAGCTGACGGATGAGAGATGAGATGGAGGCTCATTTCCGGATTCGGATCCGGTACTCGACGCCCGGTTGCGAAGTGGGACTATAACATCGTATTGTGAGATTGGCCGCCAAGAAACTGTCGCTTAAAAATACCCACCCGAAAGAAGGGCGTCCTCTTCAAGACTCCAAGTCTTCTGGTAATCTCTGGCCCCATTGATTTATGCAATCTTATGTCTGTGCAGCGTTCGATGAGTGCATACTTTCTGCTGATCGCCGGGGGTTTACGCTTCAACCACAGCATCTCGACCCACTCCCCACTGGACTCGCGACCCAATCAATTACCAGATCGAAACACGGGGAGCCACAAGGGTAATTAGCAGTCCTCCACCCCCACGGACTGCCATCCCATCTCCTCAACTTCGACAGGGGCCTCTCCTTGCTCCTTGACCCAGGCGGCCCAGAGCCTCAGCCCGAACATGTCGTACGACCTCGCCTCAGACAGAATCTAGCGAATTCGCTAATCATACTCCACCTTTCATCAGGCACTATTGACGCGCAACAACAACAGGGCGGGCAAGACACGCCGGCCTCCTGTTCTAACCTCAAGAACAAAACCAAGTCCTGATAGCCCATGCTAAATAGAGGTTCCCACAATCATACGGCACGGCCTTGCTACCGGTGACTTGTTTATTTACTTCTTATCCTTCGTAAAAAACTACGAAAGTCCTGCCCGAAGCAAGTTTCTGGATATGCTGAGATAGGGAGGTGCAGATAGCAGATAATCGTGACGACTGCACGTTTTCTTTTTCCCCAAGTTTGAGAGCATGGCCACAGACTGTGTGGGAATCGGGAAAAGATCTTTCCGGATCAGGGTGGAGGCCAGTTCTTTCATATTCATTCAAGTACTGCGCTCGGTATCTTCACTTCAGTCTTAGTCCTTTTCATTGTCAGTTAGGATTCCGGGGCCCTAGCGCCCATTGCGTGTCTTGTGTCTCACAAGTTTGCCATTCCATTTAATGCTTCCGCGGAAGCGCTCCCCATTGTGCCCTCGCCATTGCTTTCAGTTGATCAACCGATCTGGCGTCCATCAGTTCTGTCACAGAGATTGCAGCAGCTTTCGTGCAGTTCTGACTGATGGCCATTGGCCTAACTAATTCGATTTTATTTCCTGTTCCTTCATGTATGGTTCCGTAGCTAGGCAGCACTGGTCCGTCTAATGACCACAGGACAGGAAAATCGGAGACACTAGATAATCCAAGAGCAAGTAATGGGGGCTCTCCTGTAAACCATGGAGGCGATGGTAGCGCGGAAAACATTTCGCGACGACTAGCATGCGAAGCCCTGCGGAAATTCACTTTCAATCAGTCCTCGAATCGGAGAATCCGCGACCATTCGGATTGTCTCCTCCGGAGAGAAACTTCGACAGCTACTGCTAATTTTATCCGATTAGATTTAGATCTTACTGGAGGGCACCGGCATACTTTGTATTTCGTTTGTTGTGCTGTATCCTATCCTGTCACTCCTGGCTTTCGTTGTTGAACTTGCAGTGCTAATACTGATCTGATTAGATATCGAACATCGGATCCGCGATTCGGCGCCGACAGATATCTCCAGCCGCTGCCGTTGTCTCCTGCGTCCGTGGTTCCCGTGGTTTCATTCGCCAACTCAGCGGAGGCTCACTAGTGTCGTGTCTGTTCTCGAGTTTCATTTACAGACGCCGCAACGTTGTAAGCATGCCCGGGACCTGAGCGCAATGTAAGCGAATAAAGCACACCTAGCTTAGGTCATTCTCACACTACACGCTACTATAGAAACTTGCTCAGGCTACTTAACCGGTGCTCTAGGGTTGGCTCGCGGACTAGCAAGCGTCTTCACTGGAGCATCCCCCCGCACATGCCAAGCCGTTTCGAGATTTAACCTTAACGTTCCTGCACCAGTGTAGGACTAAGTGGCATAGAGATAAATTGATGGTAAATATTTTCAACAGGCCGAAGAATACAGATGTAGACTACTTTACGGAAGTTTAATTCTAATATGAACCGAGAAAAGAGAGCACGAGAGAAAAAATTGGCGGGCCCATATTGAGTAGTTTTCACGATAATTCCGCTGGGTATAAAGCGAAGAAACAAACCCTGCCTCCCACGATGCAACGCCAGCTTTGACCTTCCACTAAACCTGCCCCTAGAGTCGGATCGGATGTGACACACTGCCCGGCCCACACGTGGAATAATGCAGCTTACTTCCGCATTCGTCGGTCTAGTCAGTCTCGCGTGGACGGCGGCACATCCCGGACATGACCATGATGTTCCCGGGTATGCAGCCGAGGTGTATGACAGTCCGCCTGGACTAGCCGCTGCAGCGGAGTTTAAGGAGACGGAAAACTCAGCAATCACTGGCAGGGTTATCGCAGCGGCGGACCCGATAGGGAGCGGAACAGTTTACCATTTCACCCTATTCGGGCTTCTTATGGGCAAGGGCCCTTTCGGTGTGTCTGGATCGCTTACTATCTATCTAGAGAGCCTGGACACTGACAAAACACACATTAGGTTTCCATGTACATGAAGGCATAGTCCCAGAAAGTGGCAATTGTTCCGAAGCAGGCGGTCATTTGGATCCTTTCGGTAGGGGGATGGACTTTCCCTGCGCATCTTCGGCTCCGGAATCCTGTGAAGTGGGCGATCTGAGTGGAAAGTACGGCACGGTGGCCGGAGATATGATTCTAGTTGGGTAAATCTCGTTCATCTAGCCCTGTTTGGAGAAAACTCTCATTATACATCGCTAACAAGATGTTGGAATAGGTTTTTGGATCTATACAGCTCGATGAATCCTAATAATGTTGCCTTTGTTGGCAATAGAAGCCTGGTCGTTCATGACTACATGGGAGAGCGTCTTGCTTGTGCAAACTTTAGGCCACTGAAGCTCTCACCAGATCAGACTTGTGTTGAAGAAAAAGAAAAAGACGATGATGAAGAACGGGAAGGCGAGGAAGAGGCAAGTAGGGACGGGTGAAGCCCGGCATTTCGCGTGGAAGATCCCGACATTACCCTTGCTAGGTGAATCGCCAAACTTGGAAGGTCGAAGAGGAAATGGGTCTGAGCGTCGATCTCTGTATGTAGATCTATCAGGGTGGGGGGCTTGCCAAAATCACAAGTAAACTATATACTTACGTTCACACTACCCCTCATCTCCGCCGATCCTCTTTCCGTGACACATGCTCAAGGATCCCATAAGGCCGTGTGTCACACCGCCGGTATTGATGTCTTGGGCAAGATAGGTGGTCATTGTCTGTCCATGGTCTGGTCTTAGTTCGCCTCCCAGCCATCAACTTTGCCCGAAAGTTCGTGATGTGCTGCAAGCCCCTACACATCGAGCTCTTCATCCGACTAAGCGAAGGCGGTCACTAGATAACACTCTCCTGAGCTAAACTAACAGAGGTAGATCTAGACGATCTCCATGTTGTGCGATCAAGTTGGCCCGAGGACCAAGTTTGATCAGCTTCCCCTGCTGAAATTGGGCGGACCGACCCCACAATCCTAGTCACCGATCTGCATGAGGTCTGCTACCCCAGAATTTATCCCTGTTGCTCAGCCCTCCCCGCTCCGTTGCCCCAAATAGGGTTTGTGTCTTGGCCTTTTCTTTTTCTCTTTCTTTTTCTTTTTATTTCCCTAATTTTTCCGATACCAACTCACAGTTCTCCCGATGCCCATTGCTTCACATTACACTCGGGCCTGTCGAATACGAAACTGCGACTCCGTTAGAATGGTCCCTGCTCCTCAGCTGGTCACGGGTTGATAGATTGATACGAGTCATCTAGACGTGATCCCTTCCTGACATTGCGTGTGGGGAGTCGAGAACACGGACCTCTTTGTCGCGTACTTTGGAGAGTGGATTTCCAGAGAGATCAAGATGCCATCAACATGTCAAGTGGAGTTTCTCCGGATATTCGCACGTGTCGATCATTCCCTGTCCCTCCCTGGTCGTAACTGACAATCAGCAATTGCGCATTTTCCATCCAGGCGGCCACGCTGTCGATCGATCCGAGTTGTGACGAGTCCCCGTATCGATTGGCTGGCTCGGGTGATCAGGAGCAAGTTTAAGGCAATCTGTGCGTTAGGGCCTTGGCACCCTTGACCGGACCCGCAGCTGCTCGAGTCGAAGAAGCGAATCAGGACAAGAGTCGGCCGGGTTGACCTTTCCCAGAACGTAGCTTCCTCCGGCAATGAGGCGACGGAGAGCTCTTAAAACAGCACTAGTCCAATGTATGAGACTTCATCCATCATTTGGTCTGGCCCACGATGACTCCGCTCGCTCGTTAATGGTCCCCCCTTTTTGTTTCATTTGTTTAATGCATGCGTTCGCATTGTGCCGAGGCTACGGGACACTACACTCCTAACTCCGAACTACGCTACGCTAGACCGTTCAGTGTACGAGGTACGAGGTCGTATGCGGCATTCGGGATGGATGGTCGACAATTGATGGCTGCCACGTTGGAGAGAAGCGAGAAGAGATGAAAAAATAGGGAGGATGCAGGAATATCCCTTGGCGGGACTTGGCAGCGCTGATGCCATCAATGGTTCAGCTTCATCCGTATCCACTATCTCATCAGTTTTCATTCATGGAGTAAACTAGCGACTGCCTCTAGCAGGTACACCACGCGAGACGCACGATACTGAAGTGGGATTTAAATGGATTAGCATCAAAGCTTAATCGGCAGCCCTTGCCCTTAGGGGCTAACACCCGTAACCGAATGGGCCGACGAAGTGACTGAAATCGTCTGAGTTCTTACGAATGGCTGTCAAACAAACCCCTCCATGCTCTCTACCTCCGAAGATATCCTCCAGAAACATGCTCGCCCTGGTCACATTCCACGCTAAACATGGAAAATAAAATAAAAATTCAAACAAATTAAGATAGACGGACCAAGCTCGGTTTTCTGTCAAGCGAGGAAAACCTTGACCATTTCTGGCAACATGGACTCGGCTCAGAAGCACATCGGTTCCTGACAACGACTCGATGACTGGCCGATGTGGCGCAAACGTCGACCCGCACTATCGAATTTCGAATATCCACCGAAGGCATGGGTGACTAGCCCGGAGCAGGAAAACCGCCCGGGTGGCTTGATCTAATTTAGAAGGTGTGCACCCTGGACGTTTCTTTTCGATCCACATCTTTCTCCTCCCCGAGGGGCAGTTTTTTTTTTCGCCTTTCGGACCTGATAAGAAGAGCGGCGAGCCCCTGCATAATCTCAGATTGTTCCTCCCTCGGTTCCAGCGGTTTTTTGCTGCCTCGTGATGCTGGACAATAGACGACGGAGCGTGCCCTCATGAGATTACGACATATACTCGCCCCGGCGGCCCTACTGCTCGGCTGGGTCCCAGTGACCCTCAGCCAGGGCCTGCCGTCTTCGCTGCCGTCTTCCCTCGATTCGCTTCCCGATTGTGCGGTACGCCGGCACCCCTGCCGACTTTTATCGTCTGTTTCTAACCCGCCCCTTGTCCACAGATCCGCTGTCTCAAGACGTCGGTCACCAATTCGGCCTGCAGCATCGATGATTTTGCGTGCCTATGTACCAACTCTGATCTTCAGAATGCCCTCACAGACTGCGCCCTCGCCTCGTGCACGATGAAGGAGTCCCTCTGTAAGCGTGGACTGCCCTTCCCAATATTTTAACCTCTATTATCAGTCCAATTTCGCTAATGGAGTTCGTAAGTTGCAAAAAATGTCACGCAAAGTAGCTGCAACGCGCCCATACGGAATAGGTCGCGGGGGATCAAGGATGTCACCACCATTCTCTCCATCATCACCGGAGTCCTCGTCGCCGGACGACTCGTATTCAAACAATTCATCGCGAAGATGGGACTATCTATGGACGACTGGTTCATCCTCATCACGACGATTGTCGGCGCAGTAACCAAAGTGATTATCGTTTACGGCACCTTAGCGAACGGTGTCGGGCAGGATGTCTGGACCCTGCCATTCGATATGATAACGCGATTCGGCATGTACTTTTACATCATGGAGGTCTTCTACTTTGCGGAGGTCACCCTGCTGAAAGTGTCGATCCTGTTCTTCTACCTCCGCATCTTCCCGGAGCCGCGCATCCGACGAGTCCTCTGGGCGACCCAGATCCTGAACGTGCTTGTTGGTGTAGCCTTTGTTATCACCTCTATTTTCCAGTGCACTCCGATTAGCCACTTCTGGACGAGTTGGACTGGCGAGACCAAGGGCAAATGTGTCAATGTCAACGCCCTGGCATGGGCTAATGCAATTATCAGCATTGTGCTAGATATACTGATGCTCGCTATTCCACTGAGCCAGCTGCCCAAGATTAAACTGCATTGGAAGAGGAAGGTCGGCATCGCGCTAATGTTCTTCGTCGGCACCTTGTAAGTCATGGATTCTTTTACGCTAGTGCTGTGCACCCCGGCCATTTTCTCTCTTCTAACAGGATCCCTTCCTTCTAGTGTCACCGTCGTCAGTATCCTTCGTCTTCATTCGCTCGTAACGTTCGCAACCTCCCAGAATCAGACCTGGGACAACGCACCCGTCACCAAATGGTCCATCATCGAGATTAACGTCGGAGTCATTTGCGCCTGCATGCCAACACTCCGCCTTGCCCTCGCTCGTGCTTTCAGGATCTTCCAGGAATCGACTGTCCGGACGGGCTACGGAGCTGGCTACGGAGCCGGATACCAGAACCAATCCAGCAAGATAACGAATAGCCGTGCCGTAGCCACGTTCACTGGGCAGCCGTCTCAAGAAGCCCAGCCGCCCGATCACGCGATTTTGTGTAAGAAGACTTTTGATGTACAATACAGCGACGAGTCGAGCCTGGTTCATATGCGAGATTTATCGGCGAGGCCAACAACCAGTGATGCATCGTCAGGGTTAGACCCCGAAGACAGGCGCTGAGAGCTTGGAGGAGTGCCAGATGGCAAGTAGATTACCTGTGTATTTGATGGGAATTTAATGAGCGCTAGGAAACATGTCGATCAACCCTTATACCCTATTTTAGACTAGCACTGCATTGAGAATATCATGGTTATGACTATCCTGCCGCGAGAGCGCTCGTAACTCGTAAGACTAGATTCTATAAAACTAGGTGCACGAGGGGAGTGGTCCCGATGGCTTCGACCCCCACGCCCCCTCCCAGGTGGAGATTAAGGATCAGAAATCGTACGTATTGTTCAAAATGTCATTCAAGGCGTAGGCTATTCCAATCTATATAGTAATAATCACCCCCATCTGCAGAAAATGCAATGGCTCACCTAAATCCACCCCAGACCAACCAAACACCATGTACGTCAATCTAATTATAGGTATCTACAAGGCGCTTCCTTCTCTGTCGCCATTGAGCATTCGGATTGAATACTTAAGAAATGTTGCTTGTAACCGCGGTGTAAGTTTGGAGTTGCTCTAAGGCCTCAACACACTCCTTCCTGATGACCTCCGCATGCTTCTCCGAGCGAGGGATGATGTCACAGGAGAACGGCAGCGGGACCGAGTTGAACCCGTCGGTATAAGCGAAGCTGTTACAAAAGTTAGCGGTTTGATATCCTCTCGATAGCAACCGGACCTGCGCTTACATATCCACATCAATGTCTTCACCCTTTTGGTTCTTCGCGGCCTGGACATTGAAAGCCCAGAGAATGCGGGCAATGTTAATCGTGACGGAAGCAGAACCGAGGTGCATTCCAGGGCAGACACGGCGGCCCCAGCCGAAAGCGCTGTGGCCCCAAGGACCGGGGTACTCGCGTTTCTCCATGAATCGCTCGGGCTTGAACTCGTGGGGCTCGGGGAAATCGGCCTCATTCAAGTGCACTATTCTCGCCCGTCAGCTTCTATCGACCTTTAGAATTATTGGACAGTTCGGCGGGGACTTACGGCTCCAAAGCGGAGCAATGATGGTGCTTCCCTTGGGTATGAACATGCCCCGGTAGTAATCGTCAGCGGTGCTCGCGTGTGGGGTACCGCCGAGAACGGCGACGGGTCGCCAGCGCAGAGTCTCGGCAGCAATAGCACGGATATACTCCAGGTCGTGAAGGTCGTCGAACGTCGGGAGACGATCACTGCCGACAACTCTGTCGAGCTCCTCCTGGGCCTTGGGGATGAATCGGGGACCGAACTTGACACAAGCAAGGAGGAAGCTTGCGAGAGAGCCGGCAGACTAAAATGACCGCTGTTAGCTACTCGGACCAAGGAAAAAACGAACTCCGCCGGAGTTAGCTTGACTTACAGTCTCGACACCAGCGCCGAACGGAGAACCAGCAGTGTACGCGATTTCAAGATCAGACATGCCAAGACTCTCTTGTTGCTCGAGCAGATGAGTGGCGAAGCATTCGGGAGCGACGCCCCTGGATACTTTGTCCTTAACTTCATTCATGAGCTCAGTGTACAGCTGAATATCCTTCTGTCGCTGCGCGAGCACCTCGGCTTTCCAGGGCGCGAGGTAGCCTGGGACGTGCTTAAGTGCTGGGTAGCGCTCGACAGCGAATTTACCGGGGATACTACCAAAGTGGAAAAAAAAGAAGAGACTCCGTTAGTCAAGATACCTTCCGCAAGAACGCCGCCCAGTACGGATTAGATCGCGACTCTACTCACTTGGATTGGACTAGTCGCTCCATGGACTCGGCATTGCGACGAACGACAATATCGGAGGTCACATCCTCGACTCGTCGTCCGTACGTGACAGTGACAATGACCGACGCAGCGTACCGCTCAAGGTGTCGCCTATAGTCCGCAGGGGTATCGAGCAAATCATTCATCAAGACCTTGGACTCAAGGCTCTGGAGAGGCCTGTACGTCTCGCTGCGTCGCTGCATGAATCCGCTGTGCAAGAGTTTGCGCCACCGACGCCAAAAAGGTCCGTAGGGGGCCATGAGACCCCGGAGGCCATTGGACAGCAGCTCGCCGCCCATGACAAAGCGGGGTCTCGACGAGTAGATGGCGCCCCTCTTCTCCAAGAGATCCCATGCCGCCTGAGCAGAACCGAGGATGATGGTCGGGGTCGGCCCCATTTGGAGGTAGACGACGTCTCCGTATTCTTTTGTGAGCTCATGGAACCATAGCCACGGTTTGCGGATCCCGACTTTGAGAGTCTTGGGGCCTGGGGGTAGTTCGGAGCGGTGCCTGCGGAGTTGCCATTCTTGCCGTAACTGCGGGGAGTTGTGGTTAATAATTAACTTGGGATCCGTGGAATCGCAGGTTTGAGACTTGATTCAAACTTACTTTGGGGTAAGAGAGCGTAAGGTAGGAGATGGCGACGGCGGCGCCGACGACAGCAAGAACGGTGTTGTACATTGTTGACTTGAGGCTTGAGGAGGGGGGTAGGTGATCGTGGAAGAAACGAACAACTTTTCAATTGGCAGAAAAGATGCCGGACGTGCGAATCGCGACCAGGGGTCCTGCTGGGTGTGCGTGGCCTTGGCCCTTTCCTGACAGAAATGTTACCCTGACTGCCGCCCACTCTATTGTTTGAGTAGTAGCTTTGTCGAAGTCACGCAGGCAAATTTTTACAAGGGACTACGGGCAATAAAACATAGTCTAGTCCTCGTGTTCCAAAAGAAGAGAAGGCGCAGAACATTCAACAAAGCCGAATGGCTCGAAAGGAAGCTTGGTTGCTTTTATTCTGACGCACAGCCCGCATCAACGAACTGCCGGAATTGCCGCTAGCCCGGAAACGGAGCCATGGCACAACCCACCGCCCTGGTGAACCCGGCATGGCTGGATAGGTTTATACCGAGGATCCGGGAAACGATGTCTTGGGGTAGGCGAAGAAGTGTGGCAAGATCCGGGGCATTGGGGCAGGCTTTCGAACTGTTACGCCCCAAAAAAATGCCGGGGTCGCACTAGTGATTTTACTGATTTTACTGCTGGAACTACTCCGCACACTAAACTGGATGCAGATCTGGGGCGCGGGGTTAGTCCACCTTGGCCTGGTCGAGTGAGCCAGCCCCTTTCAGACACGACGGCAATCTCCAGCGGTACAAGAATGCAACCCCGGGATCTGCACGACGACGTGCCAAGTCATGTAGCTCTCCCATGCTGCTTGATAAGAACCCTCGAGATTCCTTCCAAGACTTTGTTGTTGTCGTGTCCTCGTCTTTCCAATCACAAAGGAGCATCTAAACGGAGTTTGGAACTCCTTCAGCAACCCGATCTCGAGACGACTACACATACGCGCATCCCAATTGAGAAAACTCTGATCCTAATTCAACGCAACAATGAAGGGAGTCGGCTGGCTTACGAAGCCTTTCCTCACCTCCCTCCTCCTGGGAATTGGAGGTTTCCTCTACGGATAGTACGCACTCCTCTGTCCTCCTCCACCTGACGTGCTGGAACACAAAGCTAACATACGGGTCTTCAGCGACTCCGGTATCATCACACCCAGTTTGGCTCTCAAGTCCTTCCTGGGCTACTTCGGAAATCCCGATCCACCGCTTCGAGGTGCCATTGTCTCCGTCTATCAGGCAGGAGGTACGAAATCTACAAAATCTACCGTCGCGAAGTTCAATACCCCATGGTGTTAACAATAAATCTTAGCATGGCTTGGTAGCGCTTCGGTTGGCTATACTAGCGATAAGTTCGGTCGTCGGAAAGCCATCGCCTTTGGATGCATCTTTGGAGTCATTGGTGGCGCGTTGATGGCGGGTGCTGCCCACGTTGCTATGCGTAAGTGGCAAACTCCCGACGCAGAGGAAGCCGTGAGATAAATTCATTCTGACATGCTTCCCCGTCTTCGTTTAGTTATTATTGGTCGTCTCTTGATCGGATATGCTGTCGGCACTATTACTGGCGTCGCGCCTGTTTTTGGCGCTGAGATTGCGAAGGTAAGCATCTACAACTGACTTGGAGACGGGGGTTTTGAGCATGCGCAAAGAGCAGATTTAACAAGTTCCGTTAGACCGAGGAGCGAGGTAGGATTACTGCCGTAAACCAAATGAGTAAGTTCATACCTTAACTCCCCCAACTCCACCTGCACACGAGAGGTATAGACAAAGTTCCTAACGTCCTGACAGTGGTTGCCTGGGGATTCTTCGTCGCTCTTTGGACTGGCGTTGGAGAGGGCAAATGGCACAATTCCAACCAATGGCGGCTGGGATTCGCCATTCAGGGCATACCGGCCCTCATCCTAGGCGTTTCGGTTCTCTTCATCGGCGAGTCCCCCCGATGGCTCCTGCTCAAGGGTCGTCACGAGGAGGCCGAAAAGGCCTTCCGTCGCTATCACTACAACGGCCAGAACGACGAGTGGTGTGCTGCCGAGTTTTCCCTCATCCAGGCCAACATCGCCGAAGAAATCCAGGCCCAGGGCCGTCTCGGCTGGGCTGACCTCCTCAAGACTCCCCCGTTCCGAAAGCGACTCTTTGTCGGTTCCTTTGTCTGGGCTGCCGCCATGTTGTCGGGTATTTCTTTCGTGCAATACTATCAGACGGCTATCTACGCGACTCTCCAGTACGGCCAGGACAAGCAGCTCCTGATCAGCGGTCTCTACGGCTCCGTTGCCCCCGTCGCGTGTTTCATCTCGCTCTTCTTCGTCGACAAGATTGGCCGTAAGAAGATTCTTGTCACCAGCTCCGGTCTTCTCTGCATTAGCTACACCATCATCACCATCCTCGCTGCCGTATTCCCCGCACGTCCCGGATTCCCCACAAACGAGGCGGCCCAGCGTGGTCTTATTGCCTGCATCTTTGCCGTGTCTGCGAACTACTCGGCTCTCTTGGGTCCCATGACCTGGATTGTCCCGTAAGTTAGCCCCGCTTCTTGAAGTCATTCCTTGCCCTTGGTAGTCATACTGATGGAATCTAGTCCCGAGGTGTTCACCACCGAGTTGCGAGCCAAAGCCAACGCCGTTGTCCAAGTCATTCACTACTCTATCAGCTTGGTCATCACCCAGTGCTCTCCCATCGCCCTCGCCGCAGTCGGCTGGAAGTACTATGTAAGTCTACCAGCTTCACTCTATAACAACAAAAGGAAATCTAACATGATGTTCAAGATCCTCTTCATCCTCACCAACTTCCTCTGCACGATCGTGTTTGCTTTCGCGTACCCCGAGACTAAGGGCAAGTCCCTCGAGGAGATCGCAGACATCTTTGGCGATGTCCAGGTTATCCATGAGGCGGACGTCCAGGGAGAAAAAGCTGCCGTCGTGACTTTGGAGAGGCGAAGCACCAAGGCTAGCAATTGAACGACGGCCCGTGTATATGGCACGTCGCATTCTCATAATTGAAAGACCCATTGTCCACTCCGTACGCTTTTCTTCGAAGCTCGCACCTCCACTTCATGTACGCTTCATGTAGTTAATTATTATAATACCCCGGGTTCCTTGTTCTCATAGCGGCCTGGATTACCTATCGCCTATCAACTACTTAGGAATTCGTTAAAAATTCTTCTCGAGTTTTTGCCACGCATCAATAATGATTACTTGGTCTCGGCTTTTGAGTTCATTCGCCGCTGCCCCGGTTCGGGGCGGATGATGGGGCTAACAGTTCTATTCGACTGAGCTGGTCGCATTACGAAGTTATCGACCGGCCTCTTGGCAGCCCTAGCGCCACCCATTAGTTTAGTCTACTCCACAGCTTTGCCCACGTGGCCAAGTACTAGGAACAAGGGCTTCAGGGTAAGTACCACCTGACGGCACGCTTCGACACGCAGCCTCCCAAACCCCTCGATTGAGAGATGTATCCTTATCCACAAGATAGAGTGTTGACTGTTGAGCCATATACGTGACAGAGCACCTCCAGTTGCATCTAGCTCTCGTGGGAACAATAGTTCCTTAGAGCCGGTCGAGAGCCGTACCTTCGAGGTGCCCTTGTGCCGACTTGTGCTTTGGAGTGTGCGTTTGGCCTGGCGTATTACGAAGTACCGTGCTCAGTGTACCGGGGAACTTTCGCCTGGTCGTTCGCCGAATTCGCAACACTGCTCAGGTTGTTTTTCTGGCGGCCCGGCTAGTCTGTTAACAGCTGACTTGAGTGGTCAAGCCTCACAAGACAAGACGGGCACCGATTATTTCTTCTTTTCTTCTAGAAAAATTTCTTGCTGTTCTCCGACATGTCATTCTTCAGTATTACGCTGCCGATTTAGCCCCAAACTGCTACAGGACTCGTCAACGGGTTCCCGGAGTTGTGTATACAGGTACAGCTCTGAGTTTCTCTTCGTGATGGAAGACCTGGTTTCTTCGAGATTCGGCATCTAAACCCAGCTGGCGACAGGGTCGCCCAGCCGCCAGTAATTTCCTTCACCTGTCGATTACTAAGTTAGAGCAATGAAGAGTGCAGGAACCACTCTCGTCTTCATCTCCATCACAGAGCCGCTGAAAACGGTCCCTTCTATGTTGCAACATCCAACATCCAACACAAAAATACCCCCGTCTTTGATCCCGCCAGAAACAGTCCCACGTCGCAAACCCATGCCTAAGCGCCGTCGAAAGGAACGAGAGACCAAGGAATTAGGCAACAGCGTCTTTCCCCACCTCTTCTCCTCTCTCTCTCCAACGGTGGTGTTTTTCATTCAATTAGAAGTTAGGACCTCCCCCGGCCAAGGGGGTTAATCTAATCTACTCTTTCCTGTCAAGCCGCCCTTTTCTATTTCAATTATCTTCATTATTACCATCATCATCATGTCGGATCGGGAAGAGTACATCCGGTCGCTCGAGGCTCAGCTACGGCTTCGTGAAGAACAACTGGCTGAAGAGCGTCGACTTCGAGAACAAGAGGTCGCAGAAGAGCGTCGTCGTCGTATCAAGGCAGAGCTCCTGATCGAAAGGACTCAATTCCTGCCTTGCATTCTCTACCGCCATCATCTCATGCTCGCTCGTCTCTCCGTGGATCCCGATCCCAAGAACCGATCGCAGGGCAGACATACATCAGTTGTGGGAAAATATTACCCCAAAACCATGACAAAATGGGCAGAATTTCCCGCTCTTCACGAACGGCATTTCTCTCGCTTCTGCGAAGCCTTCGGTGACAAAAAGCTTTTTTCTTCCTTCTCTGAACTCTTCGGTATGAGTCAGTCGATTTCGGCCAGCCCAGTTGGCTCCGAAGAGGGAGTGAAACCATACGAAACCCAATTCAAGAGCGGAATCTGTGAATTAGTCACGAAATACCGGAGAGTAGTCGCACCTGATCATCCCAGTCGACTCTCCTTTCGGCCGGACTTCCCAACTCTCACCAACAAGAAGACATCCGCATCCGCGGCAAACTCTGAAGCCAGCTCATCGTCTCCCGAGCAATCGAGACAACCTTCTTCCAGCACTGCAGGTGGCCTACAACCTTCTCCTTCTCTTAGCGTCGGTGGTGGCAAGCCTGACGCCTGGGGTTTACGGATCGAGGCAGCGCCAGTCTCTGCTGTCATTCCCGAGGCCGAAAGTAAGGCCGAAGTGCTGACGCCGATTCTGGTTCTCGACCACAAGGCCCTACACAAGGTTCCACCGGACCACATCTTGGAGATGTTAGGAGACAATGCTCCTGAAGTATCCTTGGTTGCTGATCTGCGCCGCGTTCCAAATTCACCACAGGCGCTATCGCCATCGCCCCAGGCTTCTTCAAGCACAGCAGCAACCCGTGCAAACCTGGCAGCATCACTGGCACAGCTCTTTCACTACATGGTCGTGTATGGCTTGATGTATGGTGTAATTAGTACGGGCGAGGGATTGATCCTGCTTTACTTCAACCCCGAGACGCCAACCACCATGTACTATTCTCTTTGTACCCCGAAGAGCGATGTGGTGCTACCTCCCATCCCGGACGATATTGAGGAAAGTCGTGACTTTGCCCTCGCCCACCGCGACGAACTCTCCAACACAGCTCTCGCGAAGGTCATGACTCTTGCATCCCTCGCCTGGCCAACAACTCCCCAGGGCGACGCATGGGCCTTGACTGTCCATCCCTCGTTGAGGAAATGGCCCTCGGCGTATGATGGCGCGGAGTCTCCGGTTTCTTCTCGATCGTCTAGCAGAAAACGCCGAAAAGATGACGACCCCAAAGACCGTGGTGGTTCTATGCCACCACCCCCACCGCCAGCCGGCTCTCGATCATCCACGGGTACAGAGGAAGGTGATCGTAGTCGAACAGTCGTCACTGGCAGGCACCGACAGCCAGGATCGGGATCCGCATCTGGACAGCAAGTACGGCAAACTGGCGAGATCAATACGCTAGATGAAGATGCAGATGCATTGACAATTTCCTCCACAAGGCGGCCGCCGATATACCGTTTCTGTACGCAAAAGTGCCTTAACGGGCTGCGAAAATGCGGAGCTCTGGACCGGAGCTGCCCGAATTTTTCGCTTCACCTTGACGCACACAAAAAGACGGCCCTGGAAAACGGGACGACGACAGCGATGATGACAGAGAAGCCTGAACAACTACATCACATCTTGCTGCCCCACGAGTTCCGCCTCAAGGTCCAACAGCAGCTTGCATTGAGCTTCGCGGATGACTGGGAATCCCTAGACAAGTACGGAATGTACGGTGCTATCGGGGCCCTGTTTAAGCTAACTCTCCACGGCTATGGCTATACTTTTGTCGCAAAGGGCGTGCAGGCCGTCGACGGCTGGCGCGCAGAGAAGGAGGCCCACGTGTACGATCTTCTCGATGACCTACAAGGCCAGGATGTTCCTGTCTGTTTGGGGACTATCGATCTCGTAAAGACGTACCGTCTTTACAACGGGGCGCGCATCGCGAAGCTGCTGCTCATGTCCTTCGGCGGCCTTAATCTCGCCGTGGTGCCGGAAGAAAAGGTCGCGGTAGAGGTGGCATCCGAATCCGCCCGCATCATCCGTGAGATCACGGCCCGAGGCGTCGAACACGGTGACATTCGAGATTACAACATGCTGTGGAACGCTACGACATCGAAGTTGATGGCGATTGATTTCGATAGGGCTTTCACCGTTGACACGAAGGGGACGAAGCGATCCAGGTCGTTCGGGGAGATGGAAGCTAATAAGCGGAGTCACTTCAGAGAAGAGGCTGTTGGGAAGATGGATATATAATTAATGGCGATAGATCATAGAAGATGTTACTAGAGGTGGATGTATGATTAACAGCAATATCGATAGCCATGACCGTTATGATAATGACAATGAGAAGAAATAAAAATATATTCCATGATATGCAATCCTGTTTCGAAAAACCACACAGATATTCTCCAGGTCTTAGCTTATCTTAATGTGCGCTTTCTCGGGCCAAGCTCTGAATTTGGAAAAGGGCAAAGGGTGAAAATGGGTGGTGAAGGCGTGCCAGTCATCCGCTGGGTCACACCTACATTTGTGACTTTATCGGGGCCTAGACACCGAGATACTTGAGTATGCATCTAACAGAACCACCCCGTTTAATACCTGCCGGTGGAAGAATACGAGAACGCACATCGCCCACTTAGCCGAGTTAACATGACCACATGACCGACGCAGTTCCTGGCTTCGTTCTTCAGTTTCAGCCCCTGGATCGGGAGGGAAATTCCCTCGACGTTGCTGTGTAGCCAGTAATTCCTTGATCAAACCACTGATCAGTGAAATCAGCCAGGCAACCTCCTCTTCAGCCGCCAAGCCCGAGAACGCAGGACCCTGGCTAGCTTGACCACCCTCCTGGCCCATCCATTCTGTGTGTGCCATTGTAAATGAAAACACCCAGAGGCTGAATTGCCCTCAACCCGGGAGCTCCTCGTCCTGCCAAAAATAGACCATTCATACCACCCCTGCGGGTTAGTCTCAGCCGAGAGCTGAAATGTTAATATTTCCTTTTGTTTGTGCCCAAACCTAATCTTTGAACCTGAGATATCGGAAAAGGGGGAGAGGGAGAGAGAGATGAATAAAAGTAATAAATGTAAAAGAGGCCCCTGCTTCAAAGCTTCCATGTTCTGAACATCATGTCATCAAGATCGTACCCGAGGAGGACAATGCCCCGCCGACCATTTCCACTTACCTCCAGCTCGGGTGACTGGCAAAACGGACACATCCCCGCCGCAAGTTCTCATGTCTCCCATATTAGTAGTGGGTATCTTGCCGGAAAATCTCTTGCATGGCCCGCTTGCTGCCACTTGCGCGATGTATTTATGGTGTCCCCTGCCTCCCATTCCCCATATCGTATCTCTGCCTCTCATATAGCGGAGCTAGGTTGTGTGCGGGTGCGGATTGTGCCATTATTCCGGTCCCGGACTTTCGTGCCGCTGCACTTCATATCGACGCGTTGTTGATCCTCCCCACAGCTTCGGGCGGCACGATCTGTTGCTGTGCTACGGCATGATCAGCGGGAAAGTCCCCCGTTCTGACCCCGGCCAAGATATGCAGCTGTGAATAGGTTGGATACTCCTCTCGACGGCCGTTTATCCAGATAAAATGCTTGCAGCTGGTGAGGGCAAAAGGCCCTTTACGTTAGATTATCCTTGCCGCAGTGGAGACGTCTGCCCCAAAAGCAAACAAATATGTGCCTAGCTCTTCCCCCTCTCCTTTCCCGTGGGAGGGCTGCTAGATGATCACACACACATCTCATCTCAGAGCCAGCTGAGGTCCACTAGCAAGGTTCAACATGCGTCCCCCGGTCCAATGGCTCGGCTACGCCGCCCTTGCGAGTCTCGTGCTGTCTGCTCCTGCTGACTTTGAGACAACTCAGCTGACGGACCAGGATATTGGCGATTTCACGGCTTTATCTTTCGGAAACAGGAACCAGCGCTGGCGTCCACGATCTTCTTGCAAAGCCTTCCCCGGAACAGACGACTGGCCTAGCGAACGCGAATGGGGTCGCCTGAATCGCACGCTCGAGGGCGCACTGCTCCGACCGAACCCGCCCGCTATTGTCTGCTATGATGGCCCAGAGTACAACGAGGCCAAGTGCAAGGATTTGATCCTGCATGCTGGAGATAGCCACTTCTACATCGACGACCCCCTTACAGTCTTGTCCCAGTGGCTGCAAGGAAGCACCTGCTTGCCCGGGCTGAGTCCTAAGGGGAACTGCACGAGGGGCGGATATCCGGAGTATGTGGTGAATGTGACTAGGGTTAAGCATGTTCAGGCTGCAGTTAATTTTGCGCGGAACAACAACGTTCGCCTTGTGATCAAGTAAGTTTAAACTCAGACACGCGGGAGACATTCGGATTTGAATCCTGTTCGGATGCCGGAGCAAAGAGCCCCCTCTAACTCGACGCAGGAACACCGGACACGATTTCGGCGGCAGATCTGTCGGTGCAGGCTCTCTTAGCGTGTGGACTCACCACCTCAAGAGCTTCGAATTTCTCCCCGAGTACCGAATGGGCCGTTACAAGGGGATGGCTGTTCGCTACGGCGCCGGTCTAGAAGCCTGGGAGCTTTATAACTACATGGCTGAGCACAACATCTCGATCCCTGCAGCGGGAGGCAGAACAGTTGGTGCGAATGGCGGTTGGTTCGCGAGCGGCGGACACGGAAATCTGGCCTCGTTCTATGGACTCGGATGCGACCAGGCGCTTGAAATTCATGCTGTCACAGCCGACGGAGATTACGTGGTTGCGAATCCGTACGAGAACGAAGACCTTTTCTATGCCCTGCGAGGAGGCGGCGGTAGTAAGACCTTTCCCCCTTCAGCAGATGTGAAGATAGGCACGTGAAGAGGCTAATGCCTGAATCCCCTAGGCACCTATGCGATAGTCACTTCGGTCGTTATGAAGGCGTATCCCCCTACGACATTGATTCGAGCGAGTTTGACAGTGTCGAGCAAGACCGGCGCCAACGCGTCCACCTCGTATCGAGTTGACGATCCTGAGGTATTCTGGGAGGCTATGAAGGTGTATTTCAGGTTCTCGGCAGTGATCGTGGATGCTGGTGGCGTTGACTGGAGCTACTTGACTCCGATGGGCAACGAAACGTACACATTCACCGTCGGCATGACGTTCCCCAACAGAACCACGGAAGAGGTCGAAGAGATCCTGGCTCCGCTCTACGTCGACCTGAGGAATGTCGGCATCGACTTGGACGTGCCTCCTAACCTCGCACCGACTCCATACGCCAGTCATTCAGAAGCGCCCGCAGCACCCCTTGCCGACACGCGCTACCGCTCCAGGCTGTTCCCTCGAAAGAATTGGGATGACGACGACCTTTTCGCCAAGACGTTCGACGCGATCCGAAAATCTATCGAGGCGGGCTACACGTTCCACGCCCTAGCGATTTCTGCGACCAAGGAAGTGGCCGGGTGGCCTGGCAGACACGGGGCTGTCAACCCAGCCTGGAGAAACGGCGTGCTCCATGCCATCCTCATCGGGCCCCAACCGCCGAACCTCACGGCACAACAGGCCCGGGACGAAGAGGAAAAAATCCAGCAGTATATGCAGACGTGGCGCGACGTCACGCCGGGTGCTGGGGCTTACATGAACGAGGGTGATCCGGGAGAGCCGGATTGGAAGCAAGCGTTTTATGGGAGCAACTATCCCCGCTTGTTGGAGATTAAGAGGGATTGGGACCCGTGGGGTGTGTTTTGGGCGCAGACGACGGTGGGGAGCGATGCATGGGAGGTTAGGACTGAGGATGGGTATCCACGGTCGCAGAACGGGAGGCTATGCAGGGTTGGGAGACGCGGAGAAGAGGAAAATGACGACGACTGAGTTCAAGTACCGGCAGCCCGGAGGAAGCTGCTAATAGGTAGCGGACGGTTCCATGTCTCTTTGTTGGGATGTGGATCGGCAGTGCATTAGTAGTGAATGCAATGGCTGGGTGACAGACCGAATATCTTCGTGCTTATTCGACGACAACCCAGCTCATCAACCAGTCCGTTCATTAAAGAGTAAGCCCCTACCGCCCTGGTATGGCGACGACGCCTATAATAGTGTCGGTGGCTATGGCCGACATGATGCTCGAAGTATTGGTAGAAGAAGAAATCTCTTCAGTCCTATGGCTCCCGCTGGTTGAAGGCGGAGGAGCAACAGTCTCTTGGCGTGTGAAGGTACTGAAGTTCCCTGTGCTCCCTCGTTCAGTGGGTGCGTTGCTTCCGCCGCCGGAACTTGGCGGAGATATGTACAAGTGCTACGGCGTTGAGAAAGCATCTCTCCGATTCGGCCTTGGTTCAACATTTTCAGCAGGCCCCCCTTGGCCTCGAGGTGGTTGACGAAATGCTAGAAACCCTCCATAATACGGCTCAGTTCCTTAGTGGACCAATCTTCTCCAGGACTTCCTTCGATGATGTCTGGAGTAGGAGTCCTTTCACGACTTCTCAGCAGCAGAGCATAGATGCATTCCGCAATACCACAAGGTCGGCGGTCTTTTGGGAACTCGAAAGATCTGACTGTAGCATCTTCGCAGACAAAGTCACGATATTCTCGAATGTCAGGGGGCTCGACGTGACATTCCCAACTTGGTCGTTCAAGAGCTATAGCTTCGCTTTAATATTCCTTCTCATCTCAAACAGGAATTTTTCAGCAGTCCTGGTTCGACAGGATGCCGAAAGCCGCCTTCGATATTCACCCACTCCATGTCTACGATGAACTTTCTCGTCATCGCGTTCGGACTGAAGGCCCAAGCGTCAAAGAACAAAGTCTCCGAGGATGAACTGTATAATATTGCAAAAGACCTAAAGGATGATTTGGGGCTAGGCATGACCGCTTTCGACTCAGTATTAACAGATGCAGTATACGCTTTGCAACAGCGTCATAGGGAAGGCGGCAGAGAGCTTTCGACCTACGATCTTTTGAACACGAATGTACAGGGCATCAAAATGGTCAGTATTGTTCCTATGTTCGCAACCATTGGGGAAATATTAAGTGGTTTTGTATCCGGAAACCATATAGAGAGTTCGGGCTTCAGTAACGCATATGGTACGGCTGTGGTTGAACACGGGAAGAAAGCCAACCAACTAGGGGAAGACGCCAAATTTATCGCGTTCCCTGTCGGCTATCGCTGGAGGAGTTCCTTCTCTGATCGATTCAGAGAAGCAGCTCGCTTAAGTTAAGAAGACAACGCACGGCCTGCAATGCATGCGATTTCTTCTGGAGATTAGAACATATTCATAGTGTACATCGGTGCATGCTATGGAACAAGAGTGGTATACATCGCAAGGCCCAAGGAATCAATTCTCTAGCCTAATTTGCAAAGGGCTTCCCTCTTAGTGCTTCTGCATTAAATATGTGTCGCTTATTGGAAATTTCTGGGTCGTATTGGAGCCAATCTTTGCCTAGTAATAACAGTACTACATAATCGAGATGAGTGGGGCTATAAGCGCTATAAGTTGATGTTGTTATTATTCTAGGAGGAAACTGACGCGAACGAAGAACAGGATTCGACCAGCATCACTGCGCGGCCTCTATGTCCTCTCTCTCGTGGTGTGAAGCCCTGCTATGCCAGTGATATCCTCTAGCCTCCTAATCCGCACTGAGATACACAAGCCAACCTCAACTATTCCTCCGGCATGGTTAGTTTCTACGCGAAGGCGAGGCATTGTCAACAGTAGTGGGCCGATACTGCGTAAGTCTTGCGAGCGAGTTGCGAACCGAACCTGAATCAACAAAGCCGGCGCCGGAACCCGAGCGGAACCCGAAGCCGGTGTATGGTGTATGACAAATCACTTCCATAACAAAGATCAAGAATTAATTTGAAGCAGAAGAATTCGAGGCCGACTTCCTCGTCTATGAGAATATATGCAGTCTCAACGTCAAATACAGATATCCATAGACCCAAGGACTGGCCAGGCCGAGGTTTAGAGAAGCCTCCTTAACGTGTTGAACGGTTGAAATTCTTTGATGCTGTGAAGAAGGTAGAGCGGATCCTGCTTGACGGAGACAGAAAAATTCGTAGTGAGGTAGTCCGAACCATCCTCTAATATATATCCTGTCTGCAACAGCAAAAGGGAAGGCAGGGCGTCCTTCGCAATACAGGAGGCTCTCCCCAAACAGCCGAATCAGGGTTCTGACTCTAATCCCCTTACAGAGTATACCGGAAGTCAGGGCGAACATCGCCCTGGATCCACTTCTGGTCGTCCGTGAGGGTGCTCCATACCTCATCCATCTTGCCAGCCCTGCGGTCCTTATTCATCTTCCGGAGGGCAAAATGCATGAAAACTGACCCAGAAAGCAAGAAAAAGACCTGATAGCCAAGAATAACGCCATGGCCAGTCCAGAAGCGAGGATTTTCGCGCGTTAAGTATATGTTGGATGATGTGACACCATTCAGGTTGCCCCAGCCCACCACCATACCCAACACAAATGCGCGCTTTAAGGAGCCCTCAGTATTGTTGTTAACCCATGATAAGGTGTTTGGAATTGTAGGGTAAATACCTGCAGCTCCTAGGAAGACTGCTATATATTGTATAGTTGGGTTTGAAGTTGAGATCAGCATAATAAAGCCAATGATACCAAGTGTAACTGTAGCCATATTACAGTATCCACGGTGGCGGGACCGGTCAGCATAGAAACCAACAGCGATGGTTAAAGCGGCAGCAACAGCATATGGAGGGACAGAGAGAAGTTGAGCCTTAGTGCCCTGGTGGCCCATACCACAGAGAATAGTAGGGAGGAAGAGGGAGAAAGCATAAAGAGGTGTAAGGCAGCCCATATAGATAACCATATATCCATATGTCTTCCAGTCTTTCAGAGCTGCATAGATGTGCCTCTTATCAAAATCGTCGGCGGTAAGACCCTGGCGGTCCATAATAATGCGGCGCTGGACACGGATGCGATCCTCAGGGGTAAGAAACCGAGCAGTTTCAGGCCAGTCAAACAAAGCCACCAACAGAACACTCCAGCAACAACAGTGGCTAGACCTTCAAGGATGAAAATCCAGGCCCAGCCAGGTTTGCCACTGATTCCGTCCATCTTGGCAATAGCAGCTGCAAGTAGACCACCAAAGGAGCCAGCTAGAGCAGCAGCTGAAAAGAAGATGGAAGACCGGACACCAATCTCAGAACTTTTATACCAGCAGGAAAGGTAATAGTTAACACCTGGGAATAGGCCAGCCTCAGCAACACCAAGGAAAAACCGGGCTGTAAGCAGTCCAGAATTATTGTGTACAAGACTCATAAGAGTCATAATAGTACCCCAGGCGATAATAACAATTATAAAGAAGATTCGAGGTGTAAGTTTCTTAAGTAGGGCGTTTGTAATAGGCTCAACAAGGGCATAGCTGACGAAGAAGATGGTGAGAGAGTTATTGTAGTCTCCAGATTTCATGTTGAGGTTGTCTTCGAGGCCAGCTAGACGGGCATTGCCAATGTTGGTACGATCAAGGAAGGATAGTAGATAGAGGAAAGAAAGCCAGGGAATGAGCCATAGGTCAACTTTCCACATAAGCTTCTTATCCTGTCCACATTAGTTAGGATATTTCTAGGACTGCAGCCTGCTGATGAGCCAACTCACAATCTCGCGGCGTTCCTCTTCACTCTTGCCTGCGTCGGGGTCTGGCAGGTTCGCCAGCAGCCGAGCACGCTCAATGTTGATGATTCCCGAGCTGTCGGCTTTGCCATCGCCTGAAGAGGTCTCAAGGTCGACCTTTTCTAGATCGGCCTTTTCAGCCTCAATAGGAAAGGGAGGTCTTTCCAAATCGGACATAGTAACTTTAATATTTTATATCACTAAGATAGGGAATGGGTATCAGGGAAATTGCAGGGAACCGTAGAGTAGGATAACGAGTTGTTGACGAAGTGATGAAGAGAGAACTATAAAACGAAAACTGAGTGGCTCACTCGGTGGGACTGCTATCGTTCTTGTAGTAGCAGTAGGAACTACGGGTGAGCGGATCCCTCGCTTTGCTGCTTCGCCACTTCCACTCACATTTTATCAATAAGCTCCTATTTTTCGCCGACTCGCATAGGAAACTGAAGGCGCCCGCAGGAAAGACAATGAGAGAAAATTGGCGGAAACCGGGAAGGATGAGCTCTGGTGGGACTGCCGGATGCGGGTGGCCTTACAATGTGGGATTGACCTTGTTTACACCTTCCTTTTCCGTACAGCTTCCGGGTTACGACGTGAAAATGCTCCGTAGGATTTCTTGAAAGTCTCCGCGCCATGCCCTCAAGGTTACCGTGCCATAACTCGGTCTTAACCGGCGAATCCGGCGTTAGTGTTTGTGCAGATTTGACCATGCTCGATAGAGAGATCAGGGTGCTTTGGCCTTACCCCTCGACGCCGGGAGGGCGGGGAATAGCGTGCGTACCCCGTACCCCGTACCCCGTACTCCGTATAGGCCTAGACCCGGGGTGTGGCGGCGGGGCCAAGCCGGGAGCCACGTGTGACAAGTTTACCCCAGGAAAAGCTCCGTCTTTACAAATGCTCCGTACTACAGACCGGGGTGCGTGTGGGGTGCGTCCAAGTCAGGCGTTCCCCCACACAGCATTAACCGAGAAACAACCAATCCAGCCAATCAACATGACGCGGTCGCACTGTCATTGGCGCGATTGAATGACGATCTTGGAAGCGTTGTAGCTGATGGGATGATTGATATCCTTTCCCCATATTTCCCCGTCCGTGGACTGGTCAATCAGTTTCGGCCCTACGAAGTTCAACCCCGCCATTCCCCAACTTAACGTGCATACACGATTAACAAGTCTAGTTGGTGTCAAAAGGTCAAAAGTTCCACGCAGTGTAATTCACACTGATAATCAATGCCACCTCATCCGGCAATTATATTTAATAATCAGTAGCAAAATGCCGCCAAGTCTCCTCAGGATGCCTGCCATATCCGCCTCTCCATAGGCTACGGTGATCGGAACGGCCTATACAAACATCAATGGCCAGGATAGATGCCGTGAAGCACTGCCCTTGGAGCAGCCAGGGCAAATGGGAGTGTCTCCCAGTGGATGTCTGCCTGAAGAAGACTTGATCGAGTGCCTCCGTTGCTACCCGTGCCACCACGCACATCTTCTAGGGGTCTCGAGCTTCATCAAGCCCGAGCGGAGATCGAGGAACCTCGACGAAGATTTGCATTTGGTCCTCGCGGCCACGTCTGTCCTACAACACAAATCTCATGCTCTATATCGTTAGAGTAAAGCAATCGGACGAAACAAACTGTCCGACTTGCCGGGTTGATGGTGAGAGACGGAGCGGCCAGCGCACACGGAGCCAAATTCTTACCGTACTGGCCCGGTCGATTGTCCACATAGGTTGCTTGACTGGATATGTATTCGGAAAAGTTTCTTCTTCGGCCACCTCGCTCAGGCAGCTCCAGGACCGGCTTCGCCCCTCATTTCGGTGACTTTTTACGATATAAATTCCGACGTTGTGTTCGCAAGTGGCACGACAAACCTGTAATGGCTGCCTTTCTAGCTGTTCTTAGACTAGCCGTCAACCCGACGAGTTGTCGATGACACTCGACATCGCAACTGGACAGGGTTGTGTTACACTCGAAGAATCCTACGTGATATGTTGCATTTTGAAGAATACGATCGAATAGACTACGCTCAACTCCCCACGGGGGAAGCTCAACCTTGGCTTTGGATTCGCAACAATATAAACCTTCCTCGACCCGTCTGATATTGGACCCGTTGCTCACCGCTTAAGAGGACTACCTTCTCGAACTCCGTGACAATTGTATCCCTCAGCCGTCCCCCAAGTATAAGCATCATGCAGACTCTCAAGTCCCTCTTCCTCCTTCTCTCGATCCATTCCCTGGGCACCACTGCCGCGGTGACCAGTCGGGATGATGTATCGCCCTACTTGGCAGAGAGAGGAATCGAACCTGCCCAGTCCGGCTCAGGCACAATAGCATCGAACAAGAAAACCTATGCCTCTATATATGACAAGAACAATAATCCAGACGGATTGTACGTTCCCCCCGCCCCAAGTGCCCAACCCCAAGCCCTGTACGGACTTACTACCCAATAGGGTCAACCTTGGCGTAGCCGAGAATTACCTCATGCATGACGACCTGGCTGCGTACATCGAGAACAACGTTAGTATACAATCACACTTCCCAAAAATGCACCCAGTATCTAAGATATTGTCCATGTGCAGTTCACGATCGCCAACCCCACAGACTTGACTTATGGGCCATCGATAGGTTCTGCTCGTCTGCAGAAAGCACTTGCCTCCTATCTGAACTCTCAGTTTCAACCTCTTGAACCTGTCTGCGCAGATAGCATTGCCATTGGACCTGGTGTCACCGGTTTGATTGACACCATTACGTGGAATATCTGTAATGAAGGAGACGGCATAATTATCCCCAGACCACTCTATAACTCGTTTCCCCGTGACATAGAATTCCGGAGCAAGGGTAAACTTATCCCAGCCTCCTTCGTGTGGGATAATGAGACATACTCCATGGACAGCGCATTCGATGCTGCTGCCAATAGGGCGGCCCTTGAGCGGGCGTATAACAACGCCACTCGTGCAGGTATCAAGGTTAGAGGTGTTATCATCACAAAGTGAGTCCGCTATTCATCCAACTTACCCGCATCGTCATCCGCTTGGCTAATTAAGACCAGCCCGCACAACCCACTAGGCCGCTGCTATGTAAGTTTGGAGTTTCCAGAAATGACAATTATAAACACACTAATGGCCTCTTCAGTCCAAAGCCGCGCTGAAAGAAATCGCCAGTTTCTGCGGCGAGCGTAAAATTCATCTATTCTCGGATGAGATCTACGCAAAATCAGTCTACACGAACGATCAGTTTCCCAACGCCACGACCTTTACTTCCATTCTCTCCCTACCCCTGAACCATCTCATAGATCCGAAATTAGTTCATCTCTTGTACGGCATGAGCAAGGACTTCGCGGCTAGCGGATACCGCCTCGGTGTCCTTCAGTCGCGTAACCAAGACCTTATTGACGCTGTCACTGGAATAGGGTACAAACCCACCCCGTCCCTCCGCTAACAAAAGATCCAGTACCAGTTACCGCCACTATAAAGAATACTGCTAAAAGCCATTCTAGCTCACTAACTCGACCACCTTTCATCGCCCAAAACTCGTGGGCTCGCTTGCTCGAGGATGAAACCTACCTGGATCAGTATTTCCGAACGTACTCGGAGCGCATGACGGCTAGTTATTATATCATTAGGGACTACCTAGAGCAGCGCGGCGCAAGCTATTTCAGGGGAACGTAAGTAATATGCGTACTTTTTTTTATTACTTGATTTTCTTCGTTAATCTGACTTTGATAGCAACGCTGGCCTGTTTATATGGGCTCGGCTCATCGATTGGCCCGAGGATGGCAGCGCTGAGGAATATGCGACGCTGAAGGCGAAACTTCTGGAGACCTGTCTGAGAAACGGGGTGAATATTGCCGATGGAGAGACTTATAAACCTGACAATCTTGAAAAGGGATGGTTTAGACTTACGTTTACCGTCGGCGAAGACAGGTTGAGGGTTGGGCTGGAGCGTTTGACGAAGAGTCTAACCCAGATCCAGAGCGCAAAATTCAGGTAGGACCGCAGACTCATGAGTGCGATGAGGGGCCGATCCCGTAGCCTTAACTTTTTTACGGCCAGCTGTTCGGACGTTCTAAATCGATAGGAATCACTATTTAAGCCTATATTTGAATAACTTGTAGCTAGAATATTTAGCTGTATAGCTTAATAGCCACCTACTTTCCCTCGGGCAGAAGAACAACCTCCTTTTTTCTAAAGTAGAAGAACAACCTCCTTTTTTCTCAAGCAGAAGAACAACCTACCATCCCCCCAAGCAGAAGAGCGTATTAACGCGGATCTAGACCCCGAGTTTGTGTCTAGAGAAGATGGCTTGGTGATGTAGGCGGCCTCTTTCTGTCGGTTGATCAGGCTCGGATTACGATCGGCCAAAGCCACGATGATAAACCGGAGAGTACGCCTGTATGATTGCCTCCTCTGCCGGTCAAGCATCCATCCGGTAAAAGCGTCAGCAAGCACTAGCGAGAGGTAGCGCAAAGAAAAGTGCCATCCTATTCCCTATTTCTCATCCTTCGTGCGTTCTCCTTGATACCCCTACCTAAAATTGGAATAGTTGCGGAGGGTTTTGTCGGGGTCGGCAGGTTCTTCGGCTTACCCACGCTCGTAGCCGATGTCTACATCTTCCACCGCATCGTTGATCGCGGACCTCGGTGGTTGGGGATTCCGGCTTGGATCATAAGTTCCTTATTAGCGTTTTCGAAGGAACTGATAGTTTGTCTTGGCAGACAAGAATGTGCATAAGCGATGATATCGAGGGCTATTGTCTTCTCGTAATAGTTAACAGCTTGGGTAGTACTAGGCATCCATCCTTTCCACTCTGGGACGGTGGTGTAGTAGCAAGCGAGGTAGGCATGAGCCCACTTCTGTGGCCACGTAGTTTATATATTGCGGGGACTCAAAGATCGTAGAGGATATAAAAAATCAGGGAGGTCCTATCGAGCACTTCCATTCCCAGCCCTCGGTCCTCAAAGTCTTCCATTCTGCCATCCTCCTCACTGCAGTTATACAATATCAGAGCTTATACAAGTCCTAAGAAAACAACCCACCACAGCGATGATGGCGTTTCTCCGAACAGTAATTTTGCTGCTCAGCACGCTGGGGCCTATAGTCGCAGCGTCATCCCCGGGCCGGAACAAGAAGTCTTGGTCACCAATCAAGCACATTGGTGACGGCGGGAGTCTGGGATCTGTTCTATGTACGAAGTGCTCCTCGGCATCCCGGGCTTACCTTCACATCCTAATACAAACAGCGCTAATTCTGACGTAGCTGGCGCTGTTGCCACCAAGGACTTGTTGTTTATTGGCGGAACGACTCCGAGTGTTAACGGTACTGTTCCCGAGGGCATCGAAGCGCAGGCTGTAGGTTCAATTCTCCCTAAGATGCAATATCCATCGTTACTGACACCCTTTTTAGACCGCTGTGATCAACAACATTGCCGCTATTCTTGAAGAAGCCGGCACATCATGGGAGAACGTCTTGAAGACAACGGTTTATCTCGCCTCCATGGATGACTATGCGGCGATGAATGCAATTTACGGAAGCATGCTACCCAACCCTAAGCCGGCCCGGTCGACGATTGAGGTCGGGCTACCCTTGAACTTTTCGATTGAGATCGAGGCAGTTGCCGCCCTGCCTCCTTATTAGGGCTGGGTAACCGTAGTGAATTGCGGCGCAAATGCTAGTTTAGATGGTTGATAGTGAGCCTTGGACTGTAGACGCGAGGCCAGCGTGTCACATTGATAAGGACCCATCCACAAATCCATGGCGCTATACTAAACGGCTACTACTGTTAGGCCGCATGATGTTGCATATAAGCTGTGTAGATGATGAGTTTCGTCTGACATTCAATTGAAGTACCTGTTCTGTCCGAGAGGCACTGCCCTTTCTACAACAATCTGGCAAAGAGACTTGTTTCCACTGTCTTGTTCTAATATTGCCATATCGTCATTATCGGCAAACACCGCGACGTCAGACGGATGGCTGCGGGATGTTCCCAGTCTTTGAACCGGACACTTGCACATGTGAGTGATCAGGATATTGCCAAATTTTCCCACATTACCCTTAGTGGCTAAGCGGACAGTAAATATAGGGCCTCATCACCGTAGAATGAGAGACGGAGCATGATAATAGCCTAAGCATAGGTCAGTATCATCCGAGTTGTCCTAGCTCTATTTGCTTCCTCTATTGTGAGACTAGTTTCGGGGTTGTGAAGTCTGGCGAGATGCCATGCTGCCAGACTTTAGGTGAGCCACAGTGAGCAAATGAAATGATGCGCTGAGCAAGGTGAGCCGAGGTACGCTGAGTCTGCAAACCCCCCGATTCGTTGTGAAAAAAACTGTGCTATCTTAATTTTAGAGTAAGAGGGCGTCACGGTGCCTGAAATGACGGTCATAGAACTCTCGCGGCTGACCTTTATGCAGGCCCAAAAAGCGGTAAGACACGGCAGAAAGAAATGGCAGGGCGGCTGCAAGCAGCCGACGGGCGGACGCCAGGAAGCGATCGGACATGTGAGGAGGCGATCGATTCCGATCAGTTAAGAAAAAGCTACGATCACCCTGGAGAGCTTGGAAGGAAAACGTCTATATAAACTACGAAGCCCTCTGAGCATCTAGTCTGTCTTCCAAGACTCTTCAGTAGTCAATTCAAGTAAATTAGCAATAGTAGGGGAATTTACCATACAGATAGCTTCGACGGTAAAGATCAATGATTGCTAGTATCATGGCTTTGGGTCTTCCATGTCTTGTTCGACTTAACACTTGTGCTACTCGATGACCGCTCGTCTCGATTGTCCGTTTTCGATCGATCGATCACTTCTCATTTCATATTCAACTTCTTTGACCAAAGGCGCCTTGCCTCTTCCTGGGTGATGTTACGTTCAACAAGTCAATGTGAAGGATTACGTGGTTCCCCTCGAGAACCATTTTGAGTGCTTCGTTGATCTTTCACGATATGTCGAGTGTCTGACTGGTTAGAATCTTCAGAATGCTACCCTGCACCGTATTTCGTATTGCAATTTCTCGGACCCGGACCCGCGCCACCGGGGTTGAAGGCTTGGCGTGATTTCCTGCCTTGGCGAAGTCTTGGAGCCAGTTGAGACAGCACACCCAAGTGACGCAAGCCAGCAATTGATCGGCGGAGGAGCCGTATTCCTCGCTCAATTTTTCTTTGGAGATCGCGATCTATACGGTCCTCATCACGCATCGCCGGCCTCAAAAAGCTCATGAGTATTCAAAATGTTATTTAAATGCCATCGCCATACCTGATGGCGCGATGAATTGTTAATCGATTACCATCGCTAAAACACAATCCCAATGCCTCGGTGAATTGCGTAGCGAAATAATCCATCATGGCTCCCTTTTCCTTTTCACTCCTGTCGGCGCTTTTTAGCGGCCTAGCTCTAGCCGAGTTGCGTTGTCGACCCAATGGCCCCATTGTTCCCAGACCGACGAACCTGGCCAGCTCGGAAACCATCAACTCGGCACTCGAGGAACTAGGCAGCACCTTGCAAAAGGCCATCGACGGTGAAATAAAGGCCGGATGGGACACACAAAACGGCTCGTTCTCAATTGCCGTCGTTTCGCTCGATCAGCCCGACCCTGCTGTTCCAGTATGGGAGTTCCACCACCTTTCTGCTGCCAACGAGAAGGGTACAAAGGAGATCGACCGGGACTCTCAGTACTTGATCGGATCTATATCGAAGGCCATTTCGGATCTGATCCTGTTGAAGAGCGGCGTTGATCCTGATACGCCAGTGCGGAAATATCTCCCTGCCTTGGATGGAGGACCGATTAACTGGGGCGACATAACCCTTCGGGATTTGGGCAATCATCAAGCTGGCATTCCGCCAAACTGTAAGTCCAAGATTCCAAATCCCTCGAAAAGAAGTTGGGTAGGAAGAAACTCATAATGAACTCCTAGATGGCTTCTCTGAATACTACTATCTGAAGGATGTGCTTGAGCTGCTTGGCTTCCCGCGTCTTGAGGACTCCGACTACCCCAAATGCGGTGTTATTGCTCTCAACGGTGGTTGCGATGCTGAAGGTATGTATATATTTCCACAACTAGAATACAAGAACTGCCTTCTAATGCAACAGAATCAGCCACTCAAGAGGGTCTCGTAGACTCCTACCCTGTAGCTAAGGTTTCCACCACGCCAGTGTACTCCAACATGGCCTTCACCTTGATCGCCCTAGCCCTCAAGGAAGCTACAGGAAACAATTATACGCAGCTGCTAGACGAGCTCATCTCGCAGCCCCTTGGCCTCAAGAGCACTCGCGAGAGCCCCGGCGACGATGACAAGGCCGTTATTCCTCCAGGAGAGAGCACTTGGGGAAGTGACTACGGCATCAATGCACCGTAAGCTTTTTCAGTCGTTCAACTCCGATCCATTCTCGGGAATGCCTTGTAGCTAATACATCAAATAGCGGCGGCGGTCTCGTCTCCACCCTCTCGGATTTGTCTGTGTTTGCCCACGGTATACTCTCACGCTCTAGCAAGATCCTACCTTCGGAGGCCGCTATCAATGCTTGGTTGAAACCTAATTCCGCGACTGGCAGCCTCAACTCTCTCGTCGGTCTTCCGTGGGAAATTTTCCGCACCGCGAACCTCACCCCGAAGCACCCCCACGTCATCGATATCTACGCGAAGGGCGGCGGTGCCTACAACTACCGCTCGCAACTTTCCCTTATCGATGAGTATGGTGTAGGGATTATCATCCTCACAGCTGGCGCATCGGGTGCTCTAACACCGATATATGACGCTGTTCTCACGACCATAGTCCCCGCGATCGATGAGGTCGCTCGACAGCAAGCGCAGCAATACGCAGGAGAATTCGGTGCCATCTCGAACGGCGTCGTTGTCAACGCCACACTCGAACTCGACGACGACTCCATCATTATCCAGTCTCTGAACCGCGACGGGCATGACATCCTCGAAGGTTTCCAGGTTATTTTCTCGCAGGCTTTCGGCAGTATCCTAGGCCTAGGCGTGGCGGGCCCGCGGCTGTTCCCCACCGGCGTCAAAACACCGGGCGAGGTAAAGCTCTGCAATGGGACGAGGGCCGTAGTTCGAGAAGATTGGCGCCTGAACTGGAGCGAGTTTGTCAACTTTGAGGAATCCGAACTGCCTGGGGTCGGTGTTACGGCGCAGGATTGCTTGTCGTGGACGCTGGCTGATTGGATGCATTACGGCAAGGAGCCTTTGGACAGGTACATCTTTGTCACGGATGCCGAGAGCGGCGAGGTGTTGGGATTTGAAGTGCCGTTCCTGAGGTCCGGTTTGCTTCAGAAAGCTGGATAAGTTGATGCTGTGTCATTGCGCCAAGTATCGTGGATGTAATTTATCTTTACCCTTCTCTTGGGCGTACGCTCCTTATTCTTGCTGTTCCCTTTTTCACAGACGCCTATTGGCGTACCATAGCTACTACAGAATAAACCTCAATGGGATCAATGAATGTACCAGGATGTATGGAGATGCACCAATAAATAATCAGAGGATCTCTATGCCAAAAGCAGTGTTACAACACCCATCACTTTAGGTTTCTGCACAGGATGAACAGGATGAATAGGCTCATCTTCTCATCACCGGAGTCATCATTTGATTCGAGACAAGTTCGAAATTATTCGTAAAATACTATCCAAAAAGCACGTCGTAATTCCAACTCATAAGCCATAACCCAGTTCCATGACCCGTTCGACGCTGTACATCAATAGGACCGATATAAAGATGTGAGACCAATCCCACCCTCCCAAATTAGTAGGTGTACCGGAAGTTGGATTGAGAATCATCCTGCAAGGGAGTCGTGTGATTAGCCTGATGTACTGGGAAGTCGGATATACCGGCATTCTGAACTGCATGACGTACCTCATGGGCCTCGATGGAAATTTCGCCCCGATCGGCCTTCTTATTTTGGAAGTAGAATGCGATGTCCAGCACGCCGACAAGGACGACGTTGAGTATGGAGCAAGCGAGACAAGCGTAAAGACCAGGCTTGTATGCGGGGGCATCTTGAGACCTGTCGTGGTACCATCCACTGTTAGCTGTCATCCTGCAAAGAAACCAAGCTTTCTCAATGTAACTTACCTGAATACCAAACTTCCGGCAATGCCACCAATGCCTCCGAAACCGACCAGAGTAGCACTGCAGAACGCACGCTTCCACTGGCCTCGGATGTTGTTTGCCTGATACGACATGACCGCGGGAACATTGGAGTTGGCTCCAGCCGTCATGAAAAAGACGCCAAAGTACCGTACAGCATTATTTTCGTGCCAGCCCATAATGGAGAGACCAATGATGCAAAGGATCATGTTGAAGACGATGATGGGGCCGCGGACCTTGTATCGGTCGCCAACGTATCCGGTCCCGAACATGATGAAACCGGCGAAGGCGTACGGAGGCGCGACGAGACACTGAGACTGCCCGACATCAAAGCCCATGTTCGAGTGAAGGATGATGGGCAAGAAGTAGGCGATCGAGTAGGTGACGGTTGTCGAGTTGAAGAAGAGCATGGCGTAGCCCCAGATCTTAGGGTCGAGCCCGGCGCGGAGGAACTTGGCCAAGCTGAATGGAGCGATCTTCGCGTCTCCTCGGTCGGCGTTGACGCGGGCGATGATGTAGCTCTTTTCGCGATCGGTGAGGAACTTCCACGACGCACGCTTCGAGTCGGGGAAGTCGACGAGAAGCCAGTAGCTGGCGATGGCGATGACGCACGTGAGGACGCCCTCGATGATGAAGATCCAACGCCAACCGGTCAAGTCGGCTAGACCGTTCATTTGCATCAACTGTGGAGAGAGGAGAGAGGAAACAGTCAGCTTTTGTTCAATTTGTGTTCCATTGTCACCAAGACGAGGATCACGGCCTCCAATTCTCTTCTTACCCCATATGCAAGGATGCCCGCGAAAGCAGAGGCGACGCAACCAATAATGTAAAAGACCGAGTATCGCTTTCCGACCTCATCTGGACTAGTGTGTTAGCCACGAGCAAAGGGGGAAAATGGAGAGGCGAGCTTACATCGGGTGTACCAGGTACTCAGCAGGTAAATGGAACTAGGGAAGAATCCGGCTTCGAGAATACCAAGGATGATTCTTAGGGCTGCAAGCTGGTTCCACACCTTGACGAAACCCATCCCAATCATAATGGCACCCCAAAGTAGAGTGATGAGCGCAAGATGGATCCTAGGCCCGATCTTTCTGATAATGACGGTTGATGGTGGTTGAAAGACGATGTAGGTGACGAAAAATACCAGCGTGACGATGGACTGAATAGTGATGGGAGAAGTTAGAAGAGACGGCTCCAGTATGGCTGCTGTCCGACCCATTGGCACGCGAGAGTATATCGACTTACATATCGGTTGCCAACCAAGACCAATTCCTTTGTCATTCCAGCAATGGCCGCAGCGGACAAGTTTGTGCGATCCATCAGTGACATGCAGTAGAGCACACCGACTGTAATGACGAGACGAACATCGACTCGGCGGATGATGGCCCTCCCCTCTTCGGGTGAGATATCGAGGTCGGCCACATCGTCGAAGCTCTTGCCCGTTTGTTGGGGCTCGAGATCGGGGATGTGCTGGGCCACGGCCGATTTCTCAGAGTCGTGATCCATTGTTTTTGGATTTTGCACCCGAGAGGAATTCGAAGCTTGATGACGGCTTGCGAAGTTGGAAAAAGGAAACGGGGTACAAAGGGTGGGGACGTGTAAAGGATATATGAAGTCGATCTCAATCAAATTGATCTGTCTTAAAGGTCTTAAGGTACAGATTGGCCGCGTGATGACTGCCGAAGGACCTTTGACGTCGGTTTGCGACTGCCCTGCAATAGGTGAAGTCGATATAGCATTGTGTCCATGCACCTTATATCCTACCTTCCTCTTTCTCTCCCCCGACGCCTTCGAGCGTGACCACCGGAAACTTGCCGAGGCAGCTTCCCCATATCCCGTTTCCCTCCCGCTCGAGGGCAAGAGGTCTCGCTCAACTTGAGCCAAGCTTCCCTGACCCTTGCGGGGTAGTAGTAGGTGTCCGTTACATCGTAAAGGGAGGAGCTCCTAGCGTTGTGCGGGGTACCAAGGTTTGCTGCACTACAGAATAGTCTACTTCGTACAGAGTACGTGGCAATCCAACATTCCCCGGAACTAAACTACATACAAGTATATGAAGCGTACCATTCATTGCTCGTTGCCCCATGGGGTGAGGAGGCCGCAGTTCGTCCTTTGCCTTTTCATGGATGTTTAATTGGCTGTTGCTGTTTAAGGTTGGGACGGACCTTGGCTCGGGGGGTGCTAGCTTCTCGTTTTTTTCCCCATCTAACCACAGCAATAGTTAGTCCTTCCGCAGCTCTCTTACCCCAGCCCAGCGCTACATAGTGTCGGTGTAATTTCCATTCTGAGGTTAGCTGGAGAAGGGGAAGGTGGTATAGGCCACGTTATGGGTGACTCCAGTGTGAGGTCGAGGTGGCCTGGCCATGCATGGAGAGCAAACAAAACAGTTCCACCGGAAATGTCCACCGGAAAACGCCCAGATATCTCTGCGATCCTCCAGGTCGACGCTTTCTGGTGCTACATACCTGGGCGTGCGCTCATACTACAAAGTACGGTGGTTATATTATGTAGGATATCCCATGTGCCGTGTCGTGTGGGGTTGGCCCGAAAAAGGCGAGCAAAGTGTGTGGCGGGCGAGCAGCAGTGTCGGTTGTGGTTGTGGGGAAGAGACAGGGTAACTTGGGGTAGCATCGATGTCCTCTCTCCTCCCTGACATCTGGTGATATTGTATCGTGGGTGTCCAATAAAGTTGCCCGGAGCTGGGCTGTTCATGGCCATGAGACCCGATTTTGGCTAGGCTCATGCACGCTTCACCCCTTGCGGGGAAATCCCCCTTGCCTATCTAATGAATGACCTTGGCACGCTGATCAGTCTTTGAGGACTGCCTTTCTGTCAATGCTAAACTAAGATTTGGGGACGAGACTGCTTGCTTCTCGTTCATGTCTTTTCCTTTTCCACTGGATCTATCTCTCTCTTGGCATTATTATTTTTATTGGTCAACACTTTCGTTACCTCCCTTCATTCGAGGTGCCATTGCCGGTTGGAATAATGCGGAGAAAGAAGAAATAAAAGGGTTTTAAAATGAAAATAAATCTTTTAAAAAATAGCAAAATTAAGATGAGCATTTCAGACAAGAAGAAATGAACAGGGGCTTTGCCATACCCTTCTCAAAGCTGAGAATTGATGATACGAGCCAACATTCGGTTCGAACTCCTTCGTCCTTCAGCACGCCATGATGCGTCTTTGCAACAGTGTCACAACATGTACCTCTATTGAGATCAAGTCATTCCTAGGATAAAACCCCGGTTTTACGTAGATACCGAGGCTCTGGGATCGGTAGCTCGTTTCTTACCATCTCAAGGTTAGAATTGACTTTCCAACGCCCTATCCTGTATTACCCGATAAGGGGTACCATATACATACTTGCTTAATGCATAAGATGCCGAGGGCAATTCCCGTGGAACAGAGTGCATAGAGTTTATCTCACGATGTTGCGCCACATCGGGCAACCACCTGAATTCTAACGTACGAAGTATGTTGCATTTTGAACCTCGACTCGAAGGTGACACCCCTCAACGAGTGACGGGATCTCGGAGATCTTGAAGAGAGCGGTCTTCTCTTGGCATCCTGAGAAAAGATACGCCGACGATCATTACTGAATTGATCTTGCGGGGTCTTCCGGCAAGTGTGCGGGGATGCTTTTGAGTTGTGAGTTGCGACCCTAGAATTTCCGCGAAAGGAACTCGTCGGAAATAACTCATGTCCCAATCGCTGGCGGCCATGAGCTCAGTTCACGAAATGGTATCGCCAGAGTGCGGGAGCATAGAACAGGTTGTGACAGCGTTGTTTGTCCGGAGGTCAACCTCGGGAAAGCCAATTTGACTCGACAGCACCCTCCATCGCCCGTGCGCATGTGAGTGCGTGGCCTGGAACGAGATCAACAATCGACATGCTGCAAACTACTTGGAAGAGCCGCAATCTTCGCATTCCCTCCACGTGCCAGGCAAGAAGGTGCGTCGAGTACCATCCTCTAGCTGGTTATATTTATCTTGGCCAGGCATTGCCATATACACTACATATGCAGATATCACACCGACCATGCAAGTGAGATTATTACTGGGCGGTTTACGGTCGATATTAACAAACTGGGACAATGAGGCTAGACCGCCGAGTCGGAAACCCAGCGGCGCAAAGACCCTAGGCTGTTTCTGGGGTTAAGCCCCGAAAGCTTCCAGCCACTGAGAAGCTAAAAATGGTCTTAACGCCGAAAGAGACTGAATCGTCTGGTCTGCAATGAATGTCTGATTCACTAGTTCTGAGTCTCATCGCAGAATAGTGTTAAAAGGCATCTGGAGAAGAGATTCTTAGGGTGTCTGTGGTGAGCGGCTTTCTTTACTCTAAGCGACACTGAGACCCCCTTGCTCCGACCTGTTCTGCATGTTACTTGTACCAGCAATTACCGCTAGCCCGATCTCGACACATGGGAAACCTTGTAGCTCTTGGCTCTAACCCTAACTCCCCGTTCCCCGCCGCATCGCCCCTCTCTCCCCTCATCCCGGCCAATTCCGGCCCTGTGGTTTCTGCCTCCTAACACGTCCAGGGAGATGGTCCTGGTACCCGATATGATTGTGGCACAGGCCAGTAAATGTTAAGCATAACACCTGGATCAGTCGCAGTATACGCGCCAGGGAACGAAGTCATCGAAGACGATCCCGGAAGCGTGTTCCCACCACCTGTGACTCGAATTTGGGCGCAGGACAGATAGAACTGCGCACCGCCCACGGCAGAGGCGGAGTGCAAGGCGATGTGTTCGATTCTGAGGAGGTAGTCGCCGTCCGGAATACACCTGGGGATGGTGACGCTCAGGGTACTCTTTCCTATTATAGAAACATGCATTAGAAGATACCAGTACTTCGTACATCGCCACGCCTTTAACACCCCCTCTCCTTGTGGAGTTGATGTGGAGACGCGGGGTAAGACCATAGGCAATGTCCTTACCATCACTTGGCCACTGGAGAGATGACGATGTAATCGTCGGGCCCGTCTCGGCAATCTTGAACCAGACTTTCCCGTCACCCTGGAAGTTCGAAGCGGAGGTGCCAGTCGGCGCTTTGGCCATATAAAAGCTCAGCGGCCCCGGATGGAAGATGGCCGGGGATGAAGTGAAGCCGACAGTTGAGCCCGCCGCTACGTTGACGGTGCCAGTTCGAGACCCGACGCTTGTGTCGCTGGTATAGCATCGAATTGTCGGGCTCGTAACGTCGGTGACGGGGCCAGTCGTTTGGCGGTTATCGGTCGCGCGCACGTATTGCCACTGGTTCGTCGTCTGGCCGTTGACGATGAGCTTGTCGAAAACATCTACGCTGGTCAGCACACTGCGTTTAAATATCATATTGGATATTCGTCATTCGTTACAACTTACAATGAGCCTGGGCAGTCGCCGCAAGGGCGGCAAGGATCGAGAGGAACTTCATCGTCGTAGCGGCAATTATGTCGTTGATTTCACGTTATTCTCAAACAGGGTGGCAGTATCTAGTATAGGAAATAGAAACCGAAAGGTTTCTAGTTGCGTGCGCGATGAGAAGACTTAAATAGAGTCAGTTTGCCATTGCTCAAAGCTGCTTCCCCGTCCCAGACCCAGGGCCATTGGAACTCGGTCGTACTTTCAGCTTCCTCAACCATATCATGAGAGCAAATGCCCAGCCCCGGTTATTACGGTGAGGACTGCGTGGTGACAGGAAGGATATATCCAATTGCTGGAATACCGCGAAAATTATCACGATGGACGCCAAGCAGACTTCCAGGAGATTTTCCAGCAATACGCGCGCAGCAGCATCATAGTCCCGACGGCCGGCTGCGACCCTAGAGTGCCACTTACCAGAAAGACCGAGACATCTCCCAAGGAACCCCGCAATTTCGACGCCGGCAAAAGCCCTTAGCGAGCATGGCATGGCATGCCCACGCGATTGGCAAGGTCTTTCTTGGGGCACCTCCAACAAACCGACTCATGAAAAGCAAAGGGCCGTCAAAGAAAGACTAGAGTCTCTGTGGAAGACGTCCGGAAACACCAATGGAAACCCTGATGTAAACCGGATATCAAAGGCACTAGCAAAGATGGCTAAAATTTGGTTTATTCGGGCAAACAGCAACATGTACACAGCAGAGCCTATGCGTCCGTCAGTGGGAATACAAATCCCCTAATGGTGACTACATGTGCTCACAGGCTTTGTCAGTCGCGAGGGATGACGGTGATTATTTACTTACCGAGTTATCCAATAGCTACTCCTTGCCGCTCCTCGGCAAGAACTGCCATTAGTCATTAGATGACTTTCAACAGATCACTCTACATATTGAGGTCGAAGATGCTAACACGGGCGACCACCGCGCGCCGCGGACAGCTTTTCTATAAAGAGGCTGAAAGTTCGGGCTCGACGTTGCCGATCCGCTCTGAGGATGCTCTCTGTCTGGGGGCCGTAGCACGATCTCACCGCAGTCACGTACGACGTCAGGTGGTGCTGGTGGATTGTCGAGATGCGATGAGGAGTAGATGACACGGCCGGCTCTATCATCTGGCGAATCGAAACGGAGACAGATGGACCTAGGCCGGCTTGGATGGGGACAACCCCGAGGCTGCCACGACTGGTGGAAGCAAAGATCAAGTTGCTGCCGGATGCGATCGACTCCCTGTAAATTGCCATTGTCGGTGTTTCCGGGGCTTGGGCGGCGGATCCCGTCGCCTCCAGGGGTTATCTCGACGGGACTTGGGTTCACATCTCGGTGAGGATCGACGGTGAATCGAAGGATTCGAAAGCCGTCCGAGGAATGTTCAATTTCGACGGCGCGGCGTGTGTCCGTCTTGTAGCCGTTGTTGTCGTAGTTGTCGAGCCCATCGCGAGGGGGCATCTCGCCCTCGCCGCCAATGCCTTAGGTGGGAAGGAAAACGCGAAGTTGGATTCATTTTCCGAGGTATAGCTCGTCCAAGGTTGGAGAGCAGAGATCGTTAATATCAATAAGTGGAAGAGAAATCGGGTTAGACGATGAGATGGGGGAGCTCCAGCGCAGTCAATTCCAGAGAGAGGAAAAGTTGTTATATATAGTATTTTCCGTTCGCAGTCCTACAATGGAGACTTGAGGTAGTGAGCCAAGTATAACATACAATATCGAAGCACAATTAAAAGTGCCATCTTTACAACTTATAAAACAAAGACGTAGCTAAATTATAATGTACAAACCGCAGATAAAAGAGCCAGACTGTTTCTTAGAAGACACTGTAGCTATACCTAGACGAGGAGCCTCTTCTTTGTAACTCTCGGTACTTATTCTCCTATTGCTACTACACCAGCTCTTCTCCCTGAAGACGAGAGTAGTTTTATAAAGCAGTCCACAAATGAAATGACTAGGGCCTTTAAATATATATATAAAGTAATATCTCATTACTTACTCCTAATCACAAGCCGCAGCCTAGGCAAGAAACAAAGGGAGAAGATGAACTTTCCAAGAAACTTGAAAGCGGTTCCAGCCGCAGATATGAATAAAGAGAAGGCGACATCATCTGAAAAACCACATACCAGTTAAAGTTCTTGGAGTGACAAGTTATAGAAAGCGGAGAAGGAGATTATGTCTCTTCCTATCTTTGTTACTGGAAGGCTGCCCCCCTTTCTGACTGAGATATATATCTGGTTCATCCCGCTGAGTTTTCCCGCCGGGGGTGAGACTGCCATTCGGAGTTTCTACAGCGCTGAGTCTAACGAAAACGCGAGGCATCAAAGGCAAACACGAAAGCAACCCCGAGCGTTTCAACGAAATGTCTTGTACACGTTCACGCCGAGCTTGCAATAAGGTACCAAACGGTACCAACCGGGGAGATGAGGACGATATAGAATTTGAAAGTCGGGCAGCCGACGAGACAGGTTCGTTTAGGCCCCAAATGTGTTTCCGTCGATGTCCCAGGCAATATCTGCGAGAGACCCATGGGGTGGGTGAAGATGATCCAGGCCCATATGCCGGCAGATTCAACACGAAAAGAACCCGCAAAAGCCCCACAAAACCGGATGGAAGCAATGTCCTAGGATTAGCCCGGGGAGGGAGCATATTCCCGGAACCGTTGAGGTACCTCGAACGGAAGGAGGTGCTCAGAGTGACACAAGCCTTCTGCTCGGCGTGGGTACTGACGTTAATATGCTGCTCAAGGGTGATCACAAGAGAGCAGCGACCGGCCACGGTCAGAGTGGTGAAGGCGGTAACGTCCACATTTCCTCCTCCGCTGACTATGGCGACAATTCTACACACGAGGCCCGGGTGAAAAGCATTAATAGTACCAGTCCTGGGCAACTCCGCACAGTTGCTATGAATGAGCATATCATACCGACGAGGGAAAAAGCGCCGGGAAATATACAAAACTGGCAGGGCCAGGTCTCTCAGCTCTTGGTCATAGATCTCCTCAAGCCGATGAGTCCGGTCATCGCAGACTACATTATTTCACCCACCCTCGAATTTTCCTGCGGTTTCATCTACGGTTTTTTCCTTGCATTCAAGGTACTTATTTTCCTCAAACTCATGATCCTATTTCTCAATTTCTGTTTGCTTCTTATTTATATTGCTCTCGGTTGGTAGACTCCTCGTGCTAATAACCTAGCGGTTGTCTTCGCCTCGAGCTTGGCAGTGTGTTGAACCATCCTATTAAGCCTTCAAAGCTAACTTGGAGTCGCTGTGTCGTCAGTCACAGCGACCAGGTCAGCCCTTCCGTATAGGCATTGGGGACGATGGAGATGCCGATCTTTGCGTCTCCAGTCATGGTCCTGAGGATGAAGGATATCTTCGGTGGAAACAAATGTCAGAGACTCTAGCAGATGGGGGGCCTACCATATCTAGAACTCTGCTGCTTGGTTCGTCGCATACTTACCCTCGATTATTGTCTACCCTCTTGTCCTTAAGCTAGACAAAAGGCCTGTTATACTCACAAATTTTGACAATGGATGCCGATCTCAAATTATTGTTCAAAACATCAATACAATCATGTCCTTTAGCCTGAAGCCTGCTAACACTTGAACGTCCATGTAACATCCTCCCACCCCTTCCGTCTCGTGATCCGCACGGGATCCTTCTGCTCAAATATCGGCCTCTTCACTGCCGTCCCCAAGTACGAATTTCCCGCCGGCGGCACGGCGACACCAACGACATCATAGCCCAGCGCGAGTGCACTCACCAAGCCGATGTTCTCCGTCTTGGCGAAATTGCGTCCCGGACAAAGATGCTTGCCGCCACCAAAGGGGATCATGGCGCCCCTCCGCTTCTTTTCGTCGACGGCCGTGGCATGAAGGAACCGCTCAGGCTTGAACTCATGCGAGTCGTCGCCCCAGACGTCTGGCACGTGGTGTGCCACTTTAGAGGCCCATTGGATGTTGATACCCTTGCGCAGGAGGTACTCCTGTCCGGTGACGGGGTCACGTATGGTCGTGTCGTTCATCACGCGGCGGGTGCCGACGAGATCGGAGTAGAGGCGTAAGATTTCGCGGTAGACCGCGTGGAGCATGGGACACTCCTTTTCATAAACGGCGAGGTTCATGGTGGCGGCTATTCGGCGACCGTTCGCGTCCGTTTCAACGGTCGTGATGGTCTCAACCTCGGCCCTGACTTGCGATAGTAGAGCCGGGTCGCTCATGACGTGAGAAAAGAGCCAGAAGAGCGTGGGTATCGTGTTGCTTGTCGCGACGAAGAGCATGGACGACTCGGGCTTTGTGAGTTCGTGGTCTTGGAATCCGATGAGACGTTCCTTGGCGCCGCGTAATTTCATAAGAGGCGATACGTCGTCGCCTTGGTCGAGGCCTTTCAGGTAGTACGGCTCCAGGCGCTCTTGGAGGCGGTCGCGCGCTTTCAGAGCCTTGGGGGCCAGGAGATTCGGTGCGAATCCCAGAGCTAGGAGGCCAAGCCCCTTATCAAATTCCCTAAGGGTTGGTCAGACAATTAAAGTTCCTTAAAAGACTACATTCCGAAAACGTACCACAAATCATTCAATGAATCCTTTCCCAACGGGTTTTGGCTCCCAAACATGGACCGTAAAGTCGCGAGAGCCATCAGCTCCCTCAACCACTCGAACCCGCTCTCAAGCGCCAGCCCCTCCCTACTGGAGATATCATTCAATGTCTTGGCAATTTCTTTCAAAGCCGCGCTATTCATGACCGCGAGATTCTCGCCGAGCATGGATTGCTGGATCGTGTGGGAGAATTCGTCCATCGTACCCGGTTGAGAATAGATCTCCACGTGCTTCTTGTCCATGCCCAGGGTTGGGGTGGAGAACTCGACGGCGAAGGGCTCGAAGGAGAGGTTTTGGTTTCTCATGGCGGCGGCGACTAGCCTAGGCTCGTTGATGACGTACATTTTGCCATTGAGCATAGGCAAGGTGCAGATCGGGAGCTTTCTTTCCTGGCTGGAGAGCTCTTTGGTTAGGAACGGCCACTGACTTGAAAAAGGGAAGGGGGGGCTGGCAGGGGGAAGAAAAAAATGAAAAGGCCAACCGACTAAAGGCGGTGAAACATGTTATTCTGTTCCCGCATGAGGGAGAGGATGTGGCCGAGGAACGGGATCGTTGGCGGAAGAACGGGAGGCTCGCGAGGGTCGATGTTCGGGAAAAGTATGCGGCAGACGAGATACACCGCGACCGGCACCGCTGCAGCGGCGGCTGCAGTTGCGGGGTCTACACCCGAAACGGGGTCACTTAGGATGCTCCACATGGTTGCTCGGGGACAAACACATCGGGCTCCGTCCTCAGACGCGTGGAAAAGGGGAAATAAGAAGCAAGGGCGGTGCTGCGATGGCGCAACGAGAAGGTGTGGCAAGTGTGGCTGTGGTTTTGAATCCTTCCAGAACCTGGCTACAACTCCTCATAGGGCCGGGGTTTAATATAATCCGTCAATAAATTATATTATTATTTAAAATCTAACTGCCAGCGATTTAAAATTGTGTATTAATTTTATTTGCATATTTCAATTACTATTATACTTAGTTAAGTACTCGATCAAAATTTTTATATAAAATAGAAAATGTAGAAATATAATTATAATTTATACCGCTATGCTGGCTTCAGCTAGTTCTCCTGACGCAGTATCAACCTCACGTCAGATTGTCCTCAACTCTACACTCTAGAGACAGGTTCAAGTTCATTTTCTCGAAGGCAACGTGCTAAACGAACACCGAGCTCATTAAACACTTCATTGGAAATACTGTGGGGGCAATGCCTGCTTGTGTACAAGGGCGTGGGGATTTACTCACGAAATTGGGGGGCCAGGGGCAGGTGATTTTGCCAAAGAGGGGAGAGAACATAGAGAGATACATCCATCAAGGTTCTTGTTGGAGGGCAACAGGGTCCTTCCACCTGCCTGAGTAGAAGGAATTGCGGTTCAGTGTAAGCAGACCAGAGGACTACTGAAATTTTCTTGACATTCTCCAGTTTTGGCAGGGGGTCATAACAGTTTCTGTGGTCTGATGAAGCAGCTGCATCTACCGAGTTTTGGTCGCCCTCGGCTCGGATTCCATACCTATACTGCTGGCAGTGACTCTCAAGTTCGCCAAGGTCTACGTCCTTGTCCAACGGCCTAGACTTCGTATTCGTGCCGAGATAAGAATTGACAACGATGGCCAAGTCTCCTGCCAGCTCTGATTTTGATTATCACACACTGAATTAATCGAGGAAGCGGGAAACTGTAGACGTCTATGACTACAGACTACTAAGCATTCCTAACGTAGTATACGGGAGTACGTTCGGAATACCGTGTGGCAAGGTCCGAATTGTAATAGAAGCTAGAAGCAGATGAAAACTCCCAAGCTGTCATCGGTGATCTATCTCAATATCCCCCCTCTCCCCATCCCCCCTCTCCCAAAGCGATAGTTATCGGTCGTCCGAACTCTTTGACAGTCGCTAATCGGTGGTTTATCGTGAGTGCTGCCTGCGTCTCTTCCCTATTTCCCGAAGTTGCGGTCCAAATTTATACATCTGTTCAAATTTATTAGCATTTTGGATAGAGACTTTATAGGTCATTTTGGTGAAACGTACGAGCGGGAACGGGATCCCGAAGGCGAGAGTGAGAAAGGCTAAGAGGCCAATGCCCCAGTCGATCCCCAGCGCGTCGAAGAGGTGTTCACCAAAAAGTGGGAATCCTTTCGGAGAAATTAGTTTGCAAGGTGTACTTGGCGGGGCCATTAACCATTTGATTAACTTACCTCCAGCAAACAAGCAACGAAGAGTTGAAACTACCATAGTTCAGCTGAGAGAAGTAGACATGGGATGAAGAACTTACGGGCCGAGATAGCGGATGCTGGAAAATCGAAACAGTCGATAATGTACAGCTGGATGGCAAGCTTGGAGAAGTGATAGATTAGCGTCGAGCGTGACACTTTGCTTCGAGGCTTTATAACATCGAGGACTAACATAGACGTTCATCATTCCAATACTGAAGATAGCGATTCCGACCAGTGGCTACACGTGTTTTTGTTCTCAGAATTAGCAAAGCCTAGCTACGCAGCGACGGATGTGATACCCACCACGATGAAATGTGTCTTGAGAGCCGTGAAGCCGTAGATGAAGAGACCGATTGCCACGAGCAGAGCGCCAGGGAACCCGGCGACGAGACTAGATCGTAGCCCAAGTCAGTTTCGGCAGTAGGGAGCGTCAGTAGGTGTATAAACTGTACCGAGACTCGGCCTTGTAGGGCTTTCCCTCCTTTTTCATCTGTCTGCTGTAGATGGCGTTGAGAAGCTTCGTGGTGGCGAACATGCCGATCATGGCGCCGACGCCCTCGGCGAGAAGGTCGATTCCTACGATCCCTGCAGAGTGGCCGTACCCTTTGCCAAAGACGAAGGAAAACTATTACAGGATCAGCGTTACTATAACCCCACTCTTCCAGGATGTAGGTGGGATAGGATACTTACTGTAACGACGACGAGATAGAGCACTCCAAAGATGCAGGAGAAATATACCGATAAAAGGAGCAAGGCAGGATCAAGAGCGAGGTACATTACTAGCCACGTTTAGAAGGAACTTTCCATTGACGAGAATGTTAGAGAGTTGCGTACCAGGACGGGCGGTTGCAGACGCCAAGTCAGAGAGGATGTGACCTTCCGGGCTTGTTTTCGCAAGATCGAGGACAGTGTACCTTTTGTTATTTCTGTCGTTCCTCTTGAGTCGGGTGAGCTTCCACTTGAGGAGGGTAGGGATGTACGTCTCGCGGAGAAAGAAAAAGGCGACGATCTCTAGCACGGCCGCACAAATGGCCTTAAAAGATGAGAAAGTTTGTCAGTTTTCACGAGGAAGGTATTTGTATCCGGAAGAGGCCAGAACTAACCGGAACCCAGCAAGTCCACCGCCAGGAGGCGCGCTCAGACATCCATCCGCCACAGGCGGGTCCCAGGATCGGACCCATCATGCTGTATCTCATCAATACCCTTCTCCTCTCCCCCCTTTCCAATCGTAGCACACTTACAGCGCCGTTCCAAGGATGGAAGAAGCCGTTGCTCGCTCCTTTAGACCCCACAAATCGGCGAGCACGCCTCCGAAGACAGCAAGAGATGCGGAGCTCCCCACACCGGCGAAGAACCTACAGACAGATAACTGGGCCGTCTTGTCCCACGCGTTAGCATCCTAGACACGCAGGCAAAGGGAAAGAGGGAAAACGAGGCTCGGAGGAGGAAGGGGGTTTCTTAACTGTGTTACAGAAGCCAGAGCCCACGCCGAACGCGATGAAGACGACGTTTCCACCGCTAAGGACCACTCTTCTTCCGAAGACCTCACTCAAGGGTGCCAGCACGAGCGGAGCAACTCCAAAAGCAAACAGAAATATCCCAATTTGGAGGGCGCCAAGAGTAGGATCTGTTTCGTTTATGTCTTCCATTACCGATGGCAGAGAGGGAACGAAGATGGTGCCTGAAACTCTTATTAGAGAGAGAGCGTTTGGCTTATCATGAACAAGGGGGTGGTTGACTTGTAAAGGGAGCCAAGAAGCAGTATGACCCCACGAGAAATGTGGCAATCCATTTTTTCTTTCGTGTCCAGTCCTGTCGGGTATTCATGTTAGATATACATGGGACTGTGGGAATATGTCGCTGGGAAACGGCTAGAGCTGGGGTATATTATTCTATTACCCGAGGGTTCTCGCTATGCGCCTGGCTGAGGACAACTAGGTCTGCGCCGTCCAATTAGCAGAGGAGAACGCCACTAACTTGGTTCGTAAATTGGCTTACCCGGGTCGAGTTGTTCCAGGCCTCGCCCATCGTAGGTCACCCTGTCCGGGTTCGACTCTCGCTCTTGTAGGATTTCCTCGTACCGCGTTTTAACAATTGAGCGAAGGCTAGGAGGGTTGCTTTGGTCCTTCTCTTGAGCTAGCGCCACGCTCGTATCCAAACTCCCGTCTTTGTTTATCTCCATAGCGAATAATACTTGTGGTAGATATCTAGGGCAAGAAAACGGGGTTAGGCGGATAAGGTGTGCGGATACGGGCTCCCATCGAGAACATCAAGACGTCCAGGAAATCAAGTCATATATATATTCGCTTAGAGGCCCTACTCGTGTAATCGGCGGAACGAATGACTGACACGAAATGCTTACCCTGCAACGGTATCCCGTACCCCTGAAAAAATTCCCGGCCGGTGTCGGCAGCGCCGGAGGTGTGGGCGGGCAATAAACCTGCAGGATCGGAGATAGCATCCGATCGTTTTCGGCCGAGATTCCCCCCCCGCTTTTTAAAAATCACCAAAACATAACGTACGGCAGAATTTATTGCTCGAATGATCGGATATAAGACTTGGCATCATCGGCCGACTCTTTCCATCCCCTCTTTATCCCTGAAGTCCCCAGAGCCTTTCGACTCAGCCATGACGAACGCGGAAAAACATCACGCACGCGCTCGGCCGATCTCCGCGTGCTTGCGATGCCGCAAGGGTAAAGTTCGCTGCGACAGGACCAAACCTCAATGCGAGCGCTGTAGCCGCGTGGGGGTACAGTGTTTGTACTCTCCACCCGATGAGCCCCAAGACATCCAGCATGATGGCAGGGATGGACACGATGATTCGAGCTCTATGCGTGACATTGGCAATCAGAAAGCCCCCAACCAGGAGCACGGAGAGGAGAACACCGCCCCTGCGGTGGGGGAGCGGCCTCTCGACCACCTGGACGCCCCGCTCAGTCGAAATCGCCCCATCATATCATGCGTGCGCTGCCGAAAACATAAAGTACGCTGTGACAGAAACGTTCCGTGCAGTCGCTGTGCAAGACTCAAGAAGGGCTCGGAATGTATCTACCTCCATGGGAATGGAGCTAGTTCCAGTTCGACCCTGGCCGATAGTACAAAGGATATTGCCGTGACTTACGAGGACAAGCAGTGGAATCAGCGGTTCCGAACCCGGGCGCACTGGGGTACGCTCCACCGTGAGGTGAGTTGATAGGTCGTCTAGCCTAAGATGAGAGAGCGCTGTGGATCTAACAATTCTTAACAGATTCAAGAGTATCTGGTGACCGGCGGAAGACGACCATTCCTGCACGACTTCCACCCTGGGGAATCTCGCCCGTGTATATCTCTCTCCATCAACTATCCTTTTTGCAATGGCCCAGGCAATAGCAAATCCACCGAATCCATTCTCCGTGGGCTACCCCCAGAGTCGATGCAGCGGGAGCTAGTCTCACTTTATATGGAAACTGTGGAGGAAGGGTTTCATTTCCTCAACCGAACCCTTTTCGAGGCGGAGCTCAAAGAGTTCTGGTCAGAGGAAAAGACTCCCGGCGACGACTGGCTTGCCCAATTCCTGCTGGTCCTCTCCTTAGGGTGCCTGTGTCGCAACTCCATCACCGAAGAGGGTAATGGGGATGATAACACAGGGGGGCTATATAACACTTTACCCTCTCGACTCGTAAACGACGCTCAGATATGCCTTCGGAAGACACCGTTCATGCTCCGGCCTACCCTCGCCACTATCCGGACACTGTGTCTTACGGTCATTGTCAAGCAGATATACGGCATGTCGTGCCATGAGTCTGATACTTGTTGGCCGCTAATGGGCACGATTGTTAGACTCTCTATTGGTAGGGGTCTCCACTTGAGCGCCGATGCGGATGGGAAAAGATTATGGGCCACAGTTCTGTACCTTGATATGAGACAGTCGCTTATGTGTGGAATGCCCCTTCTCCTGCCACCCGGAGATATATCAACTCTCTCTCATGGAAAGAACATGGAGACTTCAATTTCGGACGATGGGGAGGTTATGGGGATTGGAACCAGTGCCATTGACCGGATAATTTTGGGGAGCACAGGCTCTATTTTACTCAGAGCTCTAGAACTTGCCACCTTCGCAGACGAGTCGGTCTCATACCAACAGGTCATGGAAGTCGAGTCCCGGCTCCGAAATTACCTCCAACGACCAATCGCCAATTTCCATACGTCTCATTTCCATCCCGTCGAAACAACTGGTGCATCTCCACATCACGACCTCGAGTCCTGCACCGTCGACATATTCCTCCGCCAAACGCTTCTCGCCTTAACCTCCCGCTTCGCCCTCCTCACCAACTCCTCGATCCTCTATCCAGCTTGCCACATATCCTCCCTCGAAAGCGCTCTGGCCATCCTCTCCCACCAGCGTACCCTCCACGAAGTCGACCGCACGGCGGCGGCCTGGTTCGCGGGGCTCTTCCGGTTCGACTTTTTCACAGCCGCTATGACTCTCTGCTGTCAACTGGTGCGGGATGATTCGGCGCTCGACGTGGCGATCGGGGGAGAGTCGGCGCCCAGAGGGATGGTGGTTGAGGCGTTGAGGTCGTGCAGGGAGTTATGGAGAGGGGAGGGGGCGTTTTCGGTGTGTAATGCGAGGGCTTTTGGCATTATTGACGAGATTTTGGGTTTACTGGAGGAAGCACCAAGCGGCAATACACGGAAAGTGGGATAGTATAAATCCTAAGTCGGTATCCTTCCTATTGAGGATCTGATCATAGCACAGTATATCCCATTTCTTGACAGGGCGCAGGCCTGAGACGTACGCGGTACCTGACCGAGATACTCCAGGACTGAGATAGAACTGGGCTACAGACATCTGATAAATATAATCTTGTTGCGCGGAGTGCTTCAGATAAGGAACGCATTCAAGCCCGGTTCGAAAAAGAGGCAGAGATTACATGTATACACTGGCCTACAGAATAAGATGTTTATATATAATATTATAACCGTACAGAGGAAATTATATGTTTATCTTATTATAGGTTCACTTTTGAATAAGTGATATATATTGCGATTTGGCAATTTTACTCATATCCAACCTTGGCGTTGCTCGGAGGAAGACTCTTCGAGTTTGCACAATGAACCCGTAGAACTCGGTACTAGACTGCACGCGCGCAGGTGGATTTAAATCCCGAGAATTTGGGCCGAAGGGTCTACTCGATTGACTTTAAGAGCTTTAAGAGCTTTATTAGCTGGCCAACGCGGCGAGAGAGAAGAGCGGGCGCAGATAGAAGTTCAAGTCAATTTCGTCTTTTTCCAGAAGCACTGCAGGGTAGAGAAACACGCCACTACTTCGTCTCACTTCAGATGCGCGAGGTTGCATGAGGAATTATTACGCAAAACCGCGGGAGTGATTTCCAAGTGCCGGGATTTCCAAAATCCAGGTCTAGATGCAACCTCAAAGAGGTGGCTCTCCGAATTTCTCCACCTATGAAAATGCTGATCAAGTCGAGCGAAGCCCGGAGTGACGATCAAAGGGACCATAACCCTGCGAGTTTTTTGGCTGAGGATTTCAACGAGCGAAAAAAAATTCGTCAGTACCTTTGTTGAGAATACTAATATTGAGAGAACCAGAGGAAAACCGGACTTCCCATACCGATTGATGGAGCGAGGCAGTTGGACAGCGCAGCGCAGCGCTCAGAGGATCGGAGCACTGTTCAATAGGCACATTATCCGGAGTTGACGATAATTAATCGTTCTTTGCGAAGTGGGCAGAGGCTCCTTCACCCTGATCCCTGTCGAACGACGTCGCTGATGTTGCCCTATGATCCAAGTTCCCTGCCCTGGCAAGTGCACGCCGAACCTACCCAGTTTCCCAAGTTATCCTGGTCGCCTCTGTATCCGTGGTTAGAATGATTGGAGGGAATTGAGCCACTCGTACCTCTATAGGACCTGGAATTTTATCAAAAGGAGCACGATAATCCTTGAATCGCGGAGATTACTTGACCGAATGCTCTCCAAGAGGTGGCAAATCAAGCTCGGGTCCAACGGCGAGAAGCCACTAGCTCCGCATGGGTCAAGTCTCCCATCACGGTCGTAGTGGCCGGTGAACTCCTGGGCTTGGAGGTATGTATATAGAGCTCTCATAGTCCCGGTCCACCGACAACTGTTCATTGCTCATCCGCATCATCTGCAAACGAGATCCTTCCGTTTTCATTGGACAAGGCATCTTCAGCCATCTAGACTTGTCCCTTGCAGAGAGCCAGCGCTATTATCTCGAGATGAAATCGATTCTCCTAGCTAGTCTCGCCGCGTGGGGCGCGTATGCCCAGAGCGGAGCATGGGGCCAATGCGGCGGTATCAACTGGTCTGGCCCTACGAGCTGCATCTCGGGCTATACTTGCGTTTACCAGAATGACTGGTACAGCCAGTGTCTTCCCGCGTCTCAAGTCCCGACGACGACTACCAAGGCGCCAAGCACGACCCTGACTACCAGCACCCGCCCTCCCACGAGCACGTCTAACCCTGGAAATGGGTCTAAGAAAATGAAGTGGGTCGGCGTGAACCTTTCCGTTGCCGAGTTTGGCCAGGGTACCTACCCTGGGACTTGGGGCAAGGAGTTCTACTTTCCCGACAACAATGCTGTCTCGGTACGTTGGTGCATCCTGACAAGAAGGCTACTGCTCCAACAAGGGAGCCATTTGCGATATGTTCATATTGGATTAACCTGTACTGCAGACCCTTATTTCCCAGGGCTACAACACCTTCCGTGTTGCCTTTGCCATGGAGCGTATGGCTGTCGGCAGCTTGACGAGTAACTTCGACCAAGGCTACCTGACCAACCTCACTGCCACGGTCAACCACATCACCCAAAACGGCGCCTGGGCCGTCCTCGACCCCCACAACTTTGGGCGATACAACGGCAACGTCATCACTGATACCAACGCCTTCAAAGCCTTCTGGGTTAAGCTCGCCACCCACTTCAAGAACAACGACAAGGTCATCTTCGACACCAACAACGAGTACAACACCATGGAGTCATCTCTCGTTTTCGACCTCAACCAGGCTGCCATCAACGGCATCCGCGAGACCGGAGCCACCCAGTACATTTTCGTCGAGGGTAACTCGTGGAGCGGTGCCTGGACCTGGACCCAGATCAACACCAACCTTGTCAGTCTGCAGGACCCCCAGAACAAGATTGTCTACGAGATGCACCAGTACCTCGACTCTGATGGCTCCGGTACTTCCACGGCGTGTGTTTCCAACACCATCGGTGTCGAGCGTGTCACCGCCGCGACCAAGTGGCTCAAGGACAATGGCAAGGTGGGCTTCCTCGGTGAGTTTGCTGGCGGCGCCAACGCCAACTGCAAGGAGGCCGTCACCGGCATGCTCAACCACCTCCAGGACAACAGCGATGTTTGGCTGGGCGCTCTCTGGTGGGCTGCGGGTCCCTGGTGGGGCAACTACATCTACAGCTTTGAGCCCCCGAGCGGAACCGGCTACACGTACTACAACTCTCTGCTCAAGCAGTATGTCTAAGAAGCTGTGCTGACCGTGAGTTCGATGTTGGACCGTACCCTGTATGTACATATTTCTTGCTTGTATATATCTTTCTGGGACAGGAAACAAAAATGGGCGAGATGCGATGGCAGCATGATGGTGGTGTCTCCCCCCAAAATGACTGATGGATTACCTTCGATATATAAATTAGGGCATTATTTTCCTCCTCGATATTATGTTGCAGATTTGCGCCCTTTTGTGAACCAACTTCGCATTGTGTTGTGACTCAACTCGTCCATGACGTGACGGTCCAGACTCTCCGAGCTTGTTTTGCCTCGGGAACTCGAGTAATTGGCTAATGCTGCACCTGCAGTAGGTTAAGTGGTTCCTCATCATAAGCAGACGTAAGAATATGACATGACAGAGTCGAGTATCTCCGAGGACTTCCTGTCCCCCTCTTTCGCCGCTCATCTTAAAATTCAACGTCATCCCCCTGTCGATTAAATCCAAGCCCATCCACCGCACCGGGCCAATACTCACAAAGTGTCGAACTTGAACCCATCTGGCTATTCGTAAGGCAAAAAAAAAAAAAAAATGCCATCCAAGCAACTGGCCGCCACGAATAAACTTCTAAGGGCCTATCCATGGACCTCCAAACCCCTCATCGTCTTGGCGCCGATGCGCCCGGTATCCGGCCCGCATCTTGCCGTCGCCGTCTCTCGGGCCGGGGGCCTCGGCTTCATAAATCCCAACGGAACACACCAAGGCATAATCGATGACTTCGAAGACGTGAAGAAATTACTAGAAGCGCAAGATACATCTAGTGACGCCCTCTCCAAATTCGCTTCCGGCGGTCTGCTGCCCGTTGGAATTGGCTTCATCGTTTGGCGCGACGATAAGCAGGTGGCGCTGTCGACGGTTGAAAAGTATCGACCTGTCGCTGTCTGGCTATTCGCACCACGAACTGGCCAGGGGGAATTGGACGAGTGGATATCGGAATTGCGCAACGTCTCTCCGCAGACCCAGATATGGATCCAAGTTGGTACCTTGGGTGAGGCAACTGCCGCCGCAAACAGCAGTTCGCCCCCTGATGTGCTGGTAATACAGGGTACTGAGGCTGGCGGGCACGGAAGAACTAGTGATGGACTTAGCATCGTCACGCTGTTCCCGGAAGTGGCGAATGCTATTCGCGGCTCGGGTATTCCTCTTATCGCTACCGGAGGCATTGCCGACGGTCGGGGAGTCGCAGCGGCGCTGAGCCTTGGAGCGGCGGGTGTCGCCCTGGGCACCCGGTTCATCGCGGCCACCGAGGCTCGCGTTAAAAAGGGATATCAACGGGCGGTCCTTGACGCAAAGGATGGCGCCAAGTCGACGGTCCGCACGACGATATATAATCAGCTCCGCGGAACCAACTGGCCAGAGCAGTACAGTCCCCGTGGAGTTACGAACCGTACCTGGGATGATTTCCAGGCCAAGGTTCCATACGAGGAGCTGAAGAAGGCCTTTGATGAGTCTACCAAAGCCGGGGATGAGGGCTGGGGTATTGAAGGGCGGCAGCCCACGTACGCTGGTGCGGGTGTCGGGTTGGTTGACACTGTTGCCGATGCCGAAACAATTGTCAACAATTTGAGGAAGGATGCGATAAGCATTGCAAAGGCAGTTGCAGAGTCCTTTGAATAGAACTGGAATGTGGTTAGAGAACAATATATCTATATCTAGTCTATGATTTTACCTCTTTTACCTCCCCACTAGCTTTCATGCGTGGATGGACGTGTCTCCCTGTAGTATGATCGTTCGGGAGTTGTGAGTTCTCCAGACGGGCCGGATCCATCTTCGTGTCGCCTAGGATCCGTCCAGTCACTTGATATAACAACCTCGACATCTTTTCTTATGCGACCAGAAACTCCCTCCCTATCGATTATCCCGTCTTGCGAGGTCCCGTCGTTGAAACAGCCATCTAAATCTTCATTGATTCCCCTACTCCCCACTTGAGTGGTGACACTAACCTGATGTCGATGTGGCCGCCAGTCCGAGCTGTGACAAAAATCAGAAAGCATCATGCTTTCGAACTCGGGTCCTGATGTTTTTCTTTTCTTCTTATCACTATTTAAGATCCTCCTCAACCGGCGGTAGACCAGAGTCCAAATCATGGGCAGGTTTGAAGTGAAAACGGCGACAAACGATTCTCGGACGGCCCATGATGAGGCCCTCGTCGGACCGGTAATGGGGTTCTAGACGGGGCGGTCGTTAATACGTAGTTTAGCGTGAATTGCTGGGGTAGAATCGGGGTTCCGGTACCGGCCTACCATTAGAATCAGGATGCATCGGAGAACACCTGCGATCATGACGAAAATTGCACCAGAGAAGAGTACGATAAGTCCGATCTTCTTGATGACTGGCAGCTTGGCACACCAGAGTATGGGAATAGGCGTCAAGACGAGGTACGCATCGGTGGATATATTCAAGGTGATCGTCATGAAGATGTCGAGCTTGGATAACGCGGGCTGGCAAAGGTCTAAACGTGCAGTTAAGAGAGATTCGGTTAGATAAGTTCGGATGATGAGCCTCGGGTGGCGTATCACGACTCGAGGGGGAACACCCTTGAATCAACAAAGGCTTACTTCCTGGGTCTGGGTATATTTGCCAATTCTTCGACATTTTAGTGCAGCCGAACAGGATCGACAACAGCACCGCGAGGTAGGTGACGACGATGGCGACGAAACCAATCATCAACCGCGTGTGATACCCAAACAATCCACCCTGGAGAACTCAAATTAGTATGCTCGTTCGTGCCCGTTGTGTTGTCGCTTTCTCGTGGCAGGCTCTCCGACCGGGTGTATTACTCACAGTCAGACGAAGGTAGAATGCACACCAGGCGGCCTTGATCATCCAGAGCACGGTCACATACATGCTCCAACCTGCGACCTGGATTTTGGATCCCAGCACCCTAATCTAGCGCGTTAGCATAATCCGAGGAACCTGAGCGGTAAGATTAAATTGCTGACCTCCAACGATACTCATCGCTATCGGGAGACAAACCTGCTCTCTCCTCGTCCGTCATCCCACTATTCGCCAAGCCATGTGCCGAGGTCGCGACGATATGGGCGAGTGTAGTCTCGATCGCGTAGGGGATGATGACGAGTAACATCAGGTAGTCGTCGATCCAGAGGCCTTTCCATCTAACCAGCCTCCATCGTGCGTACGTTCGGATGAGGATGGTCACAATCCCGAGAGCGAGGAACGTCCAAGCTTCGGTCGAGAATGAGTTCATAGCTGGGACATTGGCCTGGGATACGGCCTCGTGGAGGGTTTGGCGCACATTAGTGTCGGCCAGTCAAGGAAATGAGGCAACCTAGGAAGTGAACAGAGGCCGAATGACGATAAAATCGAAGTTTGTTGGAATGGGATTTCCTAAATACTTGTTGGATTCCTGGTCGGATGGAGTGCCAAGCTAACTAGATCGGAGATCGCGGCGAAAGTAATCTAGACATACTGTCCAAGCTCAATGGTCTTGTGACTTTGGCTTGGGGATGCAGGAACTTGATTGTTCATCATTATTTTGGCCAAGCTGCTCGTACCTGTGCTCGACCAGGATACATGCTTCGTAAAAATCCCCATGCAGATCTCTATCTTTTTACCCTCAGCTTGTCTCGACTAGACCCGATTGGAACGAATCCTTCCAAGCATAGACCGCTAGACCCATGTAGGGTCTACAAGGTATGCCTCTGGGGCTCAGCAAAAGCCAGGTTCCCGCACCTACGTAGCACTCCTCCACACTTCCTCCCCGTGTCCGGGAGCATGTATCAATAGATAGCCGTTTCACAATGCCAGATGGACGGGCAATGATGAGGGCCTAGCAAAGTTTGTTGACTAGCTCCATCATCAGCACGTTTGCCATACTTCCAGGGGCATCCAATAAAAACAGACTTGGCAATCAGTGGGATGCTCAAGGAGAAGTATTCAGCTTCGGATCCGTCGCTATCGATGACATCGATGGCTCCAACGTATGGACGAACCCCCCCGTCTTTTCTGTCTAGCCGAGATTTGGGGCAGACTAGGGCTGACAGGATAACATGATATTTTGGCATCGATGCTTTTCTTCTGCTTTTCTCTTTCGTTCTTCCTGTTTTTCTTCTTTCTCTTTTGTCGTTCTATTTTCCTTCTTTCTTGGCATGGCGGATTTTTCATATCTATTATCGACGGTCCGAAATGTCGTGGCTAGTCTCCAAATTTCCTCGTGGCACTCCCGCTCTTTAGTGTAGATATCCGCTTCCCGTGTATTGGGTGGGATCAAGAATATTATTAGATACTACATTTTCACGCTTGACTAAACGCGACAAGTATGAGGTCGGCTTTTACAAATCTGTGAGCCCAAATAGATATCCCTGAGTCGCCTAATTTCCTCTTATATGACAAACTTACGAACAATGCGAATCCATGGAGCAGGGCTCCTCTGTCTCTTCACATGTTTCATGCTAGTTTCTACCATCCTCCACAACAATCTAGCAAGGCAAGCTAGGCTGCTAATAGGAAGAGCAATTAAGTAGTCAAGTGCGGAAGGGGAAACCTAGGGGAGAAACCAATGATCGGCGTCGCATAGCAATAACCTAGAGCATCTAGATCTTCTCGAGTACGTGACCGGTGGCCCTCCAAATAGCTCGGGCGGCTACGAGGTAAGAACCCCTTGTCCGAAGCTCGCAGGAGACTTCACATCGTCTCGCTGGGCCAAGAGTGTCTTTCCCGGGGCGAGATCACCTGTGAGAAGCCGGCAGAAGCGCATCGGCCCCGATAAGCGGAACCTTAATTCAGCAGATTATTGAAGGCAAATTTTACAAAGCAAAAGTCTATGAGAGAAGTCTAAGCCAATGGCTCTTTTGCGGCGACATCCGGGAAACAGTGTGAGAAATTCCCTTTCCACCAGCACGGTCACCGAGCCTCGACCTCGGTTCCTTTTGAGTCTTGAAGCTTGAAGCTTGCCACAGCGAGCGGCAGATACGAGAACAAACCGGGGGACTCCTGGAGACAGGTGACGTAGTGGAGGCCATAGATCAAAGGTGCGTGGAGATGTACCACGAAGCCAACAATGAAAGGGTCTCAATAACGACGTCAAATACAGAAGCAATCACAATCGTGGCGAGATTACTAGTCCTGGTGGAAATATTAGGTGGTTTAAGGGAAGAAGTCTCTCTAAGGATTGTGGTTATATACAAAGTTCATGGCAGTTCGGAACACCCCATGTTACAAAACGATCATCCACCCCAATGAACCAGGAACTGTCATAATTCCAGCCGGTTACCTGCGGCAGAGACGGCCAGTCTGAGTGGTAAGCCAATCCTCCTGGCCAGTGACGTACCAGTCCTCGCTACCGACGGCAGTAGGAGCATAAAGGAGATCCCAGGGGTCGACAGACCTCTTGATTTGGAGAAGTCTGTCGTAGTTGCTGCCGAAGAAGGCCTGCTGGAAGTTGGGCTCCATGACATCACCCTCGTTGCCGTAGCCACCGCTGCCAGGAGTAATCTGTCGGAGCCTCTCCATCCAGTCGTGGGTGATCTTGTTGTTGATGGCGGCGACGTCAGCCTTGGGGGTGTCAGGGGCCCAACCGCTGCCGACGATGCCGAACATGATGGCCTCACGCCAGGCGGGGTTGGCCGCGCTGTCGGGGGTACCCGCGGGAGCCTTAGGGTTCATGTTGTACTGGATAAGAGCTGAGCCCTCCTCAACGACACCTCGGATCGTGGCGATGGTCTCGTTGAGCTTAGCCTCGGTGGCCCAGTTGCTCTTGGGGAAGAGACGAGAGGCGGTGTGGAGGTTGGTGTTGCCGACGGTCTCGGTGGGGAAGTGCTGAGTCCAGGCATCGTAGAGGTTGTCGTGCTCGAAAAAGGTGGGGCTGGGGTCGAAGCCGAGAGCCTTCCACTCATCGAGGAGAGGGGTGACGACGGCCTTGAACTGAGCGAGGGTGTAGCCGGGGATCATCCAGGGGTTCATGCTCCACATGAAGCCGGCGCCGGGACCCATGGAGAAGATGGAGGAGTAACCGTAGTTGCCGAGCTCGGCATACTGGGGGAACTTTCGCCAGTAGGCCTCGACGGCGGCCCAGAAGGCCTCGGTGGTGATGTTGGAGCCGGGGCCGGCGGTTATGGAGAAGGTGAGACCGGGGAAGTTGGTCTTGGGGTGAGCCTTGACTGTCATGCCGGTGACGACACCGAAGGTGCCGCCGCCACCACCACGGATGGCCCAGAAGAGGTCCTTGTTGTTGTGCTCGTCGGCGGTGACGAAGCGGCCGCTGGGGAGGACGACGTCGATGCTGAGGACCTGGTCAGAACCGAGGCCGTAGACACCAGACATGGGAGAATGGCCACCGCCAGCAATGTAGCCACCGGTGACACCGACACCCTGCATGAACTTTGTTAGCTCTTATCCCTTAGCGATTTTCGGTTATGTCTTCTGGGGACTTACCTTGCATTCGCCACCGACGGCGGTGACACCATACTTGTTGGCAGCCGCATAGAGCTCGCCGACCTGGACACCGGCGCCGAGCTTGAAGGCAGGACCGCTGTATGAGGGGGTCTTGTAGCTCTCGATGAACTTGATATCCTTGAGATGGTGGGTCCAGATGGAAAGTGCACCAGCACCGGTGGACTTGCCAAGGAAATCGTGACCAGTGTTGTGGACAACGAGGCGGAGGTTCAGGTTACGAGCGAAGTTGATGGCGAGTTGGATCTGACCAACGTTCTTGACCTTGACGACGTACGAGGGGAAGCCTCCAATGGTGCAGGTACCGGTCGCGGCATTCTGGGGAAGACAGGTCTGGCCCTGGTACAAGGGAGACATGACCGAGGTGGGATCCTTGGCACTGGGTTGGGGGTTAGTATCCACGGCTATCGAAGGGGATGCGCCGTGCGGTATAACTTACTGAGTGGCCGACTCGGTCCAGTGGGCAAGGAGCTCCGTGCAGGCAGCAGCGTCGTAATGCGGGTTGTTCTCGTAGCAAACGGCGCCAATGGGGATGGTCTCGATGAGAGCGCCGCCGGTCAAGAGGTCGAATACCTTCCAGGTGAGCTTCGAGGGCCAGAGGAGGTCGCCAGGGAAGGTCTTGCACCTGTCGAACGTGCGCTTGTAGTTGGAGCGCTTGGTAACGGCGGACTCGGTGGCGTCCTCGTCACCGAAGGCGAAGAGGGTAATGTTGGACAGCTCAAGGCTGGTCAGGTTGGCGAGGACATCGTCGGTGAGCTGGAAAGCAGTCGCCTCTTCCTCAATGTTGGCGATCTGCTCCACAGCGGGAGCGACAGTGTCGGCATCGGCAGCTGGATATTGTGTTAGCTTGTTTTGTTTGCCCAGAGAGAACAAGATGGTGCGATGTTGCCAATCGCATCGACGGGACTTACCGACTTCCTCGCCATCGACAACGATGGTCTGCGCGGCCACTAGATTGGCCAGCGGCAAGGCCAACAGCAGGGCCTTGGAAAGGGAAGGCATGGTGAAACTTGGCCCTTCTCCGGGATGCCACTTCACCAGGCAAGAGTGCAGAGGGGTAAGGGGATATAATCTTGGCAAGATAAAAGAAGGGCTTGCCAATGGAGGGAGGTAGGTGTTAAGAGAAGGTGGTGGTGAGGAGAAGGAGCTCTTTCGTTGCTTTTGGGGTGGAAGGAGAGCTCGTCTTAAAAGAACCTCCGATCCATCAATGCGACGAGACGCGAAAGGGGCGAGAGAGCCGAGAAGCTGGTACAGCCGCTGGAACCAGAGGATAGGAGAACCTGGAAAGCTTCTGGAAAGTGGAGACCTCCCGCAACGGCCATGTGGCTCCCCACGAGGCAAGGTCTCTTCGCGTGGGTGTTTTCGTGGAATGTATGGGGTAAAATGGGTCTATCAAATTTGTTTTGGGTCTTTTTTGGCCTGATTGAGGATCTCAGAGGGAAATGACAGCATGCAAGATGGGGCAATAGTCTCGAGAAGAGATGGGGCTCTTTCCCGTTCTGTCGACAGAGGATAGAAGCTCATATGGAGCGAGGAGGGATGATAACAACAAGCTGGGGGCCAGATTTGGTTGCATACGAAGGAGGCACCCAGTGCCGGGTACGCATGAGGTGCGGTCTGCCATCAGTGGAGTACCAAGGCACAGCGAGGACTCTACGAGATTCGTCAATTCCAATCTGCCGCAATTGCTTCAGCAGGGATCGGCTTGAGAAGTGGAGACCTCCCTGGTCAATTCAATGGGTCTGATGGAAATAGCGGGTCGTTGGCGCTCCAGACGGCAAGGAAGAGGCGTCCTTGGGCGCTTGGCATTGCCCATTATCTTCCAGATCCACCGGGACCGCTACGATACAAGGTGGAGAGGCGGGAATTGCGATGAGTGGGGCTTGTCTGCCGGGCAGCTCGCATTCGCTGCACGCACGTGGGAGACAGGATTGCGATTGCGACAATTCCGCCATAGAGAATACGAATACACTACGTAGCGTACGTTGTAACCGAGATTGGGAGCTGGACTTGATAACTTCATCCGTGTTCAGATTGCCCTCATAAAGTAATTGTGTAATTGTGCTCTAGGAGGTGCTGCTGGACGTTTGCCTGAGTCCCCAATACAGGCACTCTCCCGCCTGCTGCAATGCTTCTTCCCACATCTTCGCCGTTAGGATCATGGCCAAGACGTTATCGCGATGGAAATGGTTCCAGCAAATTGGGAAGTGCCTATTCGGGCGAGTCCAAGACGAATTTACGAGGTATGGCTTGCGCTGATGGCGTCTAAAAGTACGCTGCGGCCCGTTTGTAAATGGTCTCACCACAGAATGTTGTCCTCGGGGAGGGTCAGTAATTATTCTCAGAAACGGATGGTGGGATTCCATAGTGAGCGACGGAAATTTCAGGGCACTCATACAAGCTGAACCAGTAAACACCAGTACAGTCGGTCGACACTCTCTGTTGTTGTTCTCAAGCACCACTAAGAAAGCGGGGGCTGTGGTGAAATCACCGACTGCGCGGTTCGGATTATCCACTTTGATCCACTCTGGATACGCTACTTCGTGGCTCTCTCTTGCTGGTGAGTATGGGAGCGTAGACTCCGTGATATTGCTGCTGGCCAGTGGCGGTGAGGTTTAGGACGGCGACGCCACGGATGGAGCCGGTTCATAATCCAGGCAGCATGGCCACAAAAATGACGCAAAGGTAAGTTTCTTTAAACCTCATCTGCTCTGTTTCTTGCAGGTCGCCCCCATACGGCGGAAAGGGAGAGGGGAGGATTTATTTGTCTGGGTAAGCTTGACTGGACCAATGCTCTTTTATAACTTTGCTGGTGTTGAACTTCGGTCCACATCCCCTCATCTTCTCCACTGCTGCCAACGGGTCCTTCTGGCCAAGAAAAGGGAGACGCCACCATGCAAGATTTCCAAATCCTCGGATTCTTCAACAACTTACAAGGATTTAGTGAGTATGTGAGTATTTACTTCCTACTTCTTCCGGGTTGTGCGTTCACGCAAGGGGGAAAACAGAAAAAGAAGAAAAAAAAATGTTCTGCACCAGGAACTGATTGCACCGCCGTCCTACTGCGGTCAAGCTTCACCAAGAAGGGAATGATGCATTTGGATTCGGTTTTGGCTCGCATCAGATCCTTCGTGCTTCGTAATAGCTTCCACTGAGAGTTGACATTATCAATCCATACAACCCCAGCATCCCTCTTTCTAGCACATTCAAGGATGAATGACCCACATGGTCCCCAAAACGCTGGAACCCTAACCCTGGAAAAAAAAAAAAAAAAAAAAAAAAAAAAAAAAGTGCCACAGTATCAGCAGGTGCGGCTGGTGGCTGGCTCCAGGGGCCCCAGGACCCCTCGATGTGGATTTCGTTCCGGGTTTAGATCTCTGGGCGGTCATTACGCCGGGTATGGTTGTATGGAGGATTTGTAAGTTGGACACTGACTTGCAGCGTTGACATCGGAAGAACCGGCCCACTGGTTGATCGTGTCATATTCCACATTCCCCCATACTCATATCCCAATCAATCGGCTCCACCTGTCCAGCTACATGCATGCATGCACCGAATAGACAGGTTCATGCAGGGGAACCAGACGTCAAGCAGCAAGGTTTACTTTCTAGTATTTGAAAACAGCAGAACCCGGTCACTATCCTTCCATCTCTTTGGCTGTATCTCACATCACCTGCATCCAGCTCCATTTTGGCCCCTGTCATGTTGTACCCAGCAGCGAAGCACTCAATTCATATGATAACGGTGCCGTTCGAACATCCCCCGAGTGCCGAATTCTGCCGGTAGTCGGCTCTGGGCACCATCCACGCCGTGTTCGAAATCCGAAATCGCCTTTCGGTGAGAAGACGCTACTTCTGTTCGGTAAGTGTTAGTACACCCCTCTCCCCCGCTCCCTACGACATTTATGCTGTGAATGTTTCCACATCACAACTAAGGAACTTTTTTTTATCCGACCGCGGGCGGCGCGATGGGCTATGAGGTAAAATGGAAAAGATTTACGGATGACAGTGCAAGCCGGATATCAAATGCCCCATCGGAAATACACCGACTCTCTTAGCGTGCTCAAGGAGCTCAAACCAGCACGCCGGCTCATCCATGCGACAAACTAGCGCCGACTTCAGTATCCACCACGCCCCCATGAATGTAACCATCCTCCTCTCTTCGTCCCCAGTCCTTCCAGTCACGAGTCCGCCCATGAAGTCGGTTGTCTGTGATATGAAGAGGACGTAGGAAGCAAGTGAGAAGTCTGTCCTCCGCAGATGGAGCAGACGAAGTAGAGCCCGTGAATCAAGACTCTCGTACCACGGCCTACTAGTAATAGGGATTCTGATTCTACTATGCAGTAGGAGGCAAGGCGGATCCTGTGCAGACATGGAGGAAGCAGTGGATGGTCCGGACAAGCATATAGGGTAATCGGCTAACAGGTCTTGGCTGCATAGATGAAAAATCCTCAATGAGTATAGTCCATGTTAGTAAAATCAAAAGACCCAACAGCGATCACACTCCTCTCCCTTGCCCTTGCCCGGGTGAATGTCTTCTTTCCAGCACCGGTACGGTTCCCGTGATCGGCAATGATATTTCCTCTATTTGTTGAGACTACTGAGCTTATTCTAGTCAAACAGGGGGGGATTCCCAGGGAATCGCGACATTCAGCCCCCAACCCCAAGAGTTCAAGGGGTAGATGACCTCCATGATCTCCTAGTTACAAGTTCGCCAGTGCCACCTTCCAAACAGGCTCCTGAAGGGTGCAGCGCTCTGCCCTCCCTCAAGTTCTCTTCACCCGGCCCTAGTCCAGCCCTTGTCCGAACACTAGGAACAAAATTAGGTGAAAGAGAAGCTAGTCTAGAAGGGTTCCGGGACACTTCCGGCGGTTGACCATCCCTAATCTACTCTCCTCTGCTCTCTGGTGGTGTTTGGATATCGTATCAACCAAGGGATCCGAGGGATAAGGCTCCGGGCACTTGTCTTCATCCATCCACGGAAGTTTTTCTTTCAGCTGGTATCCTTTTAGACTTGGTTTTTTTTTTCCAATTTCGGTACGGATCGTCAGTTCCTGGGCTTTATATCTTAGCCTTATCCCTTTGACGATCCCGCTCCGAGCCGTCCTTGGAGGTCTTCAAATTCAACTCTGACCTTTCCTGGTATACTGGCCTCGAACGCCCGTGGACAACGTCGACTGCCCACCGTCAACTCGGGACTGTTTCGAACTTCGATCTCGATACCATGGCGGCCATCTTGGAGGCGAGGCGTCCGCCTCACCCGGACGTGACGACGATTCCCACTCCGCCGTTGCAACGGACCGCTCTTTTCATCAACTTCTTCTTCCCTGCCTTGGCTGTTGTTGCAGTAGGCCTGCGAGTGTTCTCCAGGGTCAAGTCACGTCAATGGGGCCTCGGTATGCTTTATATCGCGATTCCGATCGTTAATGATGAAGTAGAGTCGCTAATTTTCACTTCTGATCCTAGACGACTGGCTGATCGTTGCCGCATTGGTATGTCGCGACAATGATCCTGGAAGAGATCAACTGGAGACGGTGCTGATAACTTGGATAGATCTTCTCTCTCTTGATGACGGGTCCCTTTTACATGGGTAGGTCCCCATAAGATGAAGATCAGCGATCGTCATGATAGTGGGCCAGAATCTAACCGTAAAAACCCCATCGCAGACATTAAGCTATCATACATCGGATGGAGAATGGAGGATGTGCCCGAATTCGATCCCGCGCCAGGAAAGTGGTGGTTCTACCTCGCCCAGCTCTTCTACAACCCCGTCCTCGCCCTCGTTAAGGCATCGGTTCTCGTCTTCCTCCTACGTCTCGGGTCGCATCAGCGTTGGGTCCGCTGGTTCATCTATGGCCTCAACACCTTTAACGCTCTCCAGGCCATCGCCGTTTTCCTTGTCGCTCTCTTGCAATGTATCCCCATCTCAGCCAACTGGGATGCGGCGGCCATGGCGACGGCTAAATGCGTCGATGTCTCGTTTCACGTTACTATCTCGTGCTTAACCATCTTTACCGATATCTTGGTGTTGATTATTCCTTTCTGGATTTTCTTAGGTCTCAAGATGCCTAAGGCAGCCAAGGTTGCTTTGATGGGTGTTTTCACCCTTGGTATTGCGTAAGTCGATGAGGCGTTATGATCCCCTCCAGCGGAGTTGCTATGTTTTGATTTTGCTAACTAAACGTGCTTTTTTACAGAGTGCTTATCATCGCCATCGTTCGTCTCGTTCAACTCTACAATCTCTTCTACGCGCCACCAGATCCCGATGCGGACCCTTACCATAACATCGGCATCACGCTCAACACGGTCGAAGTCAACCTCGCCATCATCTGTGCTTGTGGTCCCGCCCTCCGACCTCTCTTCCGTGCCTGGCTGCCTACTCTCTTCGGCGGCTCTACGAACAAGTACGGTCTCTCGGGCAAGAAGAACACTCACAATCTCTACGGCGACGGTCGTTCCCATCTCAGCGGTACCCACCGACAAAATATTACTAGCACGGGCCCTAGCATTGCCCTCAAGGGTATGAGGGGAAGCAGGAGCCAGCATACGGAGTGCCGCAGTGTTTCACCCAGTGGATCCGAGGAAGAGATTATGACATATAACGGCATCCTCAGGACTACGCAAGTCAAGCTGCACTACGACAATGATACGCAGAGTGACTTGAAGGCGCCAGGTCCTGCATAATAAAACAGGGGAGATGGTTGCCACACGGGGTGTGGATTTCTTTTGTCTTGGCAGGAGCAGTGTTGGTGGATACTATCAGCGTTGGTGTTTGACTACCCCTGGAAGACTCTAAAAAAGGATGGCGTTGATGCAGCGTATAAAACTATTGGATGAAGTTAACTCCCCATGAAAATTAAATAATATACTATCAGATTTTCTCCACGAGAATCCCCCATACTCTCACTTATCATAAAGCCACCTGAGATGGAGAGGAGGCAGTAGCCGCCTGGTCCCTCTCTAATCGAAGATTTCTAGCGTCAAGATCAGCACTTCCAGCCTCCAAGATGGTGGTCAACAAGGACCCCTTTGTCCCACCCCCCCAGATGAACATAGTTAAACTACAAAGGATAGTGGCAACCATCCTAAAATTCTCCTTTGTCCGGCGGACCCCTTCTCTCTCAGAGCTCCACTAGGGTATGAATTGCTCCTACTTCGTACTGTAAGTGGTAAGTGCTTCGTACTTCGTCGTCCACTCATGGACGCCCCCTTGATCAAGTGCTTCTTGGATGGTGATTCGGGGGGTTCCGTTAGCGTCATTGTCTGTGGGTCTGTGGAGGACCTTGATATTCTACGATGCAGGGTAATCTATGCTTGGGATGGGTCCCTGATTCTCTTCGTCTCTCGTATCCTATCCCCTGCAACGGGCAACTTCAGAGATAAAATGAACATCACCTTTACGAAGTAGTGGCATAGTGTGGTTTCTATGTTAAGGCTAGCCTGTCCCCTTGTTTTGATCGGGGAAAGCTCCCCCATCTCCCAGTGCCGAATTAAAAGATCGCGATAGAGAAGGGTTTTCCTTCTCAACATTTGTCATTGCTTTGCTTTTTCACGGCGCTACTATAAGCACTAACAGAGACTAAGGGGAAACCGGGGATGTTTGCACTACGCTATACTCAATGAAGGGAATGGGACGAACGTCAGCAAATTTTGCCTGGCAATGGCTGGGAGGTTGGAGAGGAAACCACCAGGGGCGACAACGATTCCTTTCCTCGCTCCCTTCTTCGCTAACCTTGGAAACGGGCGTTACGATTCCAATTTCCTTTATGACTCAGTAAGTTTTCGGCACTTGCTAATTGGCTTGCCTTCATTCGCAGATAGGGTTTTACATTGTCTTTCAGACTCAACGGGCGGGCGTCCCAAGCTGCCACCTGTCTCTTCGGAAAAAAATACCGAGTCTAATCAACGACAGTGCTTCCTCCAGTCAGTGCGCTTCCGGCCCCTCACCTCCTTTCTGCGCTGCCCGTTCCGAGAGCCCGTCACGGGAAGAGAGCAGAAAACCGGGGACACTTTGAAAACTAGGGGGCGAGCAAATTGAGCTCCGGCTCGACATTTCTCATCATATGAAAGAAGAGGCAATGGTTCACGAGGCAATTAGAGATTTCAATGAAGCTATTTCCGAAACGGCCCTAACATGGCAATTGCTTGGCAGGCTAACCGTCGTGTTCCTCGAGAGCACGACGGCGCTTTTCTTCTCCTCTCCAGAGGGGAACTTCTTCTGGCTCCTGAGGGATATTTGTGTTTATGCGCGATGTGGAGCCGGCTCAGTTTCCAGCCAGGATCCAGAGATATCTCCACTCACTAGTCTGTTGTCTTGATATTCCCCCTATTCCCCAGATCCTGGTAAGCACTAGACTCGTCTAGGAATCTCGGACAACTTGAGTTCACCTGGCCGGCACATTATACGTCCGATCTCCGATCTCCGGGACTTGTCAAAAATGGATTCAGTTTCGCTATAAACTGCTGGGTTGGTGAATTTCCAAGCAAGTCCCAGGACGTCGACCTGTCTCTCTAGCTATCAATACGCATTTGCGTATACCTGTAATCCTTCGGGCACTTGAATCTTCCCGAAACAACTAACATGTCCTAACGAGTGGTGAAATTGGGGTAGGGTTACAATTAATAGCGGTTGAGGCAGCTCCTTCTAAAGGGCTACACGGAAGCTCCGGAAATGGTGAAAGTGAGATCATTGGTCAGTGTTGTTGGAGAATAGACTCATGGAACTCAGGCCAACCGGTGAAGGAGATCTTAAAATGGGGTCTTTCAATGGCTTCCAGTCATGCTCAGTCGAAAGCGAGCTTCTGGCGCCCAAGGGGAGTCTCCACGCCTGGCTGAGATACTGTAGCTTCCATGACACGGACGGTAGAGTGTTAGCTATGTGATAGGAGTGCAGCGACAGTACATTTCAAGCGGCTCAAGAGTACGGATGGTAATACGGAGCCTCTGTTATAACCTCGACCTCGACGGTACTTTTCCACCAGGGGAAGTGAAACCATGCGGAAAGAAATATCATCCCCAGTCGATATATGAATTGGCATGCAACTTGTGAGGAATATCTTCCGATTGTCCTCGTTAATCCAGCAGTATACCCTCTTGGTTGACCGAGCTAAGCCTCACAACCTCTTTAGATCTGCGCTCCAGAAGGAGTAGCTGCCACCATGAGCCAAGGTTTCCGAGTATATGGTGACCCGCCCATGCTGCTGGGTAAAGGGTAGAGTGCCGGCTGTCTGGTATCGCCCTATTTAGATACCCATCCTAAATTCCAATACAACGCTCGGCTGCACACTACATGTATGACAGAGATCTCATGAATATGAATGGGTATGACGTTGGAGTGGGACCGATCCTGACAACTAGCATGCATTGTGATAGCGGGCCTACGACGTAAGGCGTGAATATCCCAGTATTTATAAAGCCTGATAGCTGCTAGTGAGGTTATTGATTCTGCTTGCACAGTTTGCTACGGACGAGGCACTACCCATTACCCAGAGCTTACAGATGATTCGCGTGAACGATAGAATACGTCCCGCCGCCGGAAGATACGAGACCAAAATGCCACAGCTGGAACAGCGATTTTGCCCTCGGTCTCAATTTCAACCATCTTCAAGGTATATCTGCGCGGTCTTAACGGGGTTGTGGATTTAGACCGAGGCCGTGGGCCACTTTCCCCTCATCTTCATACTTGCGCATTAATGGTTTCATCAGAGTTACGACCTTCACTGAGTCGTTGGACGATGGCCATTAGTATTCACAGAAGCAGTAACACACGGTCCCAGGAAACATTGTGAGTCTGGATCGATGATTGTGGATCAGGGGAAGTATTTCGTGAAGCCCTTCCCTCTCACTATCCCTCGATGATGTATCCCATGGATAGTGGCGATATAAGTTAGGACTCTCCCATCTAATGCTCCCCCCAACACTGCTTTGCCTCTGGCCAGCACTCTATTTTTAAGACATACCCTCATCGGCCGTACTGGTCCCCTCCCATTTCCCGACCTGTAGGTCCACAGGTACAAGGATGAGGTTCTGGGGCATGGGGTTGTTCCTCCATCACGTGGGACCTTTCAATTGCCTCCCTCTCTTCCTGGGCTATGGTGTCGCAGTTAACTCCTATGACTCTTGATCATGAACAGGGCTTAATTCAATGTGCCCGTCCTACCTCGTTGTGGGCCCGAGCTGGCTCTTCTAGTTTTCATAGGGTCTCCAGGAGACGCATTCTCCATGACGGGAGCCTGTTCTTTCGGACCTGTCCGCCGGACGTTGCCGCTTTCCTGGGCCTGGCCTTCTGGAGCACTCTGGTCAATATTTTCGGACAGCACATCGTTAGTCTGCCGAGACGAGTATTTCGACATTTTGAAGATTACGGGCAATCGATTGTCCAAAGGGATTTGGTTTCAGGATAGATAGATAGATACAAGGTGCGGGTTTATTTTATCAAGTGACTTCTTCAAGTTTCAAGTACATCTAATTTATACATCGAAGCTTCCATCAGTGATGGTCAGAACATTTCATGGACGAAGTGTACTCTTTCTGCTCACACCACCCCAATTCTCCATCACTCCAACCCTGGAAGGCCAAAGTTATGACGTATACAAACCTTATCCTTTCTCTCTCAAGGCCCGCGAAGAATTCTGCCACGGCTAAACATCGATTGATATTGATATGATTGAAAGCCGATCAAGGGCGCCTCTGAGCGGGCGCAATCTAGCAATAGCCTTATTTATGTTGATGGTTTAGAAAAGAGGTCGAAGAAAACAAAATCAATATCGTCATTTCAGCCTAGATCCTAGTTCGCACTCTATTGATCGAAGCCAATCGAGCCTTTTTTTTTTTCTTTTTTTTTTTTTTTCTCTAAACATAATCGGCTTACTTTCAATCAATTCATTCTCGTTGCTGTTCCGAACGGGTGGAACGGAAATTAAAAAAGAGGCAAAAAAGAAGCGAGCGACGCAAGACTCGAACTTGCAACCTTTGCTTGGTGCTCTGAATAGGAGAGCAACGCGCTACCATTGCGCCAGCCGCCCAGCTTTCAGTGACTGGATGGTTACCACTCGCTGCAGATTCTGGGTGATACAGGGTTGTTTGAGCTCTAGCACTGTCGGAGTGGATTGAGGATACCCCACAGGTTCACTGCCTTGTTCTTACCTGCCGCGAAGAAGAATATGTCCGTGCATCGCTCTGACATGACTCTCCACGAACATAACCATACATTCTCCATCGAAGGCGTTGTCAAGATCTTGTTAATTAGTTGGTATCGGTACTCGCTATTGCTTCCCATTACTCTACTAGAATTGCATCGCAAAGAATTTCGATATTCGAATACATTGATCGATAAGGACCGTGTCTTTTCTTTCGCTTTCTTTGGCAACAGTATGTCTAGACATTCCTACATTAATACCGAGACGTTCAAGGATTTGGTCATGCTGATCTATCGCTTCTCTCCAGTTCATCTCGGTCATCTCTACTTAGTACACTAGCCTGCTAGTTTTATATTTCCCCATGCCTTCGAGTAGTCGCGAGATTTCCGCTCCTTTGCGAGACGGCCTCTTTGAATGCTTCGATTCTATCACTCGCCTAGTCCAGCCCGACCAGCAGCGAAAATTAATCCTTGTTGGCGGAGCGGCGAGTACTGCGCACTCGGCGACGTAGTACACCGAGGATGTGGACATCGCAGGGCCCCCAGATGTGCTGGTCACCATCCTAGAGGCAGTGGACGCCTCGCCTGATCGATTCGGCCTCGAGCCAGACGGAGGGATTACATTCGACTGCTCTGGCGGGTTTCGAATTCGCGCCGATCTCATCCAAGTAGGCGGCGAGGATGGCTTCATCGATGAGATACGTCAAGCGGAGCCATTCTTGAATGGCTCAGTAGCATCGAAGCCGGACCTGTTAATACTCAGGGCCGCGACAGTGGTAGAGAGGAGAAGGGTTAGAGACATCGAAGACTTCAGGTGGCTGCTCTAGGGGATAGCTAGGGATGGAGAGATTCTCCCGGAACTCCAGGACCAGGAGATTGCGTGAATGATCGAGGCGGGCAGTATCCTTGGCCCGTTTGATCGCTTGCTTCTTGCGGCGATTTTGGGACAGAAAAATTACCGCACTGGAGCTGGACTCCTCGGTATTGATTCCGAGCATTAACGTCTTGTAGTGGCAGAGTAGTACAACGTATGTATTAGCTTGATAGGGTATGGAATAGAGACATAGTGGGTATGTTCTCCTTTCTATGATCATTAATCATTATATTTCATTCTAAAGTCTTTCGGGTCGTGAACTCAAGCTATCCTGGCTCGCTTCGTCTGTGTCTCGCCATCAATGGAGTCGGCGCTTTTCCTGCGCTTCTTTTGATTCATGTCGCTTGTTTCTCGATCCATAGAGGCTTTTAAAGAAGAGGCGAGGTCGAGGTCGACGAGCCACATCGGCTGGCTCAGAATACCGTCAGGTCCTGCAGTCGCAGCATTAACAAAGAGAGTCTTCCCCGGTTCCAATGGGTGTTCATCCTCTCTGCAATGACTCGTCCTACAAGTTGTTGGCAGATCTCCTTCCGCCGTAGCTTTCTCCCGAGTAAGGTTCGAAATAAGAACTGACTTTTCATTGTCAATATCCGAAAAATGCGACGGGTTTTCCGAGATGGTTGGCCTCCAAGAGACAAACTTCGATCCCCATCCATTATGCACATGGCCGAAACAATGAATCTTGGGTTGTGCTCGGGCGACAGCAGCAAAGAGACTCCCGCAGCCTATTCTCGACTTCTCTGCCGTCATATCAAAAAGACCCTTTGGCGGACCGTGAGTGATAACGAGGTCAGTTCCCCTTGGGATATCGAAATCGTGGGTTGAGCTGTATTGGAAGCCCCAGAGGTCGTCTGCCGATGAAGGCGATGGGGTATATGGACTCGCATATACGTTGAGACAGGTTCCATTCTCGAGGGAGAAGGAATATGTTCCTTCTGTAAGGAAGTGGATGTCGTATTGGGCTGCCCGTGATAATAGCTCTTGGGCTTCACCAAAACTACCATATTCGCTCGTGACGAGATCTGCGTCAAGTGTTTCGCCTGCTAATCGATTTGCTTCATCAAGCTTTCTCTTTAATACAGGCACGTCCAGTGAGAAGTCATGGTTGCCAGCAATGACAAGTTTTAGAGGAGCGTCGATATCCTTAAGCAGCTCGATTCCTATCGTGAACTCGTCGAGCTTTGAGTGCTGGGTGAGATCGCCACAGTGGACAACCACATCAATTTTTTGTTGCGGGATCTGCCGCGGCCTTTGTCCGTGAGTGTCGGAGAGGACGAAAAAGGTCGTTTTGATATTTGCGTGGTTCATTTTCAAGGATGTTGTTCTGTCAATGTATCCAAGTTTGGGAGATAATAAGAGTTGATGCTTGCATGGATGGAAATGTGGCTCTTGGGAAACCGGGGAGCGTATAAGTGAGAATTGGATAAAATTTTTGTTTCTGGGAAGAGTTCAGAGAAAGTATCTTCACAAACGGGTCCTTATAGCACCCTATCTTGATTATGAGCGTCCCATGTGAAATCATCACTTGATATTAGTTTCGTTAGTTTACGGATTATCAGCGCTAGTGAAACTGTCCGACACCTTTTTTCATGCTTAATATAGATCGGGCCACGTCGTCTTCGACTCTTTGCATACGAAAGATAATCCTCAGCTCCTCGATAGACTCGTCTTGGGAATTGCATTCCTTGTTCTTACACGAAGGCAGTCGACGTGACCTTGGCTCCAGAAGGCGGTGTCTCACGGGTCCCATCAAATTTGCTAGTGTCATCCTGGCAAGAACAGCAACTAGACATCGGATAGTACCAATCGTAAGTAAAACTCATGTGATTATATGCAAAGATGCAAAGACAAATCCAATTCACACGAGGAAAAGAGAACACAAGAAAACACAATACCACATGAATAGACCAAATTTTTAACGGGCGAAAAGAGGGGTCTTCCTCGTATCAACAACAAAACCGACTCTACACTTCAACAGTCTTCTCGCCAGTGACAGCGACTTCGTCGTCTTTTTTCCCCAATATACTCTTCATCACGTCCAACAGCTTCGTGGAGCATTCCTCCATGCTATGGAGGACTTCCTGAGCCCGCCAGGCTACGAACCTGTCCGGCCGAACAAGTACGGCTCCAGACTCCTCCACGCCTCTGACCTTCTCCCACGCATAGTAAAAGTCTTCCCAGTCCTGGCGAAGCCCAACTGAGTGCACGTCGACGGGCACGCCGAGCTCGGTCGACACCTTCGCCGCGGCATCCCTCCAGGCATCACCGCCGATACCGGTGAAGATGACAAACTTGCCATTACCTGCCAGATCTATGGTGGATGTAGGAGTCTCTGGGATGGTCTTATTGAGCCAGACATGAGGGAGGCGCGATCCGGGGTAAGTGTTAGCCTCATGGTAAAGGACGGGATTCTCAGCGGTACGTCCGGTCCACGCGAAGGGCTGGGCCTCATCAGCATCATAGATTCCGAGACCCGAGTAATGCTGGTTCATCTCGACGCCGAGGCCATGGAACTCTTTTGCTGTGCCTTCGATAGCTTCACGAAGGGCGCGTCTTCTCTTCTGCCCTTCTGGCGTGGCTGACTCGAGCTCACGTTGGATAGCTTGACGCTCAGAAACATTTGTGGGTAGGGCGCCTATGGCGTCCCAAACGTGAAAGTGGTCTCGGAAACCTTGGTTTGCACGGGTGATGATGCTGCGGCCCACAGGCTGGCGTTCAACGGTATATGTGTCGAGGAGGGAAGGGGACGCAAGGCCTTTGTGCACATAGGCTATCTTCCAGGCGAGGTTGAATGCGTCTTGTATGCAAGTGTTGGAGCCGAGGCCATTCATGGGTGGATGACGGTGGACTGCATCTCCGAGACAGAATCTTGAGTCCGGGGAATGGTTAGTTGATGTACTAGCCGGGGGAGGGAGGAGGCGGGTCCAGGTGATGAAGGAGGATCTTACATGTTTCTTCCCACGGAGTATTTCTCCGCCACGATCTCGTTGATGTACCATTTTGCGACGTTGAGAATCTCAACAGGAGTATCATCACCGATAAGCTCCTTCACGCGTTGGAGATATTCTTCATTCGTAGGGTTCATGCTGACATCGGCGTCTCGACTTGGAAGTAAGATGAACATCCACTCATCCCAAGGCTTGACCATCCTCACTATAGCCATCCAGCCAAATTCGGGATGTTCGCGATCCGGCTGCATAACCCAGTGCAGATTACCGCGGCGCGAATCGACAAGATGGGAGAGATCTGCTTTCACGAGGACGTTAATGGCAAGGCCTTGCCCGGGCTTGCGATCCAACGGGAGGTCGATCTGCTTCACGACTTGGCTTCGCGCTCCGTCAGCACCAAAGAGATACTTTGTGCGGATCTTGTATTCGAGGTTGGATATCTTGTCGCGGATCGTCGCCGTGATCAAACTTGTCTTGGGGTCTTGCGTAAACGAATTAAGAACCGTGTTGAAGAGGACTTTGAATCCGTGTAGTGTCGCGTAACGGATCAGGATAGGTTCGAGGAGGGTCTGTGGAATGTCGGCAGGCTCGCATGGACTCGCAAGTTCGTAGTCCCCCTATGGACCGTAAAATTAGTATACTAAGTCCAGGCCCAGACACAGACATGGTAGCTTGTCTGTTGATTCACTTACCTTCCTCATCGGATCGTTTCCCCAGGAATAAAGCCGCGCATACTCGGCACCGGCCATGCTGTGACACCACCTGGTATGGATCATGCAGTGTCCCGTGGACGCAACCTGCTTGACGTCTCGCTCGAGTCCGATGTCTCGAAGGCATTCTATAAAGCGTGCACAATATTGATTAGCTATAGTTAGAAGACACTTTCATAATATTCTACCAGGATAAAACGTACCGACCGCGGCCATATTGGTGATGTGTGCGCGTGGAGTATTGGCAGTGCCCGGCGCGGCACCGATCATGATTCCGGTAAGTCCTAGAGTTATTCTACCTGTTAGTACTCCTTCTTTCTCAGTGAATTGGGGGTGGACTAACCATGCGAGGCCAGGAAACAAGCTAAGGATGCGCCTGCTGGACCACATCCGACAACAAGAAAGTCCGTCTCGACGACTGTTGAGGCTCCATCGCCCTGTTCCACTGCCGGAATGCTGCCCTGGGCTTGGGTGCCATTGGTTTGCGAGCCCTCGGCCCCGTTGGCGTTTTCGGTGCTGATGTCTCTTGTGCTATGGGGAGACATTTTGTGATAGGGAGTCGTTGAGATGGAAAGGATGGAACTCAGTTCAGATTGCTATTGCACTGTTGAAACGTTGCTTGGAAGGATGGGGAATTGGACACAATAAGTACAAGGAGCAACTGGTCTTTGATAACGACGCCAGGAATCCGAATGTTTGATATTGCAGGCCTTCTCTCCAAGTGGCATGCGTCACATGTCTTCTAAGACCATGTTCGAGGCTCGATGGTGACCGCGTCTCCACGAATTAGAATCCTTTCATTAACATCTCATCCTATACCCGAATATCCAGCATCACACCCCAGCCGATCATATGTATTCGTAAAATTTACTAAGATCTTGACGATGCCCCTGAAGGTTCCACTTGCGTACATGATGGCCTGTTCTAATTGCTAGGCGTTTGTGGGGAAGCGTAAATATCCCGGGGTCTGACCCCGAAATTGGTCCGTCGACAGCCCCGGGGCCTTTTCCACATCTCTTTCTCCACGCCTCTGTACATACGGGCCGGACCGTTTTACAAACGGCCTATCGGAAGCTTTTCGGCCCATCTTTGCATACTCTTCATAGGAGGGTGATGATTGCCGTATGGATAATCGCCAAGTTGCCGTGATGAATTCCACCTGAAGCGGGGAGATCTGGTTGCAGCCCCACTAACACGGCATCTTAGTACGAGACAACCGTTTGTCTTGCCGATACAGGCAAGTGGATATAATGGAGCATGGCGAGGGTGATATTTAGTGCATCTCGATAATCTCATGGTCCTGCTTCTGTTGATCGAACTCATCGCGATCCACAACATCTCCCCAGTCAACGATATTACCACTCCGCTCACACAGACGAAAAAGATGGCTACCAACGGCACCAACGGTACCAAGTTCCGTAGGATCAATCTCGTACGTATTGCGCATGTCTATTACACGCACAAGAACATCGACGCTGCGAAAACCTTCCTCGATGACTTTGGTTTCCAAGAGACACTCACCTCCGGTACCGACACCTACTATCGGGGTACCGGCACCGACCCTTTTGTCTACTGCGCCACGGCCGGATCTGAGGACGTCTTTGGTGGAGCCGCTTTCGTGGTCGAGTCGCGGGAGGACCTAGACTATGCTGCCGAAACATTGCCAGGAGCGACTCCTGTCCATGAGATGAAGGAACAGCCTGGAGGTGGATTTAGAGTGACTTTCAAGGACCCTGTTGATGGGTTCCCATTCCATCTGGTGTATGGACAAACACCTGTGGAGGAGAGCGATGCAGGTTTACTTCAGAGGCGATTTAATTTTGTGAGTAGTCTTGATTTTTGCAGGGCGACTGGCCCTTTTTGATCCTGATTCTTATGACCATATCCGTGTTTCAGCCCACTCTCAAGACACGGCCAGGAAATGAATTCCAAAGATTCCAAAAAGGTGCGTCTTCAGCAGATTCTATTGAATACGCGGCAAGATCAGAGACAGGATTCCTTCCTTCGCGAGTTGAATGCTAAAATGCCGATGACTCGAGCAGGACCTGCGCCGGTGCACAAGCTAGGACATTTCGGGCTGTGCGTGACGGATTTCGCAAAAGCTTACAGCTTCTATACGACCAGATTCAACTTTGCTCCTAGCGATGTAAGCTCGAAATTTCACTCTTCTACATTGTTACTGGGAAGCGTTGATATCTAACGCTCGCTCGCTTGTAGCTTGTTCACGACGGCACGGGTCGTGACATTACTTCTTTCCTTCATCTAGATCGTGGAGAAGAACTGGTTGACCACCATTGCTTCTTCATCTTCGAGGGTCCTAAGTACCATGTCCACCACTCGTCGTACGAGACGTACGACTTCGATACTCAACTTCTCGGGCATGACTGGCTCAAGAACAAGGGCTACAAGAACTGCTGGGGAGTCGGTAGGCACATCATGGGCAGCCAGATATTCGATTACTGGTTTGACCCTTCGAAGTTCATCCTGGAACACTACGTCGATGGCGATCTGGTAAACTCGAGTTATAAGATGAATCGGAGCCTGGCTGCGCCTGGCAACTTGCATGTTTGGGGTAAGTAGCTATCCAGATGGAAGTCTTTTATTGCAGCGTTGCTGACTCGCTCCAAGGTCCTGATGTCCCGCCTGGGTTTTTGGAATAATGAATGCTACGGCGGCGAGGAGGCTGCGCGTTAGTGGCATAGGACGGGATGCGGTAGTCCAGTGAAATTTATCATATCTAGCAATGCTCCTAGATACGCAGGATTAGAATGTACAATTTCGACGAAATCCATCCCAAAATATCAGGCAGCGTCCCTTAATTGTGCTCCTGTTTAGAGGGACACCCAGAGTCCAACATAGCAAACAACTTTGTTATGCATTCGCAGGACTACGCAATGGCCTACCGGTGTCCTGGAAACCATAAGTAAGTGATAGGATAGATGCTGCAATACCACTGCCTATTGAAGGATCCATGTTCACCCCAGGTGTCACGGGGGGTTCAGGGAACTAGATTAAAGCCGCCTGTATCCACGTCTGCGGGGTCTCCGCAGATCTATATTCAAGGCCCTTCTCTCGCAGTGCCACAGGTCAAGTGGCCTGGCCATAAAGTTTCGTCACTATTCGACAGCGATTGCCCGTTACACCATGCAAATATCGTATTAAATGTGGCGAAACACCTCCTCGGTAACTTTAATCGGCAGGTCGGAATTGGAATGCTTCCTCCTGAGAGGTATGCTTCGCAGTGCGGTATCGCATATTCCCTCCGACCCAAAAACGGCGGGTTGCAGACGAAAATGTACATGTAGGTGAAGGGGATTCGGATTCTAGAACCCCTTTCTCTAACTTTGCTGTTGCCGAATTTGGTACCAGGCAAAGGTCGGTTCAAAGTGTACCTTGCTTTGACCACTCCATGGAACGTTAAGCAAGCAAGGACGTGGAGACCAAAAAGAGGAGAAAAGCGTGCACGCTATACGTTCGTGATAACACTAGTCCCATTTGCGAGTCTGGGGAGTCTGGGGAGTGGGGGCTGGTCGTGATCGGACATGGCGAACGGCGGAGTCGAAGTACACTCTGGGCACCCGGACGATCTTCGGTGTGTTTTTTCTCTACACCCAAAAAATGCTGGCCAGCTTTGCTGGCTTTCTGGGGTGGAAGAGAAACATGAACCAACCACACCTTGGCTAGCGTCGCTACTAAGGACTCTGCAGTCTGCATTTGGCAAGAATATGAAGTATGACGCCGCCAAGTGCTGTGCTCTTTAGACAGAGGAATTCGATCTTTGGCCACTTGTGCAGGCTCTATTCGCTTGCAAATACAGCCATTTCCCCCTTCTCTTGTCAGGTTGAGTGACCGAGGGGCTGGGACAAACAAACTACATGCTCCTCCGACAATGTAGAAGCCCGCCTAGCCAGAGTTTATATTGCCCTCTTAGCCATGAAACGAATATCCAATCGTCGCCGATATGTAGTGTACGGTAGGATTTCACGCAACAAAGCAAAACTGCAATTGCACCCATTGTGCATTCATTTCCCCGACCGATCCGGAGACCGTCAAGGGTCCGGGCGATCATTATTAATTGTAAATCGTGTAGGACTCGAGTACAAAGATGGACTGCCTCCCTAGAACTAATTCGACTTTCTTCACGAGAGACTCCCTTTTTGTGACCAGAATGAAGAGTGGTACGCCCTGGGTTCGAAGATACTCGATACCCACCGTGATCTCACTCCCCTGCCAAGCAGGGAGACCAACCCAGTATGCTGGATTACGATCACGGCCAGAACTGAACCTAGCTTTGCGTGATTCAGAACCTCGAATAATCTGGGCGTCGAGATCGAGCAGATCGGCAGTTGATCCAGCTCAAGACCCGCAAGCACCTTGGCGAAGCAATTGACTAATGATTACGGCTTGCTTATGTTACCTTGACGGGGGCAGAGGACAGGAAATATGAGCAGAGGGAATCAAGACAGACACAACAACATGCAGGCGAGTCTTTGTGTCTTCCTGTCTTCCCCACATGCCAGTCCGACTGCTGGGCGCAGAGCCGGACAGATTTCGGGATGATTTCCTTCCTCTATCCACCCATTCCCAGGGGGTTGGATACCCACTAGTCCATGTGTATCCTGTGGGATATCCCCGATTCGACACTAGTGCAAACGAACTCCCGAGGTTGATGACCACTGAACGCTCCCCGTTGGCTGCGCTCAACTTTAAACCCCGCAAGCTAACCCAGGTAGCATGGATCCCCCAGAAGATAGAGCTTAGAGCGTTCACCTTACCCTAGAAATCCAAATGCGGGGGTGAGCCGGGAGAATGGAGAAAAGTTTAGTGGCTTGGGTTCAAGCATCCTTTGTCGGTGATGGATGCCTCCTTTTCTGGCTGGAACAGTGCTTCGGTGTCCTGCATGCTTAGCTTTGGTTCCTACACCATGACGAATGAATGTGGATACTCTTCAGATCTGACGAGATAATTTCCTTCGAGGCTGTCTGTGATCTGCTCATCCTCGTCTTTCTCTAGATGAGGACAGTGAAGCCTGGCTTGTCTTACTCCGAGTCGAGGAGCCCAAGAACCAAATCTTGAACGGAATCAGGGAAACCACACAGCAAAGCATGCTCTCTGAGGCAGACGCGACCCAGGAAGGGTCTCAAAGATCCATCATTGCGTGCCATTCTTGTCGCAAGTAAGTCGCTCGCCCCGCGCTAACTATAAATGTATCGGATTAAATGGACTGACGATGGCGACTCGTAGACGAAAGGTCAAATGGTAAGCTCAATATCGGGACGTCGAATGTCGCCATCAGAATCGCTACTCCTAACACCAACTCTTATATCTCCAGCGACCGAGAATACCCCACCTGCCGCGTCTGCGAGCAGACAGCTCAAGAGTGCAACTACCCTCTCAGACCCAAAAAGCCAGGCCCGAAGATAGGTGGGTACATGCAAATTCCGTTCCCTGTCCCTTGGAGCCTCATACTGAGAGCATTTGACATCCAGGGTCACTACAAAAGCACAAGAGGCGAAACCAACAGCGGCGAAGTCGGGCCGTCGATCGATCCGAGAAGAAAGGGGATGGGGAAAGTCGCAAAGCCTCCTCTTCGCCGGGGAATGCGGAGATTGACGGAGAAGCGTGTATCGATGGCGGAGATCCCAATGAAAGCATCTCCTTCTCCGATCAGCTGAACTCGGATGCGCACTCGCAGCTGGACCCTGATACATGTACCGACTGGAGCGAGAAGAGACGAAACTCCAAGCTCAACATCAATAGCTTATCTTTCATTCTACATCCTTCCCACGAGACCTCGACGCCTGAAAAAGATCCGGGGACCTCAACGACAAAGGACACTCCGGTACATGAAAAGCAGGGAATCCAGCAAGCATGTCATATGCTCGGCTTCTCACAAGAAATGGCGCGGTTTATGTATGCCCCAAGATGCCATTCGCGACATTAAGATCACACGGGCACTAACGTCTCCAATTTCTATAGGATCCGTATCTACTTTAACCACATGGTCGCCATCAACCTCTTCCACGAGCCGACGTTCACCGACACAATTGCCAATTTCGACACGCCCATACACATCTGCGCTCTCATCGCAGCCATGTCAGGATTTGCTGCCAAGTTTTACCTAGCGGAGCTCGACGCCCATCCCGAAATGGAATTCCTACGATCCGAGGCCCCATCCCACTCTCCCGATAATCTCCTAACGCAGGCCCTCGCATTCGTCGACGAGGCGCTTGTCGAGTGCGACGACGAGCCTCCACCCATCTGTGTCGTCCAGGCGTTAATTCTCGCCGCGCACTGCAAGCTTGCCCGCGGAGTACGAGGAAAAGCGTGGAGACTTTTGGGAACCTGCGTTCGCCTGGCGTACGAGCTAAACCTGCACTTGGTCGATGCGTTGGAGGTATCGGACAAAGACGTAGACCCTATCCGCTGGCGCGACGCGGAGGAAAAGCGCCGCGCGTGGTGGGCCATCTGGGAGATGGATGTATTCGCTAGCACGGTCCGCCGTACTCCCACGGCGATCGACTGGACCCAGATGGAGACGCTGTTGCCGGTAGACGACGCCGACTGGTTCCAGAATAGACCCGCCCCTAGCGCATTCATGGAGCCGGACCCTGTTCACCGTTGGAAGGCCCTGCAGGAGAGTGGCAATCAGTCTCCCAAAGCCTGGTTCCTCGTAATCAACTCGCTCATGAAAGACGCGCAAGTAATATCGAGCCCTCGGGGAGTTCCATATCAACCGGACCACGACCAACGCCGACGCGCCAAGTTCCTCTGTCGCAACGGGAAAGGACCCCGCGTTAACCCTGTCGAGGAGTCTCGGCAGAGGCTAAGCATGCTTGAATTCTGTCCAGTGCTTTATACTCTCCTTGCCCGCGCACCTGAAGTACCGCAACCAATATCTCAGCTTCGAACCACCCGTGCCTGGTCAGATCGGGTCCATGAGACAACTTCATTGCTCCATTTACAACATATATGCCATGACGCAACTTGCGCGGTTGATGATTCATAGATTTGACATGTTCGGCACCCATACCCAGACAAAACAACACTCGAACCTCTCAATGCCACGGTCGCCAGGTTTCCAAGATGCAGATAATCTCGTGGCACGCCAATACTTTGAGGCCGCGGATAACATTCTTATGCTCGTGAGTCGTAGCTGCGACGATCACGTCCAGCACATTAATCCGTTCATGGCGAGCACTATCTGGCTCGGTGCTGCAGTGCAGCTGGTCAGGAAGTACATAGGAGGGAGCAACGTCAATCAGGGGCTGGTTAAGTCGCGGTTTGATGTCCTCTATCTCACCTACAAGAGGTGTGTCGAGTTCTGGGACACCAAGACAGCACTGGAGCAGAACCTGGAGTCCTTGGAAATGCACCTAGAAGGCCAGGAACAACCGGCAGAGTCTGGAGGAGGAGATTCCGCCCACTCAACAAGATCCGGATCTTTGAGGGACGATGCGAATGACCGAGTGACCCGCAGATATCCATCGTGGGCCTCGGAAACGTCCAACACCGCACGGCATTGCCCAAGCCTGTCCGGGACACGGCACACTCCGACTTGCCGGAATCGCGATTTCCGAATACACCCGGAGTCGAGTGAAATCACCACTTCGCTCCCTCATTTAGTCCCTAATAGCCCACCAGTGACTGTTATGAGTGAGAATTGCACATCTCAGCAACAGGCGAGCCCGATGCAAACCAGCAGTACCAGTCCTTTATCACGGCTGGATTATCTCAGGATGCACATGCCGATACCAGGAGAGGGCGAGCCGACCATGTCGATACTGGACTTCATGCAGATGTCGCGGGGCGACAGGCAGTTTATGATGGCCTCATCCCCGGGCAGTTCACTGCAGCCCACGGGTGCGTCGATAATAAACGCGGCGCTGTTTGACGCCCCGCCTGGTATGCTCTCGGCTGATGTTGTTCTGCCGCCGGACCTGGACTGGAGGAATTTAGAGTTGCCTATTGATATTCATGATGTGCTTTCAGGGCTGACGACTTATTGATGGTATGTTAATGTTTCAAATTTGTTTAATAGTCTTATTGGGCTTTCTGGCGTTGGGCTGTGTAACTTGGGAATGGAGAATGGAGGCAACATGATCGCACCTCGCTTTTGATTGTACTTTCTGTTGTATTTTGTACTATGTACTACTCAATGTAATGAATGCACTTAGTCTTTTGAGGAACAAGGCGATAAAACAACGTCAAATCCGTCAATCATCGGCATCTTGATCAAGTGCTCGATGTCACATACTGTATCGTACTCTACAGAGGACGCCAGTCCAACAGCCTGCCCATTGCCCAAGGTCTCAATGAAGTCCTCCACCTTTGATCCAGACTTATATAGCATGGGAGCGTCGCAAGCGTCATACGCCCCTGTTAGCCTAACTCGGCAACCAAGCTCTTCGCCAGAAACGGCACCCCTGGCAGACGAGAACGCGAACGACAAAGAGTGCCATGATACCTCGAAGTAGGTGATGTGCCTAGGGTTGAAGTGGTCGTCTACCTTGTCCTCAAAACTCTTCGGCATGATAATCCGCCTTCCTGCCCTCCTGACTAGTCAGGCCATCCAGGGAAGTCTTTCTGGTCGCGGGTTTCATATGGCGTGCCCATAGTCTGCGAATTCCAGTGAGGATGAAACTTGACTATTTTCCCCCAGCGCACCCAATTCGATCCGCAGAGAGCCCAGTTCTCGTAGCCCCCATCCCCACGGTTTTCGACAATCATCAGGCGATCCTTGGGCGCGGCGAATAATGTATATTGCACGCCTTCGAAGCAATGTTCGGACATGGTTTCGTAGCCCCATGCCCTCCATGGGCCGGCCACAATGACCGCATTGTAGCCCTGGCTTGAGAGTTGTCTCACAATAGATCGAGTGAATTGCTGGCGTTTTTCGCGTCTATTCTTGTTTTTATTTATAGTAGTAATTATCGTGGAGGCAATATTGGCTGCTAAGCCGACGATGCTAAGAACGCTAGCCGCCATGACATTGAGGAGACCGCGTGTTCTTATAAATAGTTAGTTCATAACCTCTCGAGCAGCGAAGGAAAGGTTCTTACAGGCACGAGAATTATTTGATCAACGGCTTAGAACACGGATTCACAGCATCATATTCCCTCGATACAAAAGAAGAGTAAAAAAAAGACTCTGGGTTTTATATCGCCGGTTTCAACTGATAAAAGGAGAAGTTGCCACGAAGCCCAACGAACCATCTTGGGCTTGCCAACTCTACGGGCGTATCTTTCTGCCCAAGTCTGTTACGTTCGCGATTCGACGTAGTCCTTGAAGCTTCCTCCTTCTTCACGCGGTTGATTGGCTATTGATGCCGCAGACTTCCCACAGAATTGGGTACGTCGGATCGGGCTCCTATAAAATGCTGTTGGCAATATGAGCGTGTGCCAGGCTTGTCGCGTGCTGTCTCCTCCTTCGCCCTGTCAAACAGATGCCGGCCTAGACATACTCGGACGACCGGGTCATTCCTTGGACTTACACTCCCTGGCTCGATTGACCAATATCAAGTGGCTTCCATTAATACAATTTATGTGCCGTCTATACTACCGCTTCTAATTAGCCTAGTGGTGCTCAATCTCCCAGTTTTTCACTACCTACGCATAGAACCCCCGGATATTTCACATATCGCTTAAAACTTCCTGGGACCACTTGTAATCTTATTACATTTTCAGGCTAGGGATAACAATTATCCTTGGCCTATCAGGGAGTGTCGCCATTATACGGGGGTAGGTAGACACTGCGGTTAATGTACGTAGAAGGTCCTAGAGAAGTATTTATGAATGCTCTGGCTCCATCTCGTCTTTTTCATGAGGCCTAGAGCTATCTTGTCTTGAAGCAACACCTGCGCCATCAGCCAACATGGCCCCAACACGATGGCTACTCGCAATTTCCCTCCTCGTCCTCCACTCCCTCGCGTTCGATCCTGTTGATATAGCCTTCATTCCAGACTCGGAGCCTCTCTCTCTTGATGCATCTGTTATATCCCATTCTGCCACTGTATTCCATGTCTCTGACGCTGTCCGTTCGGGAACCACCAGGGGAGTGTTTAGCAACCAAGTTTCCGTTTCTCTCCGAGTCGACTGCCCGTCCTCCAAGTCCCCGGAAAACGATGCGTGCCGTGCGGCAGGAATCTACCCGGCCAACATCTATCACACAAAACCCGATATTTGGGGAGGGACCACGACCTATCCTGCGGATAATAGCACGACAACCTGGCGATGCACAGTGGGATCCGATGCGGAGAGTAGCGGAGCCGAACTCATGGCTGACTGTTCCAAAACAATCGAGTCAGCCGGCAACGTACGGATCGAATCTACAATTTACGACAACTGCTATGCCGTGGCTCATATGTTACCTATTGTGATGACGGCCGGGGCAGACAAGATTGACCCGCCTCCGTTAACGGAACTCACGTACGACAGCGGGGCGGTCGTCACGCTCACAGCTGGGGCATTTATATCAGGCTACAGTAAACTACTTTCGTTAGGGGGATGCCCGGCGAGCGAAACCACGATGTGGGCGGCCTCCGTCACCGCCAATCCGGGACAAACGCAGACGGCTCCGGGTTCGGAATCGCCGACCAATGGGAGTTCTGAAGAGAACGCTGGGACAAGGAGACTAGGGGGTAATGTCTTATGTGTTGGAATCGCCGTGGCTGCCCTCGTGGCGGGCTTTTTAACTGAGTGACAATTCGACACTCCCATCCTATGGACTTGGAAGAAGGATCATGTATTATGTTTTGTTTCCCCGAAATAAAACTTGATTTCGTTTTTTTACAATATTATCCCTAGAGAGAGATTGGAAGCTGCCGGCCGATGTAAATCACATACATTTGCAGGTCGTCAACCAAAAGGCATCATCTCACCTCCACTACTCGGGCGATACGATTCCCGGCCTGTCTCGTATTGCCGGTTGGGCATCTGGAAGCGTGATCACGGTCGTCTGTGGATTGCTCTGAGTCTACCTCCGGGTGGACATGGCAACTGTAGCGGAGCCACTTCTCCTCACTCGGCCACCCCGTCCTTCCGGTCAAAGCTCGCGGGACTTGGCCAACGGCCGCTCTACTTTGAACACGCCTTAGCGCCTTTTAGTCATCGTTGTCGTTCCGGAGTGGTACTTTTGCGGAGCTTCGGGGCGGCAAGCCGATCAAACACCAGATGTTGCATTTCTAAGCCGGAAGCCAAGGTTGTTTTCCCCCCTCTGGTTGGAAGCCCCGCGGGACAATTATCAGCTCTTTCTACAAAACCTCTACCTTCATTCATCTTCATGCTCAAGACAGCGAAACCCGTTCGACCTCATACCTCATAACTTAGATCGCCATCTCATGCCTCAACATCGCAATCATGACTTCCGAACTACCTACCGTACGCTGGGGAATCGTGGCCACTGGTCTCATTTCCTCATGGTTCGCCGCCGACATCATCCGTGACCGAGCCAACAAGCAGGCAAACCACATCATCCAAGCCGTCGGCTCCTCCTCCCTCGACAAGGGTAAAACCTTCGTCGAAAAACACATCCCCGGCACCTCACCTACCGTGTATGGGAGCTATGAGGAAGTCTACGCAGATCCCAATGTGGACGTGGTCTACATCGGCACCCCTCACGCTTTCCACAAGAAAAACTGTCTCGACGCCATCGCGCATGGCAAGAATGTGTTGTGTGAGAAGGCCTTTACGTTAAATGCCGTCGAGGCTAGGGAGGTCTTCGCAGCGGCCAAGGAGAAGGGTTTTTGTTATGGAAGCCATGTGGACCCGGTTCTTTCCTCTCGTGAAGGAACTCCAGAGGCTACTTCATTCTGAAAAGGTTATTGGCGATATCCAGCGAGTATTCTGTGACTTCTCGTTGGTTCAGAATATCGCCTCGCTGCCTGCCGATTCTCGACTCAGGAACCCGTCTCTCGGGGCCAGCACCCTCTTAGATATAGGCATCTACAGTCTTACTTGGGGCCTCGTGACCCTCGACAACGGTGTTGGGGAAACCGCTGAGAAGCCCAAGGTTTCTGCTCAGCAACACCTCCTCGACGGGGTCGACGCCGCCACGTCCATCCTTCTCCTCTATCCAGGCAGAAAGCAGGGCATTCTGACTTGTTCAAGTTTCATCAGGGGAGGTCAAGAATTTTGCCGAATCGAGGGGAGCAAGGGAATGATCATTGTTCAAGGCGGCGCTGCCTCGTGTCCCGAATCTTTTACTGTGAATATAAACGGACAAGAGCCGAGGAAATACAACTTTGACAAGCCGGGCTTTGGCTTCTACTTTGAAGCAGATGCTGTTGCAGCTGATGTTGCCGCGAAGCGCGAGGAGAACTCAACCATGCCGTGGGCGGAAACGATTCGGGTTTTGGAGTTGTTGGATGAAGCGCGGAGGCAGGGTGGTGGAATCTTTCCACAGGAAGAGAACATAGAAGGGAAGGGACCGGGAATATGAGGAGCCAGGGCAGTCTAATAAAAGCTTAAAAATTCTCGCAAGGACACATATAGGGTAGGTGTAGCCCGTAAAGACAATTTTTTAAGAATCTATTGCACCGACAATACTGCCCTTTATTAAACGAAGTTATACCTTGAGCCCATATCAACGACCCGTGTTCTAATTGTCACGACGTGGTCAGACAGACACCCGTCGAGACTCGGTCCGGAAACCGGGTTTCGGAAGTGACATTATGCCTTGCTTTGCCAACTGTCCTACATCGCAGGGCACATCATTCGCTATCCTTCCGAGGCAGTGAATGTCGATCATTACCTCTGGATTATTCCTTCCCCTTAGGTGGGAGGTCTGCGCCTCCTCAACCCATCGAATATGTTTTAATCAATAAATGGTTGTTAGTCTTATCGAGCGACTTCTATTTTCTTTCTATTTCTTTTCTATTAGTTCTTTCTCGTAGATAGGCCGGTTTTAACCCAAGATAATAGCAAGACGCCTTTCATTGCAATATTCTACTAGCACCATGATCACGAACCAACGCTTCCTCTCTATTACTTTCATTATACTCCTCATCCGTTTCCTTGAAATGATATGGACAACCGACCCGAATTGCAAGGCCTTATCTGGGCTAGACATCCACCAGCATGTCCACCATCCATCATTCTGGCCGCTCACAGTAGCCTGTCTAGCCTGGCTGGCTATCCTCACCTCTAGATCCAAGAACGGCTCAACCCCGCAAGAGACCTCGCACACTGACAGCAGAGTATGGCGACCCCGACAAACCTTCTCCAAATGGATGCAGCCGTACCTGTCATCGCGCAGGTGCCTGTTTGGCGCCACACTCACTAGCGTCGGCGCCGCTGGTTTAGTCTGCGTCGACTCGTACTGGGTCTTGGTTACCGCCTGGCGAGTATGTGTGGGCGGGTATAAGCTGTGGCCCGCATTGTCGACCTTTTGGACCCATTTATGTTGGTTTACATGCGTGATGGTGCTGGTGGTTGCGGCCGGCGTCGTGGCCTTCGGTGTCGGCATGCTGATTCTATTCCATTTCGCGCTCACGATTGAGCTTTTAGCTCAAGTCTTCCAAGATACGAAGAGGGGAATTAGGTGGGGATAGAGGCTGCCCCAACGGCATTGAAGGGAACACCGCTACAAAATCGAATACAGACAGTATTATGGTTGGATGAGGAGGAAAGCGTCTTCACCAAATTGATATCGCTTGTATTGTAGTTTAATATCTAGCAGTCGCACCCAACCCCGAGTTGGAATATTTAAAATATGTTAAGAATTAACATTTAGACTTCCTGAAATACCAGCGATTCCAATCATTGGGCTTCGAGGAACCATTCCCTCTGCGTTACCGCCACCACTAGTAATGAGGCCTTTAGGGTATTGCTCAGGGTTACTTTAATAGGTACTGGAACGATTTATATTCGGCGTATTCCTCGTTACGTTGTCTCGATCAACTATCTCATCAACCGTTCCGACTAGTTGGAGGTACTCTCGGCCGACATATGCACTTTCTCTGATTCTTTCTTCCTCGGTAGCTACTTAGAACGCAATAACTCTTCTATATTCTATTTCCGAGGTTGTTTCTAGTGAGGAATAGTGTCCCATTCAACAGAATAAAGTCTATATGGCCTCGCGACCTACACTAATGTCAAAACAAGCCAGAGGTTTTGTATTCCAATCTCGAGCTGGCTGTCTTCCTTGAGTTCCAAAGGTGCAAGGTACTGTTGTAACGACCTAAGCTGGCCTCTTGCGCCGCTATCGCCCGCAGTGTTTGCACATTGTATCAACATCTCCGCAGACGTCCCCACGGCCTGTCCAAGCTCCTCCGTACTCATAATTTTAGCAAATAAGCCCCTAGGCTTGAAGAAATCCTTATTCGCAACTGCCAAATCCGCGGTCGCCCGCTCCCGTGGGGTTTGTTGCCTCTGTGACACTGCCGATATCGTGGAAGAGGGAAGGGTGACGATCGTGCGGACAATACCGAGGGCGGCGGATAGAGGAATGGACACAGCACCCCTCACGGCGCCGACTGTCATGCCAACGACGTTTCCACTTTTGGCGTCCCTGGAAATACCCTTCCCGATGTCTTTGGCGTGGGAGTAAACATCCCTGGCTATTTCCTTGGGCGTGTCGGCGAGTGTCTTGGTTGCATCGGCAGCATGGGCCAGGGCTCTCTCGGAAACATTGGCGGTCAAAAACGCCGACAGCGTATTGAGGAAGGAATACCAGCTTTCGCTTGTGATACCGTGACGCAATAAACTGGGCGGGTATGCTATTACAAAAGGCGAGGCAGTCTCCGGGCTAGTCTGCGGAATCGCGATGGGCTTGTGGCTGGAGGACGATGCATGGCGGCCGGTGTAGCTAGGTGGAGGGGCGGCAGCAGGAAAGTTGAAAGGTAGGTCTGCAGTTGGCCCCGAAGTCTTTTGGTCGGGTTCGGGAGCTGGCGTCGTTGATAGCCCTTCGTCGTACGGAGGCGGCGCCTGCTCAGGGACAGGGCGACGCTGAATGGCTGCCTTTTGCTTCTGTTGGTTCGGTTCCATCCTCGAGATTCGGAATCAAAAACACCTCCAAGGCAAGACAGCGCAAGTGCAATTTGTTGATGGCAAAGCCAATATGTGGTGAAGCGAATGGACGAAGAGCACTGCGAACGACATAATTCCATTGATGTTCCGAGAGTCCGTGACCGCTGTTTGCACAGACTCACGTGAGCTCCAATTCGGCAGTGCGGTGCCGGGAGGGAGCTCATCGAGCGTACTTGCAACACGTCACCGTTGGGGCTGATGGTTACATCAAACAGCCATGTACGGCATTATATTATACGAAATATACGACTAGCAATTCCAGGTTCTCATTGGGGTGATGGAAGCGGCGCATTCCGTTCCATTGCTAAGGTGAGTGCGCGTGCATTCTGTGCCATTTCACCACTCTGGCTTGACCACTATACCTGGTCGAGGATAGCGTCGATCTGGGCAATTACGACCAGCTATTGTTAAAAGAGGATCTATACGAGACTAAACGACGCTTTTATACATCTACCTAAGCTTGCAACCAGGCAGAATGCGGCTTTGTAGGAATTTAGCAAAGTTGTAGACTTCTTATCGATAACATTTGATAGTATACTGTAGGGGGATAAGGTTTTACTCTTAGAAGTAATAATAAATATCATGCTTTGGAGAATATAAATATTTCTACCTAGAGGACATTCTCCTAGGATGGTCCTATATGACAGCCTTGACTGAATCAGCATAGCTAGATGCTTCAGCGCTCCAGCTGAAGCCGACACAGAGCGCGAAGAAGGTCCGTCCTGCCAACCTGATTGAGCACTCCAAGCTCAAATCCGCAATGGATCACAGTTCCGTGGCTAGCTTCTGGAGGCTGGGGCCGTCCTAAGACGGTTCCCTACGCCGACATCCCACAGTCGGCCAGGACTGGTGCTTAAGACAGTGAGATACGACTGGACTAACCTTGGCTTGGAAGGCCCTTCTAGAGTGCCTCATTATAAGCGTCTAGAACTGCATCGCCGAGCTCGAGGGGTAGGGGCGTAGAGGCCAGGGAAACAAGCCAGTGGCACCCGAGGTCACTCGTCAAATCTGAGATTGCCAAATGGCAGAGAGTTCAGGCAGGAGCCAGTTGGTCAACACGTTCTCTCCTCGGTATATTCGCCTCAGCATGATGCTATGTTGCAGGTACGATAGAAGGATGTGATATCTTTTTTTCGCGACCGAGCTTTTCAATGCGGGTTGGAGAGGACTCTTCGGAGACTGTCCTAGCCCCGGTACCTATCTCTTCTAGGGCCTTTTTGGATGACAGGCGGGGCCGCGAGGATCGGTAATAGGGATGTGTCGGTTCTGTAGGCTAGGCCCTCTCGGCCCTCTACTAAGCTTGAATCCCCGAATGCTCCGTTACGGCTGCATTCCCCAAAGTACCGTTGAGAGGGAATTGGAGAGGTTTAAGAAAAAAAAATAGTAAGACAGATATTGTGATTCATTCTCCAGGTACGATCATGTTACCTGTTTTTGTAGTTAAACTAGTTTCAAGTTCCGAATGGTAGCGAGTCTGAATCCTTTCTCCGCAACCTTCCCAAACATCCTCCCGACACCAATCCTCGCAAACCCATCGACGATCCTATTGTCTCTCCTCAGAAAAAGGACATTGAGTGCTTTCTCTGAGGAAAATACTCCCTCACGGACTGTTACAATCGATACAAGAAGTGCGAAAATCATTGGGTTCGGGCTAAAATCCTCGTCATTCTGGAGGGTTGGTTCTTCGACTGAGGCCCACCCGCAGGTGATATCTCCATTCAAAGGAATGGTCACAATTCGCTGCTGGTGGTATCCTTTAATGGCCCTTGCGTCGTGGCCAGTCCTGTCCGAAGCCGAGTAAAAGGTCTCCTCGTCACCGAAGCGTCGACTTACCACGACGGCTATGAGGCGGCCGCGGATACCCACCGCCAGGAAGCATCCATCGATGTCGCCTTGATTGTCAAAAATACCATTGCTCTGTCCGCGCGAATCTGGTTCTTGGGTGGCAGTGTCCTCGTCGCCGAGGTGGAACTGGCTGCTAGGAATTGGAGTAATGCCCTCAATAGTACACTCGATGCTTATCCGGTCACGCACCCAACCCTCAAGGGGATCATCAGAGTCTCCGGCAAAATAGATAAATCCCCGCCCGTGCTGGATGGCATTCCACCTGATCCCTGTGTAAACAGATGCCCAAGACCAAGTGGGGAAATTAGTGAGCCGCTGGTGTCGGCCTGCTACAACCTGCTCCCAGAGCAGACCTCGGCATAGATCACCCATCCAGAGCCCGGCAACGAACATTTCCTCGGCTGCCATCCCACTTTCAAGGCGAGATAGTGCTGACTTTATAAGCTTTTCGAGCTCCCCGGCGACACCACTAAGTGCAATAACTCGATCTGATTGCGGCCTTGACAAAGTTGTCTTGCTGTACTGCTCTACCAGCATTTCCCATATGCAGTAAGCTCCGAGCAGGCAGGGGGGATCCAAACTCAAGGTGGACTTGATGGATAACTCAGGAGCGGGTGTTTCGTGTGGTTTCAGGAGCTTCTTCGGTTCTGCTGGGTATGGCCTTACGTATTCGCCTAAATGGTTCTGGGGCTCCTCTTTCGGACATTGGCACTGCAAGAAGAGTGCGTATGGCGTAAAACATACTATTCGGCGGCTGAGAATCCATTCCTGAAAGATCCATCCCCTGGTGAGCAACTCACTGTCCGTGATGTAGTTCTCATAGAACTGGGCCAGACTACCGGCTTCTGTCGTAGGATATACGTAGAAATAACCTCTCTTCTCTCCTTTCCTATCCCGATATGGAAGCCTGGCTAAATTTTGTGGTCTGATTAGGGTGTTGGCCAGCCCTTGACGAATATTTTCGTCGGAAAATGTGCCAATTGCTGCTATCGTGAAGCAAGAGAACTGGTAGTAGTTCCCCATCTTCTTCGACTCGGCCCGCCAGTCCGCTATCTCATCCTGGACGATACAGAGGCAATCGATCCAGACGTATTTGATTCTGAGCTTTGCACTGAGGCGGAAGACGTGTCGAAATACAGGAGGCATATCGTCGCACACAAAGCCATGTATCCGCTGATGGTAATTTGAAGTCGTCGTAGAGGTATTCCGAGTGTCTGGCTGGATCCAGCGGTGGCTCAAGCAGATATACTTCCCGCATTGATTTTCCGTTTCCTCGAGATTTAGCCGGTACCCAGGGGAATGAGCTAACCGAGTTACGCGAATACATCGCCTAGGTAGTGGCGTTCGAAGTGAATCGACGGCCTGTAAGCCTGAGAATGTCTTGTTGCATACCGTATGCCGTTGGCAGCTAGACCACCATGAGTTGATGGCCGGGACATTATCGAGCGGCGAGGTATCGGGGAGATCTTGGGTTGCAACATCTCCAGATGTCGCCGCCGGCGTACCTAGTTAGAGATGGTAAGCGACTGATTTACACTCGTGCTTGCTAAAACGATTATGTTGTCTCTGGGGCTCCTACCTTTGTCCGCGATAACGTGGAAGCCAAGATGTAGCTTGCCAAGATAGAGCCAGCTCTCCCGATCCCTGTGACACTGTTCCGAAGTAGGAAGCGAAGACGAGGAAATCTCCGCACGCATCCACCTCAGTCGGCGGGATACGTCTCGGTAAAAGTAGATACGTACGACGTGTGGAGGGTTCCGGCTCTTACATCTGGCTATCTCCGACTGGAGGCTGTCTAGCAGCAGCTTACAAAAGCGACACCCTCCATGGGCTCCTTTTTCAACATTTGTCATGGGGATATTTCGCCATCTCTGCGCCGAGGAGGAGAATGGCTGGATATCGAACTTTTTGCAAGCGATGCAAAGGCTCATTCCGAAAATCAGGCGTGTTGGTGAGCTCGTGTTGTGAATTGATGCCGCGTGCTTGTCCTAATTGGATGGGGATTGATCGTCTTGGATGTGACCATTCCACGACTAAATAGCATCAAGACTACGCATTGACTTTAATGTCCGCTGCAGGGGGGTTGCCGAGGGGCTGAGCTTCCCACCCTTCCCCTTTTTTCTACTTTGTATTTGCCCCTGTTGCTGGGGGTAGGTTGTGTGACCCAAAACCAAACCATCCACCTCCCTTATCCACGAGTTCAAGGTAAATTTGTTGCAGCGCCAGTTTTTATCAAACTCTCCCGAAGGCTTGCCTACTTCAAGATGCCGTCCTGCTGCGCCTACCCCAACCGCCGCCTAGCGAATGCCCTCGCCAACGTCTACGTTGCGTTTGTTCATCTTTTCTTCTTTGCATTTTCGGTTTTATCTTTCGTTTTATCAAACTCGCGAATTTCACCCACGTGCTCGCCTAAGAACCCATCCGAAGAATTCGAGAATCACACAGCCGCCAGCTCTACCCTTTCTGACCCCAACTGCGATATCGAGAGCATCGCGATACAACGTTTCCGTGAGATATTTGCGCCAATCCTCACCTATAAAGGTATTGCCTTAGGATCCGCTCTTGTGGCCTGGATCCCCAGCTGGTACCTCCTGGAAAGGTGTCCTTACACCGTCATCTGGACCACGGGCTATTGGGCGGGCCAAGCTAAAGATTCTGGTAGCGGCATTCGCATTCATCCTGCCTACGGCATCTACATTCGCCGTGCTTGCTGCTATCCTCCCACTCAACAAGCGCTGGAAGCGTGACCCCATCAGACTCCAGTATCTGCAAGAGCAGAAGGAAGAGAACTTTGACGAACCTGTACCCTTTATAAATGATATGGTATCTTTTGGTATGCAGCTATCGATCTGTATTCCTGCAGCTATCGCGACACTGTCTGTATTATTTCTTGAGAGGGTTCTCCCCACAGGGACGAGACTCTTAGAAGATATACCTTCGAGAGTATCGTCGGAATGGGAGGAAGACAACGATGGTGACGAGTGGGAAGACACAGGACTCTGGTCGTCGAGGTTCAAGTCAGAGCAGGTGGAGCTCCTGGGAATCAAGAAGAGTCAAGACTCTAAATGTATTTCGATATAGGATTGCTATCCTCAGCTAAATCAGTCCCTAATCTACATCTACGTTATGCTAGATAAACAGACAAGATCTGTATATAGGGAAACCGCCTAACAATAAGACGTCCTCACCCAGCCTCTTTTACGTCGAGTAAGATACAAAACTAGGTAGTATAGCTCTTTTCTAAAAATAAAAATAAAAATAAAAATAATACTAGAAAAAAAAAAAAAAAAAAAAAAGAAGAAAGAGAGAAAGGGAAAACAAGAAAAGAGTTAAGAAAAGAAAGAAGGATCTATTGTAGAAAAGCTCTAGTCTTCAACCTTCTAGATTTAAATACCCGCTTTTAGAATTAGTCCTGTCAAACCGAAGCGTCAGCTAGGCAGCTTCCCATCCCCGCTGCACCGCCTTCCACCATTCCCCTCGCCGGTTCAACGATCTGTTCGAGATAGCCTGCGATTCCCTTATCCTTGAGTATTTGTGTGCTCCGAGCCGTGAAAGCTTGTATACCTTGCGCCGCCCACATCGGTTGGATCTGGAAAACGGCTCCATATTTGGCCATTTTCGACGGAAAGACTTTAATATCATCCGGTGTATAACCTGCTGCTTTTCAGTCGTAGTTGTTCGTGTACCCGAAGCAGAACATGCGATTATGATAATGCTTAGTAACTTCCTCATATATTCCAGCGGTCAGCTTGTCATCAGGGAAAGCCATGCGAGGCCACGAAACATCGCTATACGGCGCTGCAGCGAGCTGTCGTTCGATCACTGCTTTAGTTGACCATTGGTACAAGTATTGCCTATAGCTGACTAGGGCCGCGCCCGGAGCTTTTAGATACGGAAATGAAATCCCTCAGTTTATCCAAGACCTTCAAATCGCCTTCTACTTGATCCGTGGCAACCCCTTTCCCGCGAAGAGCCTCAAGCAGCTCCGCCTTATTCATACGCAGCGTCAAGTCTGCGCTCGCAATAGGCGCCGTCTTGCTTGAGCTTAGGTTGCGTTTGTGTAGAGTACCGTTGCTGAGAATCAGTCTCCACTTCTCCTTCACATCCAGGACGTCGAAGTCGACGGAGAAGGAATCGCCCGTCGCCCTCTCCCCGTCGAGTTGAATCGACATGATGTCAAGCCATTGGCCCACGGTGAGCGTAGGACCGAGAGGGGTTCGACCACCTCCAATCATGCCTGCCGACCTGCCGGTGCGGAGTTCTTGGGCGGCAACCAAATAAAAGTTTCGCCAAGTCGCATTCTCGGCACCGTACCCGAGCTTCTCGTAGGCGGTGGCAAGGAGGTCCTTCACCGTGCCATTGGCTGGCTCCGTGGCATAAGCGTGGTCGAGCAGGGTCGCCGCAAATCTGGAGTCGCCGCTTTCGATAAAGTTCTTGGCCATTGTGCAGACGTTGTCGGTGCCACCCATGCACTGCACATAGCGCTTGCCTTCCTCGACGCGAGGGTAAAGCCACAAATGTGAAGGGTTGCCGTCGAACCAAGTCATATACATTTGGTAGATACCCTATTAATAATGTATGTAAGTCAATTTTAGGCATAAGTAATGGCTTCGCGGTATATATACCTTGATATTGTGGCTCAGAGACCCGTAGAACCCTCTGCAGTGCCAGGCCTTCTGGATGGCGGGAGGAAGCGTGATGCGCTCCGCGATCTCGACTCCAGTCATACCCAAGTTCATCATCCGAAGAGTCTGGTCGTGCATGTAGCCGTACATGTCCCTCTGCTCTTCCAGCCTCCGCGTCAGGTCCTCTCGTCCCCATGTGGGCCAGTTGTGGCTTCCGAAAAGGACATCCGTCTCGCCGCCGAACATTACGATAGCCTCGTCAAGATATCCAGACCACGCCTTGGCATCGCGGACTTGGGCTCCACGTAGCGTCACCTAGAATGTCATTAGTACCGAGTTAAGTTGCACACCTCTAAGGCCATCTTTTGGACCACTTACAATATTATGCATGCAGTTTGTGGCTGTCTCTGCAATGCATAGCGCCTTGAATTCGGGAAAGTGGAAATTGATCTCGGCCGGAGCTTCTGAGCCGGGTACCATCTGGAAGACAATCCTCACCCCATCGACCATCAACTCGTCGCCGGTCTTCTGAATGAGCGTGTTGGGAAGAATGAGAGAGGTAACGCCAGTAGACGAGCCCATTCCCAGGCCGACGCCGATATGACCCTCGGGCGACCGGGGAAGCTCTCTCCCATACATGTAGGCTCCGCGACGCCTCATGGATGGGCCAGCCATGATGCTTTCGCTCATCACGGCCTCGATGAACCCTTCCGGTGCAATAATGGGGATTGAGTCGCCTGCATCCTGCGGAATGACACCTGCGGCTCCCATGTAGTGGTCGCCGTGGGAATGCGAGTAAATCATACCAGTCACCTTCCTCTTGCCACGATGTTTCTCGTAAATCTCCAATGCCGCTGCCGCGCATTCGCACGATACTAGAGGATCAATAATGATGATTCCCTCTTTTCCTTCGACGATGGAAATGTTGGACAAGTCGAAGGCGCGAACCTGGTAGATACCGGGGCAGATCTCAAAGAGACCCTGTTTCGAGTTCAGCTGGCCCTGGCGCCATAGATTCGGGTTTGCCGTCGAGGGGCATTCTCCATGAAGGAATTTGAATTGGTCAATATCCCACACCACATCGCCGGCGGCGTTCTTAATGACGCCAGGTTCGAGCTTCGCGATAAAGCCTCGTTCGGCGTCGACGAAGTCTTGCCTATCCTCAAATGATGGCTGAAGTGTCATTGCGTCCTCTTTTCTTATTTCCTGTTCCGGCAGTTATGCAAGTGTTAAGAAATGAAGTCTGTGCTTGCAGGCGGTGGAAATGGGAAGGTAAACAGGAGACGCCGAGATAGCGGAACTCTCGCGACTCCAAAAATGGAGGGAAATGACTTCGTCTTTATTGTGCGCTTGCAACCAATGCTCGAAGCGCTAGACGCCACAAGTTGCTTGCCGCTAGCGACAATGTGATTATTTGAGTGGCTCGGCTTCTACTTGAGTGGCTCGGCTTCGTCGCTACTGTTTTTTCTAGGAGTATTTTTCTTCTTTGTCCTCATGGCAAGGCGAGGCATTCGGCTTCGTTGACAGTAGCCGACTTGGCCGTATCCTCTCGCGGTCTCGTCGCGATCATTTCAATCTTCGCCTCAAAAGCGCCTCTACACACAAATCGAATGCGAGCCAAGAAATTGACCAAGACCAATTCCGCGAAATGTAATCCCCGCACAGATACCCCGCATTGTCCGGAAAAAATTAACACAATTTTCGACCCAAATCTGAGGGTTGACAGGAGTCGGTTACCTAGATGAGGCGATACCGAAAGGAGCTGGTGAAATCTCAACATGTCCCGCAAAAGATTGCAGATCGGACGCTATGACTTACCTCGATGGAGGTAGCCGAAATAGGAAGCGGGGGACACGGGAGCGGGAGAGCGCAGGTCGCCCAGGCCGAGATCCGCACCAAAAGATTAATATTCCCTTTCCCATCAGCCCTGTGGCCGTTTAAATATCCGATGTGGGGGCCGGGGAGCGGCTCTAATCTGCTCTCCACCTGGCGTCTAACGGTTAAAGCAACTTGTAGCCCGGGTCTATAGTGCATAACAGCCTCAGTGTGTGGCGGGAAGTGAAAGAGAGAATGCGGGACGTTCTCCAAAGCCCGGGGGCCAATGTTCAAAACTAAACGCAAACAAATTGATCTTGGTAGTTTATGTCGTTACGGCCGGAATCGCGGACCCCGGCCGGGGGGATGATCTCATGTTCTCCCCGCATGGCAGTAACAAACATCCCGGGGAAGCACACCGGGGAACTGGATGGGGCAATGGTCATCGGCTTCTATGCGTTGCCGAGTCCTGGGTCCCGGGCTCCCATCTGAATGCCGCTAAGAAACCTACTCCACACCGTCTCCACCTAGTATATATTACCCCGGATTTCGTTCCTTTGGTGATCCTCGAAAACTCCACAGTCGAGCATCCTGTCCTATTCACATCTCAACTCCCATATTCTAGACTTGGAGGCAATGGCGGCCATCGAACCCAGGGACAGCAAGGCGGCTCTACCAGGGCCGGAAGACGTTCAGTATGATGAGAAGCCTTTCAACGTGCCCCAGGATGTTGACGACGATGAGGAGTACACGGTGGCCGAGCAGCGAAAGATCATTCACAAGGTCGACCGCCGCTTGTTGATCATTCTGGGAGCCATGCAGGCCGTGTCGTTCTTGGATCGCGCGAACATGTCGAACGCTGCGATTGCGGGAATGACCAAAGACCTGGCTCTCGGGGTTTCAAACCGTTACGTGAGTATCTCTTTCAACTCAAGTGTCTAGCCAGCAGCTAAGCACTAGCCCAACTAACACAAGTCGATAGTCTATCACTCTTCTCGTCTTTTTCGGTCCTTACGTAGCCTTGCAATTCCCTGCCGGTGCCTTCGTCCGAAAACTCGGCCCTCGCATGTTCCTGTCCTCCATTGTTACAGCTTGGGGTATCATTATGATGGTGCGTTCATACATTCGAAATTACTCAGGGGAGACTTCCGCTGACAACCTATAGTGTTTTGGGTTCGTCCAGCACTGGCATTCTCTGATTGCTCTTCGAATGCTTCTTGGCGCTCTCGAGGCTGGTTGCTTCGCCGGCCAGTACTATCTCATCTCCTCCTGGTACTCACGATGTTAGTAGCGCCGTATAAGCATAGCGTAATGGCAATTTATTGCTAATTTTCATCAGATCACTTGCACAAGAGGGTTTCAGTCTTCTACTTGCTTGGTGTCGCCGGCTCTGCCCTTGGAGGACTTCTCGCCCTGTTATTCTCCCAGATGAAGGGTATAGCCAACTACAATGGTTGGAGGTATGCTACCCTGAGTTCGACAATATAAAAAGTTTAAAGAGGTCTGGTGGTTCTAACGACTCGACTTATAGGTGGATCTTCATCATGGAAGGTTTGATTACGATTATTGTCGGTATACTAGGCTTCATCTTCATGGTCGACTTCCCCGAAAATGCGCATAAGGCCTGGGGTTTCCTTACCGAGAAGGAAACTGCCTTCATCGTTCGTCGAATCAACCGTGATCGAGACGACGGCGAGCCTGAAAAGTTTGCCTGGAGGAAGTACCTAAAGCCCGCGAAAGACCTCAAGGTCTGGGCTTTCGCCATGCTTTTCTTGTAGGTCACACGCTTCGTAAATTCTTCGGCAAGAGATTCCGCTAACTTTACTCAGCTGCTCCACTCTTCAGGCCTACTCCGTCGGCTTCTACTTGCCCATCATTATCCAGGGAAACATGGGCTTCTCCGTTACTATCTCTCAGGTTCTGAGCACGCCTCCGTATGTCCTCGCCATGATCTTGATGTACATCCAAGGTTGGCTTTCCGATAAGCACCGCGTTCGCGCGCCTGTCCTCATCATGAACGCTATCCTTAGCATCACGGGATTGGTTCTCATGAAGTGGGCGCCGGTGGCTGGGGCTCAGTACCTTGGTTCGCTTCTCGTCACGGCCGGAGCCAGTGCCAACATCGCATCCGTCATGGTGTACCAGGCAAACAACATCCGAGGTCCCTGGAAGAGAGCTTTCTGCAGTGGTAGCATGATCAGTTTCGGTGGCACTGGTGGCATTGCCGGTTCGCTCATTTTCCGAGCCCAGGACAAGCCCTCGTACTTGCCTGGAATGGTTGGGTGCATCACGTAAGTTATACCGCAGCCCTTAAGGTCTCGCTGCTCGCTAACTTGTGGCGTAGGGCCAATGGTATCATCTTGGTCATTGTCGCTGCGCTCAGCATTCATTTCTATGTGAGCAATCGCAAGGCGGATAAGGGTGAGAAGGTTATTGAGGATCTTCCTAGCTTCCGGTATACCATTTAAATCTGCTGTTTTCTACCCTTTGCCAGTTCCATCGCAGGCAAGGTACAGGCTGGTTCGGCATTATTGCGTCTTGGAAACTGTACTGCCTAGACTTCGACTTGAATGTCGAGTTCTACCGCTGTTCGTCCCTTCCAATAGACTTTAAAAACTACAGTGAAAAGTTTCTTCCATCGTTTCGTACCTCGGCTATGAAGTGGAAATAGTCAATTTAGGAAAAGCTTTTACAACCATCTTCGATGCATACCGAAAGTGCGGGCCCGGCACGCGGATTGATCAGGGCGCCTGAATCGTAAGGCTTCCCGGGGCCCACCTCGGGCCAAGTTGAGTTCCGATACTCGGCAGCCCCACCAGGTAACCCCTTTGATAATATCTTTTTTTCAACATTGAGAGTGGTTTGAAGTTTGACCCCTTATTTCTCCGCAGCCCCAAAAAGGCGCAGCTTCGGCTTTACCGGAATCTTGAGGGAAACAATGAAACCTCGCACAAGTGAAGCTCGGTTCAATCTCCTTTCAGATCGCCCGGAGCGTATCGAAGGGCACTTCCTCAATGTTCTATTTGTTACAACACCCTAAATTACTACGATTGAAAGAACCCGGCATATTTCTTGGCCTTTGTGCTTTGCCGTACTCACCGGAAGGATGCTCAGGACTCATGTCCTCTAGGTTTCGACCGTTCGGCGTTCTCGGTCCGACCGCTTTGTACCGGTATGGCTCACTCATCAAAATTGGATACTGAAGCGGTTAAGCTGTGTTGGGGATGCGTTTGATAATCAATAGCAACGGGCGGAAGGAGTCTAAGGGCGGAGGTCTTCATCTAGCTAGTGCAGACAATATTTGACGAGCGGATAATGGACAAGAAGGGCAGGCAGGTATCGTAGCTGCGACATGGACTAAGAATGCGGTGTCCAAAAAGAACAACGCCCGTAAGTTTGAGCGTGGACTGGGGATGGCCAGGAGATTTTGAGTTAGTGGCCCAGTACTGTTCTACTGTTCCTTGCCCTTATATATCTCATCTTGATTATGCTCTTCGCGCGCCTGGTAATTTTACCTTTTACCAAGCTCGGATAATGATAAACCCCCTTCTCTAGTCTACCCTAGATCGTTAAAGTGCGCGCCATGAAGAAACCCGAGACGTGTAGCGAAAGCGAACAGTGTGCGGGAGTACAGAGAGATTGGCCTCTAAAAGCCTGCTGAAAACAAGTGAAGTATTCTAATAACGACCTTGGGTTCAAATTCGTGTTTTGCATGCCTATTCTCCCAAATTTCTTCTGCAGATCCTAACCCTCAGAGACTGAAGACATCACGACTATCTACTTATGCGATTTAGGTTTACGTTTCTGAACCCTTAGAGTTGAGAGGATCCCCTTGATCAATCAAATCGACGTTTGCCAATCCTCGTCAGAGCTCTGCGGTGGCTTCTTGCGAGAGCTATTCCAGACCATTGGCAACACCTGTTCCTTTTTCATATGTGTGATGTGCGGGCAGGCTGCACCAGCCCGTTTCACTACCATAGAGAGGCGGACCCCGGTTCGATTTTGGGTGTGCCTGGACATATCTTTCTTCTTAAGCATGGCAACTCACGTAAGTCCTTCGCTTTATTTATCTAAGCAATGCATCCACGGCCGATGTCCTCACACTTGTACACGACTCTGGTTAATAATTGGGCCTCGCACGAGGTGACCCCACGCAACTTCCGTGGTACCTCAACTCCCCTCAAGCCAAATCGTCACATCCGGGAAAGCGGCAGGGCCAGTTGGTGAATCAATGTAGCCGTCGGACACCGGGGCGTGCAAGTCGAAAAGAATTAGAACTACCCGGGAGATTGCTAGCTCCGAGCACTTCAATAAGCCACACTTGAGGCCATTGGCTCGGCGACCGCCTGCGAGGCCTCTAATGCAGACTGAGGAGACATTGATTGCACCCTCAGTGGTCGCCTTCCTGTGATAGCGTGTGGCACACCAACTTGAGTTTTACGTAAAATACTCCAATGAGATGGTGAGAAATTCCAGTCCGGTCTGCATTATAGATGCGCAAACGTCGAATATTGGGGCCAGGCTGCTGGGGTCGCCCCAGAATGAGGCTCGGTAATGGTGTCTATCACCATCGTTGTCTCCAGAGAGGGGATACGGGATGATTTGGAATTGTCCTGCGCCGCTGATAAACTACAAAAAAATGGACGAGAAATCCACACGAGTCGGCACCGGAGGCTCGGGAATGGTGCGAATAGGTCGTACCCCCGTTTGTCTAACCTTTCGGGCAGCCACGCAGTTTATCCTAGATACTTCCTTTCCCCGTCAGACCGCAGTTACACGGTGTTTTCTCTCGAATGCACGATCTAGGGGAGGATGAATATCCGAAAGGAAAATGTTGCATTGAGAGGACGTTCGGTCGAATACTATGTCACTATACCCGTGGTCCGGGGTTCAACTACGTTTACCACGACTCTGTTGCTCGGGACAATCGCACCCGACTCACCGCGCACGACCCCCGAATCAACGGCCGAAGAACCAGGACCTGGAGCCAGCCAGCCAGCACCCGCCCCGGCCTCGACGCATGGTGGTGATGCCCAGGAGTTGAACCGTACTGTCTTGATTATCGTCGGCGTTCTGCTTGGGGTCTTCATCATTATTACGTGTTATTGTTGCGCGGTATCCCGAAACAGACGCCGGTACCGTCGCCGCAATCGGCGCCCTCCATCGTGGGAATCGTCATCGACTCCATCAGAGGAATCAGTGCGGCCTCCGCCACCGAGACCACCGAGACCACCGAGACCACCGAGATCTCCGCCTATAGTCAGTCCCGGGTCCGATCGGCAAGTTCCCCCAGGACCTCGAGTCGTCAATCGATCAAGATGGTGGAATATAACTCCCCGTTCGGGGTTGCCTTGATGAATAGCGTCGGTCGGCGTTGATGAGCTATAACGATGAATGGAGGTTACATGGCGTAACATGTAGCGAAGGAACCTTGGGATGGACACTCGTGCGAACTTATTTTACAGTAATATTCCTTTCTATTTATCGCCACCCGCATCCTTCTGAGAAAGTTGGATCCGAATCCTGCAGAACTATCTCTACTTCGTTATAAAAATCATCTGCTGTGCTATCAATCCGATACCCTCTGTGATTGTTGTAAGGAGAAACTGCCACGGCAGAGGCTTCGACCCCCTCGCTTACGTCTCCCACCGTAGAGTTCATTGACAATGTCATCCTACGCTCTCCAATGTTCCCAGTTAATCCCCCTACCGGTGTTGTTCGGCTACGACGTGGCGGTCTGGTGTCTGGCGGGTGAGATGGACGGTCTTCATGAGAAGTAGATGGTCTTCGCGATGACTTCTGGGGTGCGTGTTTCTGCGATTTCTGCGTGGTTGAGTTTAGAGGTAGCGACCAGCTTTTGGGCCATCTGGAAAGAGTCCATGTGCTCTCCCGTCTCGGACTTTGCCTGGGATGCGAGTTCTCTCCCTTCTCCTTGCGTGCTTGCTGTCGAGATCTGGACCTCATCGATTCCGTATTCCTCGTCCCTATTCTGCCACTGGCTGATTCGGAGAGGGAATGCGGCCCCGAATCTCCAGATCGGTGGACGGGAAACTCTGATACTGGTGTGCCTGCACTCGAATGGTAGGAGTAGGTGCGGTGTACTGAAGCTGGAGGGTGGTCCCAAAGAGGGCTGATGGAGCCCGAGGGCCTCGAGTCGTAGACCAACATCACGGGGCGGGACACCTGAAGGGTACGTCCCGAGTTGTCGACGCGGTAGATGCCCGGTACCAGGCAGTCAAAAATATCCTCCGCGCTTTCTCCTTCCACCAAGTCAACCCACTGGCTGATTTCCTTGAACCTCCAGTAGCCGGAGTTCACTGTGTCCCATGAGTCGCCGAGAAAGATGGCGGGTTTTCTGAAAGAATATAACGTGGGGGAGCGCCTAACCTCCATGTGTAGGTCTACTGCGGGACGGAAGACAGTCTCCTCGAAACTGGAGAGATGCGGTGCGAGTACATCCTTCTTGATATCAGTCATGAAGGGCCATTGTTCGAAAGTGCGTGTTAAGGAGTCGAGTCGCAATTTTATCGCTTCTTCTCTGTCTACCTGAAAGGTCTCTGACTCGACGAACATTCGGAGGGTTTCGGTCCTCCATCTAGGTAAATACTCTATCGGCGGTTTGGTCAGCTCTGAACCTCACGGGTCTCTCTCCCTCACCTGGCAAGGGGGAAAGGAAAAAAGAGAAAAGAAAAAAAAAAGCACATTTTCTCCCCTCACGGTCTACACACCCGATTTCAAGGCACTTACTCCCATCGCTGGATGAAACATCATCAGCCAGTGCCATCTCTGTGACAAGCCTACCAAAGTGCTTCCTTGTGCCCACCGGGAGCTTGACCAGGAATATCTTTTCGTGGAGGAACTTCCAAATTTCCAGTGATAAGATCATGTGGACCGACGAGGTGTATTTCGCGAACCAAGCGACCCATCCAGCCTGGTGCGCCTGCCAGTTGGCCCTCATTTTGTACAGCTCGTCGGGCGACGTCGCCGAAGCCAAGACGTTAAAGAGCATTTCTATCGTGGTTGGGTGAAAGGACTGGATGGATTCTCGAAAGACTTGGGACAGGCTCATCCCCGTTTGGTCCCTGACCTCTCGCACCAAGGTCCGAATCCAATTGTCGACGCTGACCTGGAGCTTGACGTACTCGTCTTCTATTTCAGTGTCCGTGATCACATTATAGTCCCTCTGGAGACGTCGGATGTTCATGATCAGTTCGCTATTTTGTCTCTCGAGCTCTTCGATATGGCCAATCGCCCTGTCTAGGGTCAACGACTCGGACGAGTCCATAGCGGCCAAGCGGAGAAGTCGGCGCTTTACAAGACACAAGACAAAATCAAAACCAAGCGTAAATGTTCTGGGTCTATGGCGGTTCAAAAACCGGTTTCAAAACAAGAATAGGGCTTCCCACAGAACTACGTCTTCATTCATCTCCCAATGGGTTGGGTCGATGCTCGTCTGGGCTCCGAGGAGTCTGGGACTCCTGGGGCTCCAAGAATTCTCGGATTGTCGGGCCAGCACTCTTGGGCAAAATTTTGTCGGTTTTCGGAACCGGAAGGAAAAGAAGGGGGAGGGGAACTGGAATGGGCGTATGCAGCCGATATTGACGTGGCTCTCTCGACGGATGTCGGGTAGCGGTCTGACTGGCTGATAGGAGGGGGGTGGAAGCAGTCTCGCTGATGTGGGTGGCCTTTTCCTTGACGAGCATTTGCATAGCCTAGACCCGACGCACACACCCCTCCCCCTTCCCCCAACCCTGTCTCATATACGAGAGGACGGACATCCATAACGGCCTTGCCTGCAACCCCCTCAACGCCACCTCTAAGTGTTTTGTGATAACTTGGCAGTCATCCCACCGCACCCTCTTGGCCTGGCGTTAACACCAGGCTCTGGCATCTCTTGCTTTGACCAGCTGGTTGTGTGGAAATTGCTCGATGGAACTCAATAGAACTCCGGTGCGGCACGCCTCCAAGCAAGGCTCGGCAAGTCTCCTGTTCAACGCCTCCCCTGTTTGGTGCGGAGATGGCCATTTTTAATCCAATAGATGCAAATAGAATGTGCAATCATTCGCAGTGCGTTTCGTCTTCTAATAGAGAGGGGTTCAAGTTATAATTTCGACCACCTTTTTTCCCTTCCAGTCCAGCCTGATGGAGACTTTCCTTGACTCTTCAACGCCGCATGTTATCCGATGTCTCAGATCGAGCACCTTCAATTATCTCTGAGTTGAAATCAAGACACGATGACTTCCAATTCTCTCCACTCAACAATCTTCATCGCCGTGGACTTCGGTATGGCATTCCTGCGACGAACCCTCTTGATTTTCTTTCTCAATACTAAAACCCAAGGGTCAACAGGGACCACTCACACATCCGTCGCATACTTTAAACCCGATGCTCAGGTCGAGGTAGAGGTGAGCGGAATATTCCGTCTCGAGGCTACGAGGCGACTTCGCTATCTGGCAACAAAAGATACTTATGCCGCATGTTGCGCTAGGTTATGAAGGATTGGGAACAGTGGTCAGCCGAAAGGATTCCAAGGTAATTAATATTGCCAGCATACTTCTGTCACCCTTCTTCGTGATTTCGAGCCCGTTGAAGCCGACTAATAGGTTACATTCATACCGGTTGTAGCATCCTGAGAGTGAAAGGAGACGGCACGTCATCCACGTACGGAAGGGACGCAATGAACGGATCGCATTCCGACGACAAGTATGAATGGTTCAAACTCGGCCTCGATCCTGATCGAGAATCCCGCCGGGCTGCGACGTCCAAGCTATACACCATATTGCCCGATAATCCAGCGCATCTTGCCACCCGTCTGAGTCTCGCCAAATGTCGAAATCTGGTCATCACATTTCTGAAGCACATCCGGCGCGCTATTGACAACTACTTCCGTACATCAGTACATGCGCTGCATCCGGGATACGCGAACGCACGTCGACTGTACACCATCACTGTTCCTGCCATGTGGACACCACGGGCAAAGGACCTCACTAGAGAGTGTGCTGCCCTAGCCTTCGAGGTTAACAAGGATAAGATCCAGGTTGTTGCCGAGCCCGAAGCTGCTGGCATCTATGCGCTGGGCCACAGGATGTTGACGCCGGAGCAAGGGCAGTCATTCGTGATCCTTGACGCTGGCGGTGGGTAAGTTGCGTTTCATTTCTTCCCCTTGAAAGGAAAAAAAAAAAAAAAAAAAAAAAAAAAAAAAATAGAGGCAGAAGTGCAAGTCGTCTCTGATATCACTGGCCTAACACGCGACTTCAAGCACCGTCGACCTTTCAACGTACCGGATTGCCAAGTTCAACACCGGCCCACGTGGGCCCGAGATGTCGCTAGACTCTCTCTGTATCAGCGGTGGTGGACTGTGTGGGAGCACCTTCCTCGACGGCCTATTTGAGCGTTACATTGAGAGCCGCCTCAGAGAGACGGCACGCAGGTCCGCGCAGAGAGGATGGCCAGTCGATCAGTTTCAGAGGACCTTGAAGCGGTGCGTACGAGCTATGGTAGCACAGTTCGAGGCCTCAGTCAAGGAAGGTTTCACGGGCACCGAAAAAGACGACTACCAGTTTTGGTTTCCTGCCGATGGAATGGTCGGGTACGGTATCGACGAGGGCCAGGTTCCCATCACCGCAAAGGAAATACGGGAGAAAGTCTTTAATCCCGTTCTTGATGAAATCGAAGAGCTTGTGAAGGATCACCTGGAAGCTTCAAAGGCCCGCGAAGGCAATATCAAAGCTGTCTTACTTGCTGGCGGCTTCGGACAGAACATGTACCTGAAAAGGAGGTTGGAAGGAGTCGTAAGGAAGTTTGACCGGGGCATTGGGCTTCTCAAGGTGCCCGACGGGTAAGCGGTGATTCCCTGTTAGCCAGGGGCACGTCCTTTAGGACGCGCTTCGCCGATGTTGTCATTGTCGTCACTAACGCTTGCATGATCTGAGCAGAAAACTCTCCATAGCGAAAGGAGCTGTGCTCTACGCATATTCCGCCTCTGGAGCAGGAGCTTTCCGCCCTGCTGAACCATCGCCTGGTTCTGGTTTGACGCCCACTATAACCGGTCCGATGCTCATACGAATGCGACAAATCGTCGCCACAGCGTCGTACGGTGTCGAGGCGTGGGAGGTATATGACGAAGAGAGACACAAGGATGCCAAGAGCCGACCGTATGTTCCAGGGAAAGGGCCAATATTCTACTTTTTCCGTTTAAGATTCCAAGTATACTGACAAGAACTAGATGCAAGGACTCTAGCGGCGGCTGGATAGTCAAGGTCATCGACTGGTATATAAAAAAGGTGAGTATGGGATTAAGGTAGCTTCAGGGTTGTAAAATGTGCAGAAATGGGTCAAGGGACTTATCATTGGAGAGAGGCGTCCTTTTCTTTCCTTCTCTTACCCTGTCTTAGTCTCGTCTAACTAAGTATCTTGTAGGGAGACAAGTTCCGCGAGGGAGTATCCAAGTCATACCCTGACTTCATCATCCAGCAAAGCGTTCGTGATGGCGGAGAGTTCAAAACGGATGTCATCATCCATACCTGCGAAGAAGATATAAACGACTTGCCGTTGTACCCGGACACCAAGGATCACCCGGAACCTCGTAAGTCTCCCTTGATAAGACCCCTTATCCCAGCCCCTGAAGCTAAATTTGCCTAAAAGGACTCAAGAATGCCCCGATCGTCCTGGAGATGGTGATAGATGCGAACTCCGCCAAACATCTCAAGCGAGGGGAGGTGAATGGCAAGTTGATGTTTATCGTCGAGTTCGAGCTGCATACCCAGATGAACTCGGGGGAAAACCGCTGGTGGCTGCAGCTTGGCAAGCGCAAGTTTAGGCCCAAAGATGTCTATTTCAAAGCAAATAGGTCGTAGCTTATGAAATTGTTTGCTCAATTCACTTCCGGTGATACATCAAAGTAGATACACGTGCAGCCCAGCAAGGATGGGCATCCGCCTTGCAATAACGTGCGGCACATAAAGGAGGCAGACACTTAGTTAATCGAAAGCCTAATGGGTTTTTGGCGACTTTTTCAAGCGGACTAGACGTGTCAATCATACCTCAGCTTAACCCGCACGTCTGGTGACATCGTCTCTCAGTGGCAAGTTCTGAGATCCTGGGGGCCTAGGGAAACAGAAGAACTTTACGGTCCAGCCTAACCTCGCGAGGAGAGATATAGCAAAATGTCTAGGAATGCCAACCAGGGTTAGCTCCTATGCGAATACTAGTGCAGAGAAGGTATTTTCTAAGAATAAATTCGAGCAGAGCAAGTCTAAGACAAGTTGAATGGACTGAAGAGGAACCTGGGCTACACGTTGACAATTTGATTCTTATACCACTCAGATAATGTTACCCTTGTACGATAGGGTCTAACCTGTGGTCCACCTTTTCATAGATACAACCGACTTTGTCCGGATTGCACTAGCGCACCAGGTCCGGGCTTTCTGGCGTGATCATCACCGATTAACCTGACCTCAAGCCGAATGCAGCGAACTCTGAAGCCGCCCTGATCATATAAAGCCATGGTTCATTTTACAGCCCAAAAGAGGTGGACTGATGAAAAGAACAGCCTAAAGCGGGCTGCGATGATACTCGTAGCTCGGCCAAGAAGAGAAATAACTAATCAATCAAACCAAGTATTTACGACGAGAGATCAGAGACAATCCTCTAGTCTTGACTCTTCAGGTTCGGGTTAAGGTAAAGTGGGCGATTTGCTCACGTAACGCGTGGTAAGTCGCGCCAACTAAAAATTTCTCAACCTCGAGGCTCCCACTCAAAACTCCTCCATCAACCGCACCGATTATCACCATGCACTACATTCGCTTCCTACGACCGCCAGCCATTGACGTCCAAAAGGGACAATCGAGCCTTAGCCTCGTTTTAGTCGTATCCACCGATCTCGGAGATGCCCTTCTCTCGGTCAACAGCCCCTTAGCTCTAACGCTATGTCTCTTCACCCAGGGCAGGGATGAGGGACACCAACTCAAGCCAGAGTTCAAGACCAACTTGAGCTGGAAGCCAGGGGCCCGAGTGCTCAAGATTTCCATTCCCATTCCCACAAAGCCTTGGAAGCAGATGTTGATCAGGCCCGCTGATATCAATATTGCCGCCCGCCAATTCTCGCGACTGGCATCTCCATCCGGAAACGTGCGGGGCACGCCTGGGTTAATCGTCCCTGTTTGGTTTGACTTCAGCCAAGGGAATCGGACTGAGGGCCGGACAGATGTGTGTCTGCGGAAACTACATCTCGTAGAGGATATCGTGCTAGAATTCGAGGAGGAATTCGGCGATAGCATTGCACGCCATGTCTGGGACGGTGGTTTAGCAGCAGTGTCTTTCCTCACCCAGACGTTGGGAAACTTAGGAAATGAGAACCGATTCGCCGGGAGCATGCCATGTTTAGAATCCATGATACGACAGCAGCGCCCCTTGAACATCATCGAGGTCGGATGCGGCGTGGGTGTTCTTGGCACTGGGCTATCGGGACTCCTCACTACGTCCAGACAAGAGGAAGACTACCTGGGCCAGTACAGATTCCTGATGACCGACATCGTGGAAGCCGAGGAGAGGGCGACGGCGAATATCCAGGGGTTCCTAGAATCTCAGGAGAAAGCAGAAAGGAAGACGCCACAAATGAAGTATGAGAATCTGGACTGGGAGGATGGAAGGGAGGGCAAATTTGACGAATCTGTAATGTCACCATCGTGGGATGTCGTCATCATCAGCGACTGCACCTACAACACCGACACTATACCCTCGCTCGTCGAGACACTTTCGCAGCTAGAGTCAAAAACCACATCCCAGAACAAACTGCCGCGTGAGCACCCGCTGCGGATCTTCTTGGCTACGAAGCCACGCCACTCGTCGGAACGGGCCTTTTTTGACCTCATGCCGACGCATGGGTGGGTTGTGAAAGAACAGACTACGGTGTACTTGCTACATACAGGTTCGGAGCCTGACCTGGTAGAGCTCTATTTGTTCGAGAGGAAATAATAGCTTCCAATATTCTTACCCCGAAAGGGGTCTTGCAAGATATTTCTTCCAAACGTGTTTGTTGAACAAACTCTGCTCTTGAGATATGACTGATTCCAAACCTTATTGCTTTCTTTTTAGTCGTGTTGGGCTACTAGACAACAACCAAGACAACAGAGAGTTCTGCACATCCGCTTCACTTCGTATATGTGTTCTCCACAAGCTCGATGGCTTTTTTAACCATGTCGCGATCCATCTGAAACGTCAACTTGTCAAGAACGTCAGTGTAGCTGTGAAATTCCACCGCATATCTGTCCTTCTCCGGCGATTCCTTTGGTTGCGTATCCTCATCCACAGCAGCTACGAACCACCAAATAAGCTTGATTTGCCTTTCGCTAAGGCGGCGGATTTGCAGGGTAAAAGGCTCGCAGATGTTGGTGTAAAAGGGCGCACGGTCGTCCAACTGCTCGGTTTCCACCGCTGGCGGAGCGCGAGTATGCATATTCAAAGGAAGGAGATGACAGGCAAAGCCTGTCTCTTCGGTGACCTCGCGTAGGGCCGTTACCTGGCGAGACTCTCCGCAGTTGCGCCGTCCTTTGGCCAGCACATACTCGTCGCGCTCCAAAAGATGTAGCACACAAACCTCCCGAGAAGACAGACGGAATAAAACTCCCCCCACACTTTCGACGAACGCCTCCGAGGAGTATTGCTCCGATTCAAAACGAGATTCGGCCATGGCAAGAGTCCTAACTGTCAGTCAGTCATCAATATTGATATAATTGATTAAGATTAGACACTCGAACACTGATCAAATGGCCCACTCACCTTGATCTTGGCAGTAAGGGCTTGCCAAAGATGTATGTTGGGCTGGATTTTTAGGTTGGTGGGGCCTTGTTTAGCCCTCATCGACTATCCTCATTTTACACTTCCACTCAAGAATATCCGCTTTTGGAGAATTTGTCGCCAACGAGGAGTGCACAAGTCCCTGTGACTCTGAACTCTTGTCGATCACAACCAGCGTCCACAGCCAGCGTCCACATTTACCGAACTACGAAGTAACCTAGCAACTAGGAAATCAAGGAAAGAAAGGGCAACTCGATATTGTGTCAAGCAAAGAGGTATCTTAAGAAAGAAAGAAATAAGATATGGTGTGGTCTGGTAGAAAAGAATGGTTTAATTAGCTCCAACAAAACCCACCCCCATCCCTAGTCAACTGGACCTATCAACTGTCTCCTCTTCACACCTGTATAGCTCTGTATTAGGACCACCCCAGTTTCCTAAACCTTGTCATCACGCGACGAAGTGTTAATAGGATTTAGAAGCCGATTTTGGCCGCGGATTTCTAAGCCTAAGCCTGGTTTTGGGTGAGAGGCTTGTTATCCTCATGGTAGAGCTCGGGGCACTTCTCTCCCTTCTTCTGCAGAATCCACTTCCTGTACCACCAGGGAAGCACGGTACTGAGCTGATACTTGGCGTGCTTTCTATCAGGGACGGCAAAGACGTAGTCGAGCTCCTCGAGGGTCTTCTGCTTCGTCTCGGGCACGAATAAGAAGATGAGAGCGAGCGCCACGAGGTTTAGGCCTGCGTAGAAACAGAATGCGCCCGTTGCCGTCATGGCGATTAGCATGCGGGGGAAGGTGAGAGAGAGGATCGAAGCCCAGAAGTTGTTGGTGGCGACGGCCCAGGACATTCCGATCTCACGGTGGGATAGAGGGAAGACTTCAGCAGAGTACATGAATGGGACGGGACCCTCGCCTGTGGGACCTGTTAGTTGCTTTAATGTGTGGAATAGGGAATGTTCCGCAGTTCTTACCGGGTGAGTAGAATGCGGCGAAGAGGTATACAAATGTGGCAACGGCACCGATACGCGCCTTGCTATCTTCCACGCCGGGCTCGATAAGATAACACAGACCAGCGGCTATTAAGATGTTGTCAGTTGCCTGTGCGGATATATCACTATAATTTCATTGGGTGGCATACCAAGTAGAGTCCAGAACATGTTGGGGAAAGTGAAGAGCAACAGAGCTCGTCGACCAAAGGTGTCAATTGTCCACACGGCGGGCCAGGCGAAGAGGAAGTTGATAAGACCGAAGCCGAAACTAGCAAAGAGGGCAGTGTAGTCGGAAATACCGCTCTCTTTGAAGATGGTGCTGCTGTAGAAGGCAATAATATTGACTTTTTCCACTCGTTAGTATTTTGAAGGCCCCCAGCATTATTTCAACAAGTTAGATTACTTACTTCCGCACATCTGCTGGGCAATCATGACGATACCCGAAGCCCAAGTTGCGCGCCTAATGCGCGGCACGGTGAAGAGCTCGATGAAGCGCGTGAACATGTTGTTCGTAACTTCGAAGCCGGCTTCTTTGACCATGACGACCTCCTGCTCGAGCAGGGCGTGGATATAGTACAGGTCACGAGCAGCTTGGAGGGGGGTGTTTCGGAGACGGAGGAGCGACTTCCAGGCCTTGTCGTACTTGCCCTTCTTGAGGTACCAACGAGGGGATTCGGGGCAGAACCAGGTTCCGAGGACGAGCGGCACGGCGGGGATGAAGGCGGAGGCGAACTGGAGACGCCAGGCAATATCACCGGTCTTGCCAACAGCGAGGTTGGCGCAGGTTCCGAGGAAAATACCTTGATGTAAAGAATGTAATGTTAGCAGGATTGTGCGAACGCCTTGAACGTATAAGTTTCTGGGATGGGATAGACGTTACCGAATGCGGTCCAGATCTGCCACGACATGACCAAGCCACCACGAATCAAAGGCGGCGAGTTCTCAGCAGAGAAGACGGGGACAGTGACTTCCTTGAGACCCATGCCGATTCCGAGGAGCATACGAGTGGCGGCGAGCTGCCCCCAGGTCTGAGAGACAGCCATACCAAAGGGTGCGATAAGGGAAAAGATGGCGCCCAGGAAAATCACACCTCGACGGCCCAGCCATTCGTTGAGGGGGTCCGAAATCCAACCGGCGCTGTAGGAGGAAGGAGGATCCTCGTTAGTACCGGTCAAGAGCCGCAAAGAGCAAAGGGTTGTTGGGGGAAATGGACTTACAAGATCCAAATAGTGATGTAGGGCATGGCGTTGACAAAGCCGATGAGCCAGCTGTTGTCGTCGCAAAGCTTTTGATTCCCATTGCAAATTTCACCAGAGTCGGGAATGCCCAAGGCAACGGGGAAGCTGAGATTGGCACCATTGGAACCAGTCTAGAGCTAGTCAGAGATGCCAAAAAATATGGAACTGAGTGCAGGAGAGCAGACGTACCTGATCCCAACCCTGAATGGCGGCAGCAACGGAGTTGAGGAAAATAGTATAGTAAAGAGGCCACGGGTGCTTCCAACGATGGGTGACCTCCTCCTTCAAGGCTCTCTTCTCATCATCATCTAGATCCTCGAGAGATTGGAAGGCGGCGGGTTCCTGCGCGACAAGTGCACCCTTCTTGAGCAGAGGGAGAATGTCCTCGGGGAGGCCCTTCTCCTGCTGGAAGCGGGTGACATTCTCGAAGAGGGTTTCGCGGGGGATTCCCTTCAAGGGATTCCGAATTTCACCTTCGAGGTTCTCGTTGAGGATGCTGAGGCGATCTGCGTCGACCTTGGGCGCGTGGACACTGCAGGGTGGGTGAAGGATAAGAAGCCAATGTTAGTTGTGTTGATTTTCTTTTTGGATATCATTATTTGGTTGTTATTTGGTGTGCGACAATGAGCATCGTGAAGTGCTCCAACGAGTGACTGGGAACTTTATTGGAGAATTGCGGGGGAACGAATGCCGGAAAGACGGAAAGACGTCACTAGCGCCGGCAGCTATTAAGGTTTTGGGGGGGGCAGCTAAGGAGATGGCGGCTGGGGAAAGAGAATTCACGCGGACCAGTTGGGGAAAGGAAATAGGAGTAGGAACTCACGATGCCTGGTCGCCATCGGCCTTTTCGATAACATTCTTCTCGTCGTACATGGTGGGCTCAATGTCCTGCTTGCTCGTTCAATGCCGAGACTAGTTTGCGACGAGCTCAATTGCTCAAGTTGGGGTCGCGTTGTCTGGGTGAGTTGGCGTCCTTGCTTCGGCCCGATGAGGAGGGGACTCGCTTAGGGTTTTAAAGAAACACAAAGTCAACGCGTTTACGGAGAGGAGGCAAAGGAAGTGGATGGCCTGGAGGGTAAGAGGAGATGGATGAGAAAGGGTCGGGACTGAGATGATATTATAGATGAGGAGTCCCACCAGCGGAGAAAACAATACACATCTGGATCAAACAAGAAAAAGGCTAAGACGTCGCTTGAGCCGGCCAGAAAAGGTACATGGACGCGAGTCTCCTTGGAGCTAGTCACCTTGATTATACAGGATGACACGAACCTAAATTCATTCCATTACACCCGGTACAAATCCACCAGTGTCGTCACGTCCACTGTTCGGGGCCAGCCCTGTCCGGGGTGCGCGAAAACCTGCAAGCACGAGCAGTCCTGCGTGGCTCGAGGCCGAGAACTTACAGTATATGGCGTGTGAATGAGGTGCAGATGGCAGATTCGAGCTCGATGTTTGTGTTTGGTGATCGATGAGCAGGGGGATGGGAGGGGACCGGGACTGGGACCGGGGCTACCGCGGGGAGTGACTGGGGACGTGTGAGGGGTGAGGAGGAGATGTGTGTGGGTGGAGGTGGTGTGGTGGTCGGCGGGTAACCTGGACAGGGCACGGTATTGGTATGACAAGGGAGGAAAGGTGGGCAAGCGGACGGGCAGACCGCCGCAATGGCAGATGCATGGCGTGGTATTGTCCAGAGTATGCCTTGATCGAGATGGAAGGGGTGTATGAGAGTAAGCCCAGGGCAACGTAAAAGGTCGAGCTTGCATCGAGCTGGATGTCCTTTGATGCAGTGATGCAGCCGGTTTTCAGTGTCTTCTTGGGGAGCAGACGATATTGGCCAGGACAGGAGCTGGGAGTGGTGCACGGAGTACGAAGTACTCACATCTACAGGTAGGATATAAGACGTAATAATACAAGTACGAAGTAAAACCAAGAAGACAAAAAATCGAGGGATACAGCCGGAACGGACATGCGTCGCCCATCTGCGGTACATGGAGCTTCTGGGGAGAAGCCGTGCAGAGAGTTCCAGAGTGTGGGGCAGAACAGGCCATCGAATGCATGGAGGATCTGCTCAAAGTAACCTTTGCACCCTGGATAATGACCCTGTCGAACCACTAAAGTTTGGGGATTGGGATGAAAACAAGTAGACAAAAAAAAGTTGGAAAAAAATTTGTAGCGGATCGAGTGCGTGCGTGACCTAGACTGGGTCTCCCATGGCGGATCCTTACACTACGTACCACTCAATCGACACGGTATCATCAATTCATTATGACTGTAACTGTTCGTCGGGCATTTCAAACCCGAGATGCGCCTTCCAAGGTGGCCCGAATGAGTTTGTCTTTGTTGAGAATGGTGCGGCTTGATTGAATCCGGCAGGTCGTTGACCTGTCATTGTTCTTAGTTGCACGATTCGGGGACAAGGACGGGTCTACACAGGTATTACGGCCTGCGAGGCAGACTGGCAGGCGGCATCATCAAGGCATCAAGTGAGCCAGTCCCAGCTTCTGGTTCTCTTTTCTGTTTTGTGCACGTTTTTCTAGGTCCTTATGCAGCTCGCACACAAGGATTAATTAAACCGGCGTATTACGAAGTAAATATGTCTAGAAAGTGCAGTGATCTGCATTTCTCATCCAGACACAGGCACGGGCGGGAATGGCTGACCGCACTTGTGCGTCGTCTCCATTCGGACCTGTATCAGTCTCGTCCCGCAGTCGTACCTGTACTACGAAAAGCAGGCATTCGCTTCTGTGTAGCTCGAGCATCCAGCACTCAGCGTACCTTGGTATACAGCCTAGATACAAACCACATGTCATTATCTAGAGTTTATCTGACTCGTTTCGTGGTCAGCCACACTCCGGGGAGAGAGCGGGGTTGGTGCGGAGTTGGAGGCGGGAAAAGAATGTGGATGGTGGTAGAAGGATAGAATCGAGACCGCTTCGCTGCTCGTACAGCTCGTAAATGCTCCCAATAACCAAAATAGAGCGGCAGCATTCTAGGCAAAAAGGTGTATTCAACACCTTTGCACATGGGATATACCAATGTAGCCCCCGAGCCACGTCTCCAAATACCGCAATGCCACCGTACTAAGGAGATAGTATCACGGACCGTGTGCAGAAGACCTTGAAAAAATGGGTGCCGGGATAATAATTCCAAGGCTCGCTTCGGCGTTAGCCGAAACAACGCGCTCGGGACTTGGCACGGCACGTCATCTTTCTCGTCCAGCTTCTTTTTTCTATTCCTATTATCTCCTCCCGCTCCATCATTTCAACTGTACTCATACATACTTCGAGGTGTCGTCTCTGGTGGGGTAATTGTTCGTCCCCCTGGTGGAAGAGCCAGGCCAAGACACTAAGAAAATTAGGGGTAGAACAGGGACCAAGGCTAAACCCCAATCCCACCCACACCACACAGACTAGATAGGGCACTAGCCAGGCCAGGCCAACCGGACGGCATCGGGCGAAGAGAAAGACAATCGGGGGAAAGGTGGGAAAAAATATGCCTTAGAAGGGCTGAGATTTCCGTGCGGCTACATCGTGAATGCCATTTGATCAACCAAGCCAGGTTTGGGGAAAAAGACAGCACCCATTCGCGGGGAAAGAATGTGGCAAAATGATATTTAAACTTATGAGCGGATCCGATGATTGTGAGAAAGATCTTGTTCGTTTTGATTGTGGGCCGTCGTTCTGGCAAGCAACGTTGCTTGAGCGGGGATCCAGGAATAAGACATTGAAGGTACTTCGTACTTTAGATACCAAGTTCGTCCTGCTCTTTTCTTCCTTCAGACGGATTATAATACTAGGTACCTCAGTACCTTTGTACTCCCTTCCTGTGTATTGCTAGCACTGCTACCTAACAGCCTGCGCCAGAAATTGAGGGCACTACGAAGTACTTCGAATGTCGAACAGCAGGAAGATTTATGACCCCAGCTTCAAAGGAGGCATCGGATCCGGACTCCACATCCCTCAAAGTATTGATGGGTTAGGTGCTGCGTCGGATGGACCCAGGAGCCAGAGGCGAGCTGGCGTCTGCCAAAAATGAGCAATCAATTGATCATGGGATGCGCCGTGCTGTACGACTCGCCATAGCCGATTGGAGGAGCGTACGATCTGGACTGACCAAGACCGAAGGATTGCAGATGAAAAATGCACCATTATGTACAGGCTTCAAATGCCACTTGATTCAATTGTTCCCGGAGGAGAGAACCGTTCTGGAATGAGCACCGTGCGGGAGGGTCTGAGGGGACGATTGGAGTTATCAGCTTGATTCTGTCTCAACCGCGCATGCACGAGACCCATCTGTTAGCAGCCACAGTCCGATATCTGAATGGCACTGTATTACATATTGCCGGCCAGTGTCTGGGGACAAATGCAGAAGACGACATTGAGTATTACAATGTGTGTGAATAGTGTATTAGTTTGATACCAAGGCCACTGTCTCCAGAGGAACACTCTTTCTTGTACTTCAGACGAACTGCCTTCCTAAACAAGATCCTGCTTGTCACCTAAGCTACCGAAGCTGGGGCCATCAATTGATCATAATAAACTACCTGCCCTGACACCCATCATCAACAAAGCACGCTAGTCTCGTGCTTGGTCGATAGCTTGGAGTTATCGAGTACTTGGCATTATCGAGTGGTTTGTGTTTCGCAGACTCAACTCAGTCGTAGAGCGTTAACCGACGGACTACTTAGACGCCGTGGCGCCAGGTGATCAGTGAGCAAAACTTCGAAGATACCGCACAACTGCACTGGAAAGATACTTCGTGCCTTGAGCGAACCGATCGAACGAGCAGTGTCCGCCTTGGGCCGCCATCGCCGGGCATAGCGCCCGTCACACCAGAAAACGCCACTTCCAATCGGCGTATTCTGCGGACCAAATCTGGGTCCTCCCCACAGCCTAGCGTGCCTTGGAAGCCCCCTGTACACTACCCATGTCCTTGATCTTTTGATCCAGATCGCCGCTAAACCGCAAACAGAGGAGCCCGCCCATCCAGCTGCAGGATGATGGCAAATCCAAATCCTTGCCAGGAGGTCATCATCATCTCTCGCTGATTGGCGCATGGTAGCCACACATACTGAGTACTATGTAACATTGAGTACCTGTGGACGGAGTAACCCAAACTGACGTCAGATCCCATGCTGAGAGCCTTGTCGGCCCGTTTACAGCTCTCTCATCAAAAATGAGGAGATGAACCGGACCAAACAAGACAGCGAGTGTGGAGGTGGAGGAGAGGGATCGATGCACAAGTCTCAATTGATGTATACATACAAAGTACGTACGATCCAACAAACATGGGCAAGAAAGTGACCCAGGAAGTAACCCAGGCAGTAATAAGCAATGAACTTTTGCAAACTTTCATGCGGTAAACTGCGCCCAGAACTGCACCTGGAACTGGAACCGGAACTGTGAAATGGCACTGGTATGTGACATGTGCCTGCTGTCGTTCCACATAATCTGTTTCCAGCAAAGTTATTATTCAATCGTGTTGTTTGAAGAGCACAAAGTCTGGTAGAGTGTGCCGCACTTTGCGGTCCAGTGACCAGCGAGCCCGGAGGCGCTCCACCAGCTTTCTCAACAGCACATCCCCACCTTGCAACCCAGATTCTGGCTGGCTGATCGGTGGGACCCTGTGAAGCATGAAGCAGAATGTCAGACCCAATGCTACGCATCAAGGTCGCTCGCCAAGACAGAAGATGCCCTTCTACCCTGGCCATTGGAACTATACGTAGTAGAGAAGCTACAAAGGAGCGGGCGAATATCACAAGAATAGCATCGAAAGAGGAAGTTAGCACTGCGATAGAACGTATTCGGAACACATAGGACCGATCCACGACGAAGTTCGAAATGAACACTAGGGCCCTAGCATCCAGAAAGGAA